AAATTCACCTCTTCTGCTGATCCTTTTTTTAAGTCTGAAATCTTAATTGGGAAATACTTATTTGCCAAATCATTAAGATAATTTGGTAAATCTGTATCTATATGTTTAATATACAATCCAAATAATATTAAAGCGTCAATATGAATTTCAATTGATCTACTAGTGTTTAGTCCATCTTTTAATAACCCTTTTACATATTCTCTGTTAATATTTTTTGTTTGATTCAGAACTATATTATTAATTTAAATTTCCAATAATAAAAGAGCAGAGTTTTCTCTATTTACTTTGAATTGAAACTTGAAAAAATGATGCACTTAATTTTCAGGGACTTTGTTAACCAATAAAATTCCCTATCTCAATAAATTAGTCTCCTTACAAATATACTAAAAGTAGATTTGCCCAATCGATTCAAAGTTTCTAGCCACAAAGGCTATAAGTTGGTCCTCATGCTTTTATCTAAAGTCAGAGGCTTTTATTAAATTAGAGATAACAAAGTTTTTGGCTCTTTACTCTGAAAGTAAGAATTCAAATAGGTGAGTAATATATTCGATATTATTAATTTAATCATTACCTTATTCAAAATTAATAACTACTTAACCAAGTTAATCGATGCACTCTTAAAAGAAATTATTACTATCCTAATCATCAGAACATTAATTGGAAATCCATTTCAATCCCTTTAAGAAGAATTTCAATTCATTAATGTCTTTGATTAAATCTTTATTAGTAATTGTTTACGCAAATGAAACGAATTAATTATCGAAGATCTCATTTAAAACTTATCGAAATTCAGTAAATTTTATAGTTCCTTATAATAACTTTTATGCTTCATTAACAACACTATCAACCTACCCAAAGTATAAATCCAATTAAATTCCTTTTAAAAAATAAGACGGTCTTATAATTATTCCAATACTTAGATTGTAGTATTATTCAACATCAATATGGAATGTCCTTACAAATTTGTATACTCTTTCGAAAGTAGTAATTAGTTGCTCAACTAACTTCTCTGGTAATTAAGTGGCAAGCCAATTGTCAATATTGGTTGCATCATTCTAGAAATTCTATGATGGATTGAAATTATCTTATGTTAATGTCATGATCATATCAAATAAAGGGGATTCCTCAATTAAATGTCTTTAGTTTTTGACAATAAAATATCTAAGAAATTGATGAATATTGTAAGTTGTTATCAAATAATCATCAAATTAAATGATCTCATCTAAAGTGAATAAATTCCGATCATGAATAAATTGCCAAATTCTGCATTGCCAAGAAAGTGATTCAGCATCTAAACGAAGAGAAGTATAATTCTACTCTCCCTGTAATCTATTTATAGGATACTTCGGAAACAACTTCATCTTCTATCCTATCTCAGCTATCTAATCAACCAAGAGTTCTCTTGCATTTTTCTTAATTACTTTCTATGTCTTGCTTACACTCAAATACCAGAGACTAAGTGTTGCCTATTGCCATCCTCCGTCTTTGCCAATCATAGCTTCATTCAATAAGAATTCATGTAAGGAATACAAAGTCTTATTTTTTCCTTATCTTCCCTTCATTTCTTATAATAAATCTTAGGTAAATCTTTCAAATCCATTACTTATTATGTCTATAATATTATTGGTATTAGACACTATTCTGCTAATGTCTTTATCCTCAACTATAAAAATGAACTTTAATTATTCTACAATCTCAATGAAATATTTCGAAACAATAAACTTTTCCTATTGAGTGTGCTTAACAAATTATAAAATGCATTCTAATGACATACTCTTATATCTAAAATCAGGATGATTGGCATATGTGATTATTCTTCTCATTACAGTTTTGATGTTTGAGTAATTTAATTTCAACTAATCCGGAGTTGTCTATTTTAATGTCCATTAGATGAATTCTCCTATTAATTAAGAACAAAATTATTCTAATTAAGGGTCCTCCTTGTTTATTGGTTATTCAAATAAACAATCTAATAATTAAGCTACATCTGGAGCCTCATATTATTTTGAATTGGCAAACCAATGAACTATTCTTGTCAAATGTTCTTTAAAATATGTTCTACAAGGATGATCCATTGTATTGCTAATTTCTATCATAACAGGGAACATTTTTTTATAAATGTTTGCATACTCAAATTTCTTCTTTGTATTTTGAGCCACTGCTTTTGTTCCATTAACTGCTTGGTCTCCAATCATGTAAATAGCAAAGGCTTGCAGTAATTCACAAGCATATATTTTGGATTTTTCTAAAGGGGCACTTAGACACAAACTTAAAATCCTTTCTAAGAATTGTCCAAATCGAAGTTTCATTTTCCTTTAACCAACTGGAATGTTTATAGTGATTGGACTATTGTAATCAAGGGCTAAAAGGGATTCATTATACGTCTCATCCACTATCAGATGGCACAATCCTCCAATCGAACCCAAGAAATATCTAACTTTGTCAACTATATGGTTTTGATCTATGTGTGATTCAGACAACAAAATGTTTGGACAAATACTATCTATATATTAGATTGGAGTATAAAATGGCTTCTCTTATTCTGGGACTAATTGCATATATGATGATAATTTAGGAATAACATTTTTTAAAATCTTCAATAGATATTTTAAATTCTTTTGGTTCTTCTAATTGTATTCTGACTGTATTAATTGTATCAATAAATCGATGGCACTCCATGATAGTGAATTATTATTCATCTAAAAGGCATTAATGATAATCTAAATGTATTCTGATTTTAGTAATAAATAGTTATCCTTTACAATGAATTCAACAGGAATAGTCAATAAGACATTTAAGGCCTCTATTTATAATTATGAACTATATTATTTCAAATGATTCTAAATCAATCCCTTTAATTTTAAGATTAAATTAATCAATATTTATTTCTATCTTGCATCAAAAAATTACTAATTCATTAATTAAGTTTCTTTAATATATTTTAATAAGACCCTGACAAATATCAGTAACAATAAGGCCTTCGGATATTTTCTAATCTTTATTAACACTAAATTAAGCAAATTCAAAATTGAGTTCACTGCAGATTCAATTGGAATTTTAGGTATTAAAGCTGACAACATTAAAATGAATCTATGAAACTAAGCCAATTAGGTTGGATTAACTGCAAAATTTCTAAATTCTTAAATTTTTAAAGTGTATTGTTATTGATTTTATTCATCTATTTAATTGACTTCTTTTTATATTGACTCAAAATTACAATTTTAAATCAATTATGCAACTTGATCAAATAATTGTTTTACAAATTTAGTTAAATAGTGTTATGTCCATACTTTCTACTCGATAATCCCAATCCAAAATTTTGACATCTCCTAACAGGTTTTAATATACAAATCCCCATCAGGTTAATTTTATCCTAATTTCAATCCTTCAATCACTCCTTTTGATAATAATGAACCCACAAATTGTATGCCTATGGTTTAATGTCCAAATATGGAGATTATGATATTTGCCATACCATCATATAAATAAGGTCTATAATTTTCAAAATAATTATAATGCTATTTAATGCATAAAGAACACAACGCAAATAAATGTTAAATTTGTTTATCAGATATTTTACTGAGATTCTTGATGATATTAGCATACGATATCAAAAATGAATTTAATTACTTTTATCTATAAAGCAAAACCTTAAATTATGCTCCTCTTTTCATATTTCCTTCTTCCTCCTTATAAAAATCTTCATAAACCTATAATACTCTTTCAAAACCCAAATCGTTCAACTTATCAAAAAAATCTCCCAATTGTTTCTCACCTCTTAAATTTGCAATTGCCTTTGCAAAGTGTCCAACAGATCTTATGATGACAGTCATCAGAAACATATCGGCTTTGTTATCGTTCAAAATCTCTATAAATTTGTTTAAAATTATATTAAATATGATCTAATTAAATGTTAAAATTTACTTTATGATCATTAATACTATGATCCAATTGTTAAGATATTTTCTATATAAATAATTCAAGCAATTCTTACACACATTCTTTTAAATCTCTATTTCGGTGCTGCAAAATCTTGATATATTAATCAAACAAGGTCAAAGCATTAGTCTTTATTATCAGATAATGACTAAATAAATCAAGATTTTATTTCATGCATTTGCAAGCAGCTATGGGTACTTTAAAGGTACTCAAATCCTCAACTGGTTTACAAAATGTGACTAATGCTTAATATAATAAAGATATTTAATCTTGATTAAACTGATGATACATTAAACATTATTTAAAGAATTTAAGAATCCCTTCAATTATAACCATTTCAGGTTTACTACTCTTTATCTAACTAATTATTGATTAGAAAGCATGCAAATATATTCCTTGTTCCCCTAAATCGTTATTAAATCTCTTTATTAAGACTCCCAGAGTCTAAAATATTCTTCCCTTTACACCAGCTGTTAATTTAGTTTCCAAACATTCCTATAACAATATATGATATAGATTTTTGTGAACCTAAAGCTTAACCTAATTTTATAATATTTTTGAATTATTACTAAAATTTATTAATCAGAATGTTTATAGATTTTCATTATGGGTAAAAGGGATGCTTCTTTTGCCACTCCTGACTCTTCTTTTTTAAAATTTTAGATACAAGTGCTCTAATTATATAAAATTTAAATCATATACAATTATTGATTCCAAATATTCAGATACATATTGAACATAATTCTTTATGTATTTTGCTAAAATTTGATACAAGGATTTCTTGGTTTAAGCATAATAAGTATCTTTATCTAGAACATGGTTTGTTAAAAATTCTAAGAAACTTTTTTCTGATGCCATGATTTTGGATGAGCATAACCCAATTTCAGCATGGTTTAACTAATTTTCAAAAAGAATATTTTCTATTGAATCTTTTATGTCAGATGCCCTTTGGTAGTTTCCTGCTGCCAGTTTTTAAAGCTCTTTCTCTAGTAACACATTCATAGCTAAAAATTTGTAAAAATTTAATCAAATTCTTATTAATAAAATAAACACACTAAAATTCATTTCCTTGCTTTCTAGCTAACTATTTTGGAAACTATGTCCTCAATTTAATTATTCATTTCCTTTTCAAACTTTAAAAATTTGAAGGCAGTCTATTTAAATCTCTCCGATGTGGGTTCTTCGTTTCTTTCTAACATACCATAATAAATCTTAATCTCGCTTTATAAATCCTAAACCATTAATCTCAATTTTACCTTAACAGCAGAAATGTACTATTCCAAACGCTTTTAAGTTTCTTATTTTTATTACTATTAATATTATCTCTATTAATTGAGTGATGACATTAATAAAATATAAATAAATTTTACATTATTTTAGGTGAAATTTAATAGGAATTATCATACTTTATATTGTCTAGCATTAATATTAATCCATGGAACTTCTCCACACCATGAACATATGAATTATAAATTAAAGCAATGGTATTTTTAGTAATGTTAGATCTAACTATTATGGAATCTAGTCTCATAATTTTTTTCATATCAAATGACTAATTTATCAATTAATTTCAATAAATTTAGAATCTAATAAATCATTATTGAAAGCAACAAAAATTAAATCAGCAATCATAAATTTAAAGGTCAGTCAATACAAATTTGGTAAGGCCTTTAATAATTTTATTAAATGCACTTCCTTTAGCTTAGCAGCCAAACAGTTCATTCTAAGAACTAATTTAAATTAATTTAACTAACAATATTGTAAAAATATTACTAAATTCAGTATGAAATTTAGCTTTCCTAACTTTCGTTGAATTAAACCTTTATATATTTATTAAACTCTTTGCTTATTCATTTAATAAATAATTGATGATAGAGCATATTCAAATTATTTAATTTAATTTTATTAGTCCATGAAGGGTATTTAGATGAAACATTAATTGTAATGAATTATTGATAGTGGATATCATCATTTTAAAAATTATGAATTAGAGATTTTAGAATTCAGTCAATCTAGAGAAAAATGTAGGTTCTGTATTTCTTTTGAAGTTCATTTGATAAATAATTAGAATAATATTTCTAATAGGGTATACAGTATATATAGAGTTTTGCAAATCAATATCAAATCTATTAATATAATTATCAATTAAGGATATGACATATGAGATTATTAAAATAGAATTATTATAGCCTAAGATTAAATCAAGAAAAATGAGAGAAAACTCTAAAACAAGTAAGAGCTACAAATCTGAAAATATAATTGAAAAATGGATGAATGATGCATGTTTAAGAATTAGAAAAATATTAATATATTAATAAATAAATAACACTATCTATTGATAAATTGTGAGAAATAATTTTTTGGAAATTGTTCCTCATTTCATGAAATCTTGGAGATTTTGAAGATATTAAAAATTAAAAGTAAATAATGGTATAGTTGTATAAATTTATCTTTCTCACTTGTGAATGATTGAAAAGGAGAAGTTATAATTTTTACCTCTAACAGATTGGAAGAAGATTGATTATATGAAGAATTAGATAAATGCTTTCTTTTTGATTTTCTCTGAATTACGTTTGTTATTAAATTATCATTACTGGTGATTTATTAAAATTGATAATTAATTTATTGTCATTTATTCACTTATAAATCAACCTGTGAAAGAAACTTTTCTTTTATTTCTCTATAATAATCTTCATGTTATATCAAAGATTTGACTAAATTTGAAAAATCTGTATTTTTGACTTCTTAACTCTAATTGTATTCATAATTTATTCCCTCTTTATCAATTAATCTGTTTCGGAATCTTTATTCCAATATAGAATCTCTTTTTCTAATATTGCGTTAATTCTTACAATATTATATACCTAGAGCATTAAGTTCTTGAAAATATTGCTAATCGATGGATTTAACTTTTTCATTAATTGATTTCAATTATGAAGGAAATTTTATGGAAATATCTTTGAGGTCAGGTTTATTCTCCACTGAATCATAGGGTTTTTGATGAGAGGGTTTTATGGATACTTTTGCATCTAGTTATATCAATATATTCATTATTTTTCTCTATTAACCAACATCATTGTTTTCTTATTCGGAAAATAAACCAAGACCAGTTGTTATTTCAGAATATGACGTTATTAAAACCTCCTTTTCTGATAAAGATTATTGTTTAGGATCATCGCCAAATTTATAAGTTTCCTTTATTTACGACATTAATTTTTTTAGCTTCAAATCTAAAGAATAATTAATAAAATATATTTCATAAATCCATGTTGGAAAATATTACAAACATTTATCTAATTTTTTATTAATTTACAATAAATACTAATTAAAAGTATTATTTTAAAAATCTATTGTATTCAATTCGTTATTCGAGATATCTATTATAAATTTTTCAATCTAAAACTTTTTGCTATGACCGATCCAATGAATTGTGTATTCATTTGAGCATAAATCTATAGCTCCAACGATGTATTTATAAATCTCGATTTCCATTCCATTCCTTTCTACATTCCTATAACTATCTTTTAATAGTCTGCAAAGATAATTTGGTTTACCATCTACTAAATGAGCAAATACAATTTAGCGCCAGAATCTCATAGCATATCCCAAAAATGAAAATTTATATTACTCTTTAAACTAAGGCAATGAATTATAGTGCCATTAATTTTCATAATTCAAATTTAGTATCAAATTTTAAAATTGATAATAAAGTAGATTATAAATCTTAATATTATTCTGATAACACATCTCCTTAAGAAATTTTTACAAAACCCCCAGAAAAAAATCACAAACAAAATAAATAATTTTTACAGCTTCAAATAATTTCTCCAATTTTTTATTTTCAAATTTAATAGGTGTTTTTGATTTAAATAAAGGAATCAATTCATTTGTTATATTACTTTGAATGGCTTCTGCAATTAGAAATTCAGTCTCATTTAAATTTCCTAAATATTTTTCGCCAAGGGAATATCTTTACAAGGCAATTTCAAGTTAAAATTAATTCTATGCAATCTAATAAATTTTATCAGCACTTAACCTCAAAAAGGGTTGTTGAAATAATTTTGCCATATTCATGTTCTTTAATTACTATTTTTTTAAATCAAAACCTAAACTGCAAAGTTGAGTTAATTCCTCAAATATACTTGAAAATGAGGTGTCATATTATAATTATATCTGTCTTGGAGGATTTGCTCTGACATCTTGAATCTCTTGTTAATAATGCAGTTTTTCTTCATCTTTTTCTGGATATAAAGGACCAAAATCATATTAATCGATACTTTGAACATGTTGTTTCTTTTTTTTTTCTGATTATTCCTCATTTTCTTCTTAATAACATCTTGGAAAAAAATTGCCCATATTAAAATTATTATTTGTAATTTTATTCAAATTTACATATTTTGGATGCATATAGAATGCCTAAATTATTAGTTATTTCATTATAGACGTTCATTCACTTACAAACCTTGTGGGAAATTACATATTAAATAATTTAATATATATCAATTGCTAATTCTTTTTATATTCAATCGAGGCTTTAATAAACTTGTAATGGAATTGTTTTTTAAGACTTCAAATAATAATTCACTTATAATTTTTTTTAGTTCTCCTTTTAAATCTTTTGTTATCTTTTTTGATTCTATCAGATCTTTTTCAGCTGAACCATTGCTTAAGTAATTTTCAAACTCATCTCTAAATTCTTAGCTAAATTAATTTTCATATAATAATTAATGTAGATCAAATAGGCTGAACTTTTTAGAAAATTGTTTTTTCAATTAGATATTTTCGATTTGTTACTTAATAGTATTTTATTAATTAAGTTTGCAATATTTCTTGAAGCTACACAATATCATTTATACAATTAAATTTAATTATTATCTCAATCCTTGTTGTTTTTATGGAGTTTTTGCTCTAACTCTTTCTTCAATTGTAAATCCAAATTAATCCTTTAATATCATAGAGACTTGTCCTATGAGATGTTCTGGAACCTGCAATAATCCTTCAGTGTTGTTCAATTCGATAAACTGTACTTTATTCAACATCATATTCAGTATAATATAAATATTAATAAAAGGATTTTAAAAATAAAATGCATAATATTTGAATGCTTTATAATAATATATTTTATATTTAAGTTACAAATGTTTAATTCAGGTTAGTGCTTCATTGTATTTATCAGAACATATTTGACATTCTGTCTAAACTTCAAATAGTGACTTTAACTATTTACAAAATAAATAAATTGAAAATAAAATTGATAAATAACAAGAAAAGTAATGATTGCATTTGTATATTCTAAAGGATGATGTACAACTATGAGTTAAATCCAATTACCATTAAGGATAATTGGTAAATGTTTTATTTTTAATATTGCATTATTATTATAAAAATTTTCAAAAATCATCATAATTCAATGATAGCTAAAAATCTTGGTATGCTCTTTAGTTAAATTGAATTATTCTACTTTTAAAAAGTAGAAGCCCCAATGGATTTGGATTAAACTCTTGATTTAATGGAAGTTGGTAGGAAGAAAGATTTAAATTAATTGTCAAAAATTTATTTATCATTTATGAAATCATATTTAGCAGTAAATGATAAGATGTTGATTGCAATAAATCATAAAGCAATTATACAAAGTGAAATTTATATTCCAAAAATAATAGAAGATTTGAAATTAATAATGGAAATTATTCAAAATTATGAAGATAGATAAGATCAATACCCTTCATAATTAGCATTAGTATTGAACTGGATTTTAGCTACTTTAACATTGATAATTATTTAATCCAAAAATAATTGTTACAGAGGTAATCTCTAATATATACTTAAGTTATTGAAAACCTTTTACTAAAACTAATCAAATTTTCACTCAAAATCATTTATATTCCTCTCAAGAAAGTCATGATAATATTTCTGGTCCTATTATAAATTGAATTAAATGAAGAATTGCCATCTGATGGACAATATTGGTTAAAGATGTCAGAATATTAAAAAGCAATAAAATAACAATCTAAATTCTTTATGAAAAATGCATCGAATACAGAACAATTCTATGTATAATTAATAAATATTCAAAGAGAAGATTAATTTTAAGTTAGGATGAAAATTAAATGGGATAGATAATTGTTGTAGGATTACTTAGAGGTTTAGTCAAAACGGCAGGATCCGTATCAAACAATTAGCAAGGAGTTGATATTCATAGAGAATGGGAAGAATATTGTATAATAGTCTTTCTATTTAGATTTGAATGATAGTAAATTGGCTAGTGCTGATTATGCTAAATATAAAGAATAATCAAATTAATAATAAGATTTAAGAAATTAAAAAAACGAAGTGATTGATGAATTTGATCGACATAGAATTGTTTTGAATTATGCAATAACCCAATTTTTATTATTGTTTTTGAAAAAATTGAGAAATAATTGTAAAGTACAATGTTCATATTTAATTTAATTAATAACAGATGCAAATGGAGTGTTAGTTTTCTTAAAGTTTTTTGAAAAGTTCAATCCTTAATCAATTTCATCAACCAAAATTGATTATGATCAGTTAAACACATAATAAATATTAGAATAATGTGTAAAAAATTTGGTCAAATTAATTTATATAACTTGTAATAATTTTTCAGATAAAATCAACAATTATCTTATTGATTATAAAGAATATGTAATTGAATTGTTAAATTTTAGTTAGCTATAAAAAAATTTCCAGGAATGTTTCCAGAGAACAAAAAAATAAAAAAATACAGTCATTTATTATTGAAGATTTAAATTTTAAACTTTAATAAGAAAAACTTGAAACTTGGAAATACAATGAAATTAATATCAGAAGTCTATTGCAAATACAAATAGAATACTAAAAGTGATAATAAAAATATATCAAAGTAAGATCAGCTCCTAGATTCTCTCTATAAATTTGAAAAATGCTAAGATAAAATATACAATTGTGATATAATATAATCTTAAGAAGTAACTTTATTTTTAACTAATTAGGAATTAAGAAAGTTGCATTTCGATTATAATAATTACCATTATAATAACACAATTGATTCAATTCCAGTTTATAACGATGCCGAACCTAACTATAAATAGAACGATTATCTTGAGAAGTTATAAAATCAACCTATAGATCATGATTTTATTTCAAAGTATGAGGAATGGTTGGAAGAGAATGTATGGGATTATTACGATTGAAGCATGCTCTAATACATATAATTAAAATATTTTAAAAAAATTCTATGGTTTTTAATTATTTTATATTGTTCTAGCCTATTCTTAATAAATTAGAAGTATAAAAAATCTCTGATTATTATTGTTATTCTAGTTCATATTCTCTTAAATGTATTAAGACAGTAAATAACTGTTGTAACCAAATTAATGTTATTTCAAATTTCTTAAACATTTCTAGTAATATTTTAATTTCTTAACCTCATTCTTAATAATAACAAGAATAACTCAAATCTTAAATTAACTTTATTATCAGATATCTTCTGATTAATATACTAATAATTAAGATTTATAAAGATTGAGGAACCTTATAAATTGTTAATAAGAACAACAGTCAGTATTATGAAGTTAAAATCGTTGAAAATCAAAGAAATTATTAAGTTTGATAAATTTATCAAAGTCAGCAACTTAGAAAATTCAAGTAATCAAATGGGATTTAATGTCGGTTTGGAACCAAAAAATATGAGTGCAAAGGAATTGGCAATTATACAGACGAGAAAAGCTTTATAGAATATAATCTCATGGTCATTAATGATTTATCAAAATGTAAATCTATATTGCCAATATTATTTATATCAAATAATTTCAGAATGATCAGCTTCCGGTTGACAATTTTGATATATCTAGTAAACTAATAAAGAAGATATTTTGAAGATAGTCAAGGATCACCTAAGAATTGAGGAAAAATAGCTATATTTTAATAAAATTGTTACTTTGATGCTGAGTTAATAATTTTTAAATAGAAGCAACGAAAGTGATGCATTTATTACCTTAGTTTTCACTAATATTATATTAGATTTGGGAACTAACTTAATTTTTAAAAATTAAATGATGCCTACATCATACAATTAATATATTGTCATGTTACTATCGAATTTTTAGTACCATTTCTTCAATAATAAAGTTGAATAGGTAAAGCAAGAAGAAGGAGAGTAATCATAAGGAAAAATAGAAGATGAATGTGATAATTAATCAAAATTAGAGAAAAAGGAACAGAAAAATAAGGAGAATGATAATGATTATAACAAAAAAATTCATATTTTTCCAGGTTAAACCAAGAATTACTACAAAAATATGGGTTAAAAGATCGTAAACTTTATGGTTGAAGAATTTTAAGATGATGTGAAAGTAATGAGTGACAATTATATAAAATAATTTATGAAGATTTCAAGTCAAGGTTTTAATAGGAATGCCATTTTGAAGCTCAAAAAATCCAAAATAGCTCGAAAAATACTAAAATTATTCTTTGCTAATTATAAATGGGTAAAACCCTTTATATCCTAGCATAAGGCAGAGCTCGATTTGTATTTCAGATACAATACTTAAGTCTATTGTCCTCAAAAGAAATAAAAAAATTTAGAAAAATCAATAAATAACTAAATCAAACAAGAAGAATGATTAAAATTTGAATATTAAAAAGTGCTTTATATAATAATGAACTGTATTCAATTATTTGAACTCATAATTTTATTATTGTTGTTCAACCTTTTATCTCAACTATAGGATTTTACTGTTTTCCCAATAATTAAAAAATTATTTTTTATTTTAATACATACAAAATCACAATATATCAGTTTTTCCAATCTCTAAGAATTGGAAAAATTCAAACCTATTGACATGATGCAATTACAATCTAAAATCTCAATATTAAAGACAAAAAGATTAACCTATATAATTGAAAGCAAAATACATCTGAGATTTATTAAGATTGTTTAAAACAAAAAAGTAACCTATAGAGATGGACTCATACTTTCTGAAGTATAATTACGAATTCATTAGAAGATATTTCATTACTTTTAATTTGCTATTAATAAGACTTGGATTTTCTTTTAATATTAGTCTCATTCGAACAAATATAAAGTTAGTTGCCTTATAATGTTATTTATGCTTAATTTTGGCTATTTGGTAGAAATTTAAACAATCACTTCACACTATGTTTTTAATTTAGAATGAAAATAGTGAATATAACATATGAAGCACATGTTTTTTGAAAGAGATTAACTCATGTGCTAATTATTTTTTCGTATTGAATGTATTCTATAAAATTGAAAAAATTTATATTTAATGAATATTCACAAGCAAAACTTAATACAAGTTACTCATATCAATTTCAGTTTAAATAATTTAAATTGAAATATAACAAAGACAATCAAAAAATGTGAATTCAGATACATCAGGCTCAATGTAAATAGTTGAGCATCTCAACAGAAAAATGAAAAATAATAATGTTAAGAGCATTGACATGTGATAAAGCTGCTCTTCCAAAATCGTGGACAGAATTTTTCAATTTACAAGATTTTAATAAAGGATGAATTAAGTAAATTATTCATTAGTATGAAGAGTAAATTGGAACTCTAATTAATAATACAAGCAACTCTAGCAGATTTAATTTTTTTTTAAACTATTTCATTCGAAAGCATTATCTAACTCCAATTTGAAAAATTCAAAATTGCATAAACTAATTTTATCCCTTCTCCAAGATGTTTAATGAAATTTTAAGTAAATCATATAAATTACAATAAAGAGGTTTATTGGCTTAAATCAGGTCGATATAAAAAGCATGTTCAAAAATGGCAAAGGAGAAACTCAAAGAGTTGTATTTTTTTGAATTAGATTATGTGATTTTATTACATTTTATATATATTGTTAAATTTATTATATAATTAATGTAATAATACACATTAGATAACATGATGCCTAAGCAATATTTTGATTATTGCATCAAAAAATACGGCGCAAATGATTATAAAGAGAAGGAGATGGTCATTGAAATCAGTGAGCAAGCTATGAAAGAAATTTAAGTTTTAAAGTGGTTCCATCAATAGCATAATCGATAATAACCATGAAATAATATTTTTAATCTAGAATTTACAATAAAATTACCTTATAAATTACTATCATAACTTACACCCAAAATGCACAGCCACAACTCCATCTGTATAATTTTTAAATTCTATAAATCTAAAACCAGCATTTCTATTATATTTTTAATAAATCTTATTAACAATGGAATTTCTCAATGCTCTCTACTAAATATTAATATGAATTTCTATCATTAGCCACAATTTATCCCGTAGAATTAATAAATATAATTGAAAAGAGATAAAATTAAATCATTAACATTTTTATGAATTTATTCTTATTCTTCAACTATATATTTCTTAAATTAATTAAACATAACTTACTGTAAAACATGATTCTAAACACTACTAAATTCTAAAAATTAAAATTTTCCTCCTAATTTCAAAACTCTACGAGCTTCGCCAATTGCTTTAGAAATTCTAGAAACATTTCTGATTCCAAAAGCAATTGTATAAGTATCAAAAGTATTTGATTCAAATGGCAATTCTTTGCCGTTTGCACAAAAATGTCAATTTCTAATAATTAAAAAACAATATTACAATTTTAATATCCTAATTCATTTGCTCTTTTTTATCCAACGTCAAAAATAGATTAATTTATATCTAAGACTGTTATTTTTAGATTTTCATTAAACAAATTACTTCCTTTATATTTCTCAAGTATACGGAATGCAATATCGCCTGTACCTCCAGCAACATCCAATATGGGAAAATCTCCATTTTTTAATGATCCGAGTTCTTCTACAAAGAAATTCTTCCAACATCTATCAATCCATCACTCATCAAATCATTCATCAAATCGTAGCTATTTTTAAATAAATCGGTACTTATTTGCAACACTTAATTGACACTTTATTATTTCTCTTCAAGTCTGACCTTCTTAAAACCAAAGTTAGCTTCATGACAAAAATTAAATACTTTCAATTTAATTAGTGATTTTGTCATAAATAAAATATAATATATAAAAATATAAAATATGTACATCAATCATTATAAACATAATTTACAATTACCATATAAGATTTTTATATATTTATTAAAATATATTTTAATAACTATCATTTTAATAACTTATTCAATAAAATGACAATTACATTAGTAATAATACATCATCGTTATTCTCTTCTTAAATAATATTAGGAACTGGTTGATATTTAACTTCATCATTAAAACGTACAGTAAGTTCTCTTTTTTCAGAATTCACTTGTGATGATAATTTTTTTTTTTTTAAGATAATTTAAAGGTTTCTTTAATGAGGTGGTAGAAATAGCTTATTGTTATTGCTCTGGTTAATTCATATTTTAATGTTTTAATAAGGCTATTGATCTTAGATTGCTGAATTATTTGTGAGCCTTTCTAAAAAATTAAAAATGAGTCTAAAAATAAGTAGAAATATAACTTGAACACTTTTATTTCCTCAAATTTTTTAGAATCGATTTGTAAATAATCAGAGTCGTATTTATGCATTACCTAATAGTGCCATTCTTCTATTAAATGCATATAGTTGTTCAATTCATCAAGCTCATCATTGTCAAACCGAAAATCTTTACACAAATTATATAAATAGAACACTCCTTTTTAAGGATTTGTAATTTATTCGGGGTTTTATACTAAACTATTATACTTTCTGCTTTTCTTTTGATCTTGGATATTCTAAGCACCTATATCTTAATTGTTTTATCTTCTTCTTCATCGTTTCTTGGAGATCTATTAGAAACCCTCCTATTCTTATTCTTCTTAATTATACAGTTGCTGAAATCATTTAAATTGTAATTCTGGCTTATAATTCTGAATGTTTACTAATGAAATTATCAAAATTACAATAATTCTTACAAAATTACTTCGCCATATTAAATTCCTTTTCTGCTATTATTTTTCAATTTACAACTAATCATCAATCAAGTCGAAAAAAGTAGATTTAAATTTCATGTATTAATGTAAGATAGTTTAAATATGATATAATAGTTATCTTGATTAGAGAATAGACTTTAGTTTAGAATATCTATATTCAAAATATTCGATTCATCTTATCATAAACAATAGAGAAGCTTCAAATTTTTGAGATTAAAAACTTGAACCATCAATAAAATCAATGATATTCTTTTCTTGAATATGATATTGATGTAAAGATTATTAGAAATAATAGGATTGGATAAATAACTTTTATATTATAAATAAATATAAACTAATTTAGTTACATAAATTAAATAGGATTACCTATAATTTATAATATAATATAACCTTGTATTTTATGTTAATCTTGAAAATTAATATTAATTTTAATGATTGTAAAAAATTCATGAAAATTAATAATGCTCATTTATTCATGACAATTGAGTATTCCATTGATCCAAATATGCCTCCATCAGAATTCTTAGAATTTTTAAAAGGGTTCCACAATCTTGAACTTTTCATTTTATTCTTGTCATACTTCTTTATAACTTATAACAGATTATCATTCTGCATATAGCCCTAATAATTATAGTAATGATCGACTGAAAAATTAATTTGTTGAGGGTGCGATTATATATATTCTAGTTAATTAAATTCTTTTTAATCCAATTCGCTTGGTTGGCCTTCCAATTCATCTTTTGTTATATGCTTAGAAGATTATCTCATATTTGATTACTATTTTCTAAGAGACGGAGCTCTATTAAACGATTATTTCGATTATTATTTATTAAAATCCTTTTTCAATGCATTATGTATTACTTTTCTTTTAATCAAATTTTATAATCCTGATATAGAAATTCTAGGAGGCCTTTGAGGCATTTCAACTTATTATTCAGATCCTTATTTATCAAAATTAAAAAAGTCTTTGCTTTATTATTTATAATCTATCATTAGTTTACTGCTGATTCCTTATGTGTTTTATTAATTATGCCCACTATACATTTTAGGATTAAGCTGTTAATTTGTGTCCTCAATTTCATGAAAATTTGTCATTGATTAAGTTTAAGTAAATTCCTAAACTGATTCAACTACTTTGCTATTCATGGCTAAAGAATTTATCTTATCTCCAGCCCTTTTGAACGATTTTCTATTCATTTCTTTTTAGAAATTTTTATCTGGCTACATTACTACTCTAAATCGATCTGGTCTATAGGTGATTAAAGGGCATTCAATATTAGTATGATTATACAAATTGCAAATATTGCATTTCTTTAAGATAACTTAATAATTATTCAAGTAGATGATATTGTCCTTGATATTATGAAATCTTTAAAAATCTTTGTTGCTTACACTGTTAAATAATTTAATTAATGAGTTTCGATGAATTCTATATAAAATTGAATGACCATAACTGATTGCTTATGTTTTTGCAGGAAATCCTGTAAAAAACTAATGTTCTCCAAATGTCTCTCCTACCTTAACGGCTTATAAGACTTTATTGCTTCTTTCTTCACATAAGAAGACTTGTCCCTCTTATAAGTAATATCTAGATATTATGTATAAAATGTTTACAGGTACTAATCTTCCAAATCTCCATTGTTGTATATGACTTCATCTGGAATGTATTTAACTTATTCTATTTTCTGTGATAATTATTTTAAAATAGATTATGAAAAATTGTGATTTAGAACAGATATCTTCTCCATGATATTCATTTATATTCCCATAGTTAATTCTTATCTTAATTTAGCAGGTAAATGACTAATAATTTCCTTAACCTCCCCATAATTTTCATTAAATTCTGTTTATATATAATGTTTGACATAATTTCTTACCCTATTTTAAATAGTCTAATTTAATTATCCTTTCTTCATATAGTTGTTGATCTATATTAAACTTCTCCTATTGATATACTTTATATTTACTTATATCTCTATTAAATATCATAGTTGTTCTTCAGAATCATTCCTATGCTGTTCATAGAATAGGCAAACATTCCGCTACTTAATAGCATCATGCAATTTATTAAGAACATCTCATATTAATTTGCTGCTGTTATGTCTCCATATCCTACTGTAACCATTGTCATGATAGCCCAATAAATAGAATAATTATATTACACCCATATGGATGCATCATCAATGGAATACTTCAATAACCATGATTCCCCTGTGGTCACAGTCAATTATCCAACATAATGAAGAATGCAAGCCATTACATGAGCAAACGAAAGGATAGTGATGATCAAAGTAAATATGTCTAATACATAATTAAAACTTCCTTTTAAGAACATAGTCTCATTGCAATTGGAATAATTTTTCAACATCTTTTTAAATGAAACTAAAATTATTAACCCACTTGCTATGCTATTGGAAATATTATTGATGTTTAAGTATTAAATCACCCAGCAACTAATATCAATAATATCTTCAAACAAATGATTTGTAAAATAGTTAGTAAGGATCTTTTTCTGATTAGTTATTGTTTCGCCTGAAATATTTATTGGCCTGTTGGTTTAGATGAAGATTTCAATAAATATCTAAAACAATATTCCGATTTAGAACCACATGAAAATACGATATTCTGGTCTGAAGGATACTATTAATGGAGATACCCAGAGACATAATATCTTGATTAGTAAGGACAAAAGATCTAAAATCAAAGTTACTTTACTCCCAGGAATTAGAAATATTTATTTATCTTACTCCTATGAATTAACTATTTTTTATCAAAAATTAAAAATACATTCTACCCTTTTTGAGCTATTTTATTCGTATTTAAAATGGTTTTGAATTACATCCTTATATTCCTAACTCATCACATAGGAACGCAAAAATAAATTGCGCTTGAATTGTTTAACTAGCCTCTCTTTTGTCAAATTCTTGAAAACTAAGTTATCAACTAATTTCAGACTTACATCTTATTTGTTTTTTCTAGTTAACTTATATTCAATATTAATTTTTTACCATCCTACGAGTCACTCTATTATTTTTCGCTGACTAAAATTAAGGAATTGGAGTTTAGGCAACTTCTATATAATCATTCGATATTTGAAACAGTGAACTTTTGAATAAATCATGGGATGACTGTTTTTGAACATAAGTGAGCCTATTGTCATCCAACTTTACTTTTGGGCCACAAAAGTTTTTATCAGTCGATTCGAGATTTAATTACTGAGACAATGAATTCATTGATACTAATAAAGATAATAAAAATAATTTTCACTAATTACAAATTTAGGGAATGTACCTTAGTTAATTTCTATGATCATATTTACATTATCAGTAGTACTTGAATTTAAGGCTGAATTAAGTTCACAAAATCAATCTAATCAACATTTATGTTATGATGATCAAATTTCAATTATTAATTATCTCAAAGAAATTTCAATATAATCTTAGATAAAAAAGAGTGTATGGATCAATAATTGTATTTGTTCTAATATAACTCTAATTATATAATCAATCTTAAATATTATTTATATCAAATTTAACTAACATTTTTGCTTATTTATTTGCCTTAGTTGAGTATCTTAAGAGTCAAAACTTTTACATTATTGGAGAAAGTATATTTTCCAAGTTTTTCTTTCTATTTCCAAAATCTTTTTTATTTTTTTTTCTAAACTTTTTGCAATTCTTTAATCTATGATTCAATTGTATATTATGGCATATAACTTCGAAAAGTATTGCATACCTTATCCAAATTAAATGAGGATTTAAATTGTTTTTATAATAATAATTACACTTCCTCAATCATACAATAATTTTTAATTGCACTCTACTCTTCATTCTAAATCATCATTCTTCTTTAGGATGATTTCTATTCAACTTGTCCTAATTTCTATTTGGAAAATGATGACACTAAAGGATGAAATAACAGTATACTTTTTTATAATTTTAAAGGACCATAATGTTAAGTTGCTCTTTTTTGATTTTATCTTGGAGGGGTATTTTCAAAGTGTCCATCATCATCAGTTTATAATAATTAAGATGAACTTCTTTATTGTTATTCTGAAAAAAATGATTTTTGATTTCCAAACTTCCCTTCCTAGTCAGAGTCCGTATCCTCACAAAATTGATTGTCTTACTGAAATATTTTAAGTTATTGTTCAATTGGTTGATGTTATCCTAATGCATGATGTTTTCTTTTTGTTCTAATAACTAATCTTCTAAGATTTACAATTTGATTAAAGTTTTGTTTCTTCAAAATAGCCTCTAAATCAGGTTTATATTAAATTAAAGGGCAATCAATTTCTTAATGTATATACCTGTTACAAAAGTTGCATTTATGATCAAAGAGGACATAATTTGTTGAAAAAATCAATTTCTCTTTGATATGATGGAAGATTTCAAAATCTTTTTAGTTCTAACGAACAATATCAAGGAATTTTTTTCTACTGATTTTATAGAGTTCACTTGGACTTTGACAAATAGCTGTTTCTTTTGGAGAAAACCCTGTAAAAAAGGAAAAATACCCCAAATATTACGAATTCTTTACGGATCTTAGATTTTGCTCAGTTTGACATTCAATTAATACAACATCTCCGCTCTATAAGAAATATCTAAAATCAAATATGATTATACAAATTATCTTCATGCTAATCACCCTATTTATAAATGAAATCTCCAGGTATGAAAGATATTAGCTCAAGATTTTTAGCAACCTGTTATTATGTATACTTAGAGAAATGATTTATTATGAGTTTCATTTTTTTGATTACTCTAGATTATATATCCGAATTTAAATCTTATTGTAAATTCTTAGGCAATTGATTAATGATGTTTGTAATTTCATCCTAATTTTCTTTCTTTTCTTGTGCTTATTAGAATCTCAAATAGTTTCGAATTCTTCCCTGAGTAGATTCATCAACTTAGTTCTTACTCATATATTAAATCATTTAAATGAGGTTCTTTCTAATTATACTTGTATTTATACTTATATGTTTATTTTGTATCATAAACATTCTTGAGAATTATTCCAATCGAACTCATGGTATAAGCAAAAGCATAACTAGAAAAAAACATAATAAATGAGGAAACTAACATTTCAATTTAGTTTTTTGCTGAAAAGTCTCCATACCCTACTGTCGTCATTGTCATTGTTGCCCAATAAAATGCTGAATTATATCTATTCCAAACAGTTTCTTCATTTAATTGGTTTTCAAGAATCCAAGAATTATGTAAATACTAAGTATTTTCACCTACATAATGCCAGACACATGCTATGATATGTGCAAAATAGTAAATTTGAATGATCAACTAAACCAAATCTAAAACAAAGTTTTATCCTCTTTTTGAATAGATATATTAATAATAATATTCCTATAAATATCTGAGTATCTTTTGGTAAATTAGTATGATTTATAGAACTATTATTATCTCAAAATACAAAGTAAATAATATCGAATATTTGATATCAATCCATATAACCATTCTTAAGAAATCAGATAAAGCATTAGATTTTAAGTATTATGTAATTATTTTCTTTCTATTAGTTATCAGAACGGCAGATACAAATATTCCTCTATTAAATTGTGCTAAAAAATCTAAAATAAGCTATATTAATATAATTTATTGTAAAACTGATATTGCCTCGTTATTATAATTGTTAAAAGCTCCCAAAAAAGGAGTCAGCCAAAGCATCATTAGATTACATATAAATCCAAAGATATCCCATATCATTATTGAATTTGTGGATGGTAAGAATATAGGGATAACCGATTTATTGTCATAATCTTGATTATTAATGATTTAAATACCTTTTTTTCGATGTTAACTTATGAATTATTTTTCAAGTAGCTTATCAGTAATTTTTTATTTCTGAGTATTTCTTAGAATGTATGAGTTAGTGAATAAGTTATTTATAAATCGATGAACATGTTGTTATAATTTGTAGCTTTGCAAAAAATGAGATTATTTTTATGTTTAAATTGTTCTTAGTGCTCTATTCGTTAAAAATTATGCATGTTTCTTGAATTCGGTCTTATATTATATTATTGTATTACTCTACTTTCGAATCTTGACATATTCATATCTATGCTCTTGTTCTCTATCATATCTCTTTGGCTCTCTACTTGATAATCGTCATCTAGCATTAAGTTGCACGGCGATTCCTATTTAGACGATAATTATTGAGTCAGTGCAGATGGTCCCATTCTCTAAGAAACTAAAATCTCTTCCATAACTATTTATATAAAAAATAATGTTAATTTCAAAGTTAGCCTCTTTAGAATATGAAAACTCAATAAATAATCTCTTTCAAATCCATATATTCTGAGTTATTGGAGATAGAAAAATATAACCATGTTTTTTATTAATTATCCTTATAACCCAACATTAAAATCAATGTTTTAAGTAATTAAAACCATTTTACAACACAAGAATAAACAAAACCAGTTCAGAAATAATATTTAAATATATTCAGTAATATATTTTTTAATGAATTCCTTATTAACAAAGGTAAATAATTTAAACCAAGGAAAGAACTTAAAAGGCCATTTGCCTTAATTCACAGACATCGTTTGGCATTATTAACTTTTTGAAAAAAAAATCCTTCAAAAATCAAATTTATTATAAATAATCAACATCATAATACTTGCATTAAATTTCATATTTCAAAATATCCAATATGAAAATAGAAAACAATATGATGACCATTTAGAGTACAAGGTGCTTAATAAAAATTTAATTTAAACTTGATAACTTAATAGCAATCTGAATTATAATAACATTGTGAATTACAGAAACAGCAGCAGAATTTATGAAAGATAATTTTAAAATTAGAAAAGTATTCTTAAGACCAACAGAAATTCAATCTAATTAAATATGAAATTTTTAACTAAATTTTTTACTATTATTATTATTCATTTCTTCACGAAGAAATTTAATAATACTCTTGCGCAACCTTAAAAACACTAAAATGCTTATTTGTCATAGATAAATCTTCATAATTTCTATTATTTTATTAATAGAAATATCTTGTATTGTATCGTAAATATTAACCATTTCTGTAATATGATTTTTAATTATTTGACCTAATAAAAAATGATGTTAGTCTACAAAGTATTAAAAATTCCCAACAGCCTTAATTTCAAATTCATCAAATTTCATCAAAAGAGATCTTGGAAATGAAGGACGATTCTATTAGATTGTAGAACTACTTAATAACTAGACTTTTAGTAATAAAGCGTATTATTAAAAGTATATGCTTTCTTAATTAACTGATGGTTAATCGATAAATAATATCTAAATTTATAGAACTAGAATAAGAAATAGTTAGGAATATAGATCAATTGGTACTAAGATTATATATTCATAAATGAATAATTTCATATTACTTCTTGGCTTTAATTTTCTTGGCTAATTGCTTGACTCTATTATATTGAACAATTGGGCATAAATTTTTTGTAATATCATTCTAAAATAAATTATATAATCTACAATTTTAATATTTAATTTATATGATTTAATTGGTTGTTCAGGCTCCTCATTTATTAAAGTGTAAATATTTGAAATCAGTTTTTCCATGTCATTTTTTGGAACTTCAGTCTATACTGTTTATACTTTGTAGATTAGCTACTCATTTTGTTAAGGTTTATTATTTTATAATTATATTTATGATTATTATTGATCCTTTTTAGTTCTGAGTAAATCTTAAAGTTTTATAAAGTATTTCTGTTCAAGTGTTTTATGATTGAACTAATAAAAATACAAGTTGTTACGATGCTTACTATTTATAAAACTGGGATCTTCAATAAAGTTCTATAATGAAAGAATAAAAATAACAAATACATCTAAGATTATTTTTTACTTGGTTAATCTAATTTATAAGACTCTCACATTCAATTAGTTACATCCTTTTGACAAATGCCTTATCTTTGAATTTACCTAGGAATATGAAATAATATGTTACTTATATAAAGTGTAGTAAATCTTGATCTTCTAGAAAGGATGAAATCAAGAGAACCAAGAGATCATGATCAAGAACTCTTTATGGATTAGTCAAAGGAGCTATAGTGTTGCCATAAGCAATTTGATTGAAATATTGTTGTATTATAGAGTTCATTATTTATATATAAATGAAAATGTTTTCAATTCTTAACTAATTATTTATCCTAAATTAGATTTTTATAATTATTTTGTTTCATCATGTACATTTTTCAATATTCCATCCAACACTCTATCTTGTCTCTATTACTATAATTGTTGCCAACCCTTACATAGGATCAACAAGATCTAAGAGATATTAAGATAGTTTTATTTCCATTCCTTAAATAATTCCATCAATATTTTACAAGTACTTGTTTGAATGTCTCTTAGCTACTTATTCCTTTATAATTTTAATTATTCTTGTATTTCAATCTACCTTTCAATTTGTAAAACAATTATATCATCATTCTCCTAACAGATATGAATCAATTATTTTGATAGATTGGTCAATTCTTGCATTATGCTTTATGAATAATCTTTATGAGGTTCTCCTTTTATGTTCGTTTCGAAAATATAAGTTGATGAAGATTTCATATCATGCATATCAGATGCCAATCGATGTAACAACTAACATAAGAGAACGGAATTAGATTCCAATTTGCTTGTTGTGTGTTGCAAACCATCTTCAATAATCAATTCAAATTAGTTGATGGGTAATTTGAGATCACTAATAAATCTGTTTAACGATATAAACATATCATCTTATTAATTATATGAATAGTAAACAATTACTAAGAAATCTTTAAGCTTTTGCCATAGCATTTGAATCTTGAAATTGCCACTCTAACTTTAGAACTAAGATTATAATCATTAATTTACATTGTTAATGAAATCCAGAGTGTTATTAGAATAGCCTTAATTCAATAATTAATCTAGCAAGCAACAAATATCATCAAGCTCATAATTAGGTTATGATTTTTTAAAATCAGAACTGAAATTTGTTTATCTTTGATCTATTCTGTAAGAATTCTTGCAACTAATACTTTCTCTAGGAATATATGTGGAATATCTATTTGCTATAAAATGATTCTTTAAACTCACGCTCCCTTCTTAAGTTCTAGTTGTAACAGTATTACTAAAGTTAGTATTACAATTATAAGATTTCCTTAGGGTTTCATTTTCGCCTTGTATTCTTTCTAAATCCTATAAGGACTTAGCAAATAATTAAGTAAGAGATGCTATTTACTGATTCATTTCTTCAATCTAGTTGGATTATTATATGATCTTGCTATTCATCTACTAACTCAGTTCCAGCAATTCCAATCTTTGAACTTTAATGTCATTGTACTCCTTTTTCTATAGTTCTAAATCTTGTATTTGGTTCTGCATATTTTAAATCTTAAGATTTTAATTATTTTGAAGACTCATATTGAATTTTTGGCTCGTCTAATTGAATTCCATTAGGAGATCAATTAGTTTGTCTATATCATTCACATTATCAAAGTCACTATTTAGAGATTTTGCTAGATGGATGATGTTATCAAGCTCAAGCAAATCAGAATTATTTTGAAGTATATGTTGAAATGCAATTTTGTATTTTGAAACTCTCATTTCAAGATGTTAAAGTGCATCAGTATAAAGTTTAATATCAGAATGATATTGTTATTTATAAGCATCTATTTGGGAACATACAAAATCGATTGTTTCTTGTAATTATTGACACTTTTGCAAACTCTGATTCTACATTTTCTGCCATAAATTATATAATTCTTATTCTCTTTCCATTTATTTGTCTAAAAATTCTTTCATACATTGCTCTTTGAAATAAACCAGAAATTCTTATTCATCAAGAAAATATTCATTTTATCTAATTTTCTTTATGCTGCTGTAACAATTACCTTGATTATCATTTTCTTTATCTGTCATTAATAATTTTCTTTTAACTTGCTTATTGATAGCTAATTAATGAGAATATGTAATTACATTATGTCCTTGTAATTTAAGGGGAGAGAGAAGGAGCTTTGATAGGTGAAAACAAATCTAGTTGTTCTATATATACATTTTTCATTGATTTATTTAGAAATGAGATTTGAGTGTTTTGTTATTACAATTATTCATTCAACTAATTGATTTATTTTTGGAGTTCGAAATTGCTAATAAATAATTAGTATTGATTTTACTTGGCCAATTCTTAATCTAATTTATTTTGTGTTTGCAATTATAAATTATTTATCTAATCTAACAACTTTTCTTATTCAAGAACACGTTGATTTATTTGAAATTCAAATGCATCAATTACAAGAATGAATTCTTCTTACAAACTTTGTTGGAGCTTATCATTGAATTGTTAATAAAGCTCATTTTCTTTCAAATTCAATTTGTAGTTGTTAAACATATATTTATTTTATTCAGTTATTAATTAGTGTGATTACTGTGAATTTATATATTTAAGTATTTGAGAGTTTAACTTAGCTCAAAAAAATCAACTTATTGTTATTTATTTAGATGCTATGCGTGATTACAAGTTGAATATAGATTGATATTATGATTAATAATTAACAATAATTAAAACAATGAATTAAGTGATTGGTTACTGGAGATAATAAAACTACAGTAATTTAAATTTGATAATATGGTAAATGAATGAGATTTGAATTCAGTCAATTATTTACACAATATTATTATATTAATAAAAAGTAATAAAAATTTAATGTAAGTGATCTATCAGATGATTTGTTTAAGAAAGCATATATTGAAAAGCAAAGCATATTATTTAGAAGTGCATGATGATTAAATGATATTGAGTGAAGTAATGAAATATAAATAACTATCAAGCATAAAAACATGTCAAATGCTAAGTATGTAATAAAATATACATGGGAAACAAGGATCATGTGGAAGGCATCTGATAGTTAAGAATTGTGTTCATTTGGAATATATTATAATAATCGAATTAAATGGTTTGATTCTGATCACAATTCATTAAATTTACTTAAAATACACTTATCAGGAAAAGTATTTTTTGGGAACATTTCAATATTTTATGATTCGAATTAACTTTTAGGTTAAGGAGCATCATCTAAAGTATGTCTAGTTAAATGCAAAAAGAGCATATCACAATATGCAGCAAAATGTATTTCTAAGAAATATTTGTTATAAAAAAAATCAAACGATAGAATTGTATAAAATCATATTTAATTTTAAGAATAGACTATAATAGGAGATATAAATCCTTTAGAAAATAGATCATTCAAATTTTGTGAAGCTACACGAGATTTATTAAGGAGAGAACTCATATTACATAGTGACAGATTATCTGGAAGGAAACACTCTCTATAATTATATCAAGACATATCCGGATGATCAATTATCTTCCTATCAAGTAAGAGAAGCCATCAAAGTTATAATTTATTTATAATACTATCTAGATAATCTTAACAGCTTTGAATTATTTGGCCTCAATGAACATTATACACAGAGACATCAAACTAGAAAATATATTGTTACAAAAGCAGAATGATATTACATCATTGAAAGTTATTGATTTTGGATTAGCTCTATATAAATACCCTCCCTAAAAATTGAGTGTTTGTGGAACACCTGGTTATATAGCACCAGAAATCCTAAAACCTACTGATAAAGAAGAGTATTTCACTGAAAAATGTGATATCTTCAGTGCAGGTGTTATCTTCTTCAAATTGTAATCAATTTCATATAATGTATAGATTAACAAAGAAAACCTTATTCAGAGCAGAAAATACATTAGAAATTATGGAAAAAAATAAGTTATGTTAGATTAATTTTCAAGAATTTGAATTCAAATTATAGAAGGAAGCATTGAACTTATTGAAAGGCATGTTAGATCCAAATCCAAATACTAGATATTCTGCTTAATAATGTTTAGATCATCCTTATTTCAGTTGCAAATTAGAAAATATCAGCATTTTGTAAGAAATCTTAGATAAGGCCACAGGATTCTCAGGAATTACACAAATCAGTATAACGTGCTTATTAATTATTAGTTGATTACAAAAATACAAATTCTATTGGATAAGAATGTCAAGCAGCTTAAGTTAAAAAATGCAATCCAACTTCATATAGGATTAGGATGGAATTACGTAAGAGAACTAAAAGTCCTAGAAAGTATGCTGATTTCTAATTCTACTATCCTTCTTTTTGTTAAATGAATTCATGTGAAAGTCTTAGTAGTAAGGGATCATCTCATAATGTGTCCCAATTCGAAAATTTTATAAATGATAAACTTGATTCTGTCATTGAGGAAGATGAGAAACAATAAATACATAAATAATGAAATACTTACTATTTATTTTATCGTAATTATAGAATATTTATAATTTACATAACTATTTATAGTTACTTTATGAACAGCTCAATAAAATATAATTTTGGACAGGTAATTGTATAAATTATGAGAATATTAAAATTATAAGAAATTCTTTAATAAAAAGTATCAACTTATAATAATATTCATTAACCACGGGGTTGATGGTTGGGAATATTAAGCTTAGCAGAATTATTAGACAAAATTCAAAGGATTTTTTAAAAAAATATAAAATCTTGTCTTCAAATGAATAGCAATCAAGACTTGAAAGAAATGTGTGTTGAATAGATCTAAGAATGTGAAACATAACAGAAACTCTTCGATGAACCACATTACAGAGATGATGATGATCAAGTATAAAATTCCATTATCTTAGTAAGGAGATCAATACTCCGAAGAAGAATAAGTTCCTGTCTACTCACCTTATCAACTCTCTTTATATAAGAAACCAGCTCCTCGAACTTTAGATGAATTTCATTTAGACGAGGATCCAAAAAAGAAGGTCTGCATTGAAGAATGCTCAACAACAGAGTAATCACAAGACCATCATGCTATGGGTGACTTAGAAATACTAGCAGCAATGCTATAAAAAGAAAATTAGAAAAAATTCTCATATCCAAAAAATCTTCCAATTCCAACTAATGTAGATGAACATTTCTCTAACTTAAAAATGAGATTTCATCCTTCTCAAAAATAAGAGGAATTTATTTAATCCTATGTTAAATCTGATGATATCATGAGAATCAAAATAGGATTGTGTGATGAAATTCTAAATGATGATGAAACACTTAAGTTTGAGGATTGGGTAGAACAATTGTGTACATCTACAAACCATGAGTCATTAAAAGAGATGGCTAGAAAATAGAAAGTAGCTCGATATCTTGAGAAAAAACATAGTCGAACATACGAGAAGAAAGTTCATTATCATGTAAGATAAAAAGTAGCTGAAGAGCGATTAAGAGTCAAAGGCAGATTTGTTACATGGACACAAGTATTCCATTTAATTTTATAATTAGGCTTTAAAAATGTTGAATCAATAATAAGACACAATCAAATCATGGACCTATAATGATTACTTTAAAATTAAAAATTTACTAAATGAGAAATTTGGAGCCATTAGAAGTGAAAGATCACTAAAGTTATGATTCTTAAACTTTTGTATTTAAAAATTTGTGTATTCTTTATTGCATCTAGTGTTATAAAAAATATATATGTAAAATTCAATAAATTTATACACTTTAATTATGCTATCTAACAAAGTGAGACACCTGTAATTGTACTTCATCAGTATTTTATTATTTCTTGAATATTTTAGGTAATTTTAATTATTAAATTAATGATATTTTTGAATCCAAATTCTTTTAAGTAGGAGTCTTTAAATTCAAAGATGAATATTAATGTTAAAATTAAGACTACATTACCTTAGCCTTTCTACTCTATTGAATTTCAATCAGAGGACATTCGATTGTTAACTGTAAAGACTTCTCTTTTATATGCTAAGTTATAAATTCATAATAAGATTAAATGTTCGTGGGTTTATGTTATATCTTGCCTAGAATTTCTTTTTATAATTTTTATTGAGAATTTTTATTGGAATTTCTCTCTGAATTCTTTTATGGTAAAGGTAATTTTGATTTTTAAGACAACCTATTGTTTGTAGTCAAACTGACTTTTTCAGATGCATCCTCATCATCCTAAGTTTTAACACAATGTGGTGTGGTTAAGGAATTTAAATAGTATTCCTCATTAAATTATATCGATCTCTGTTATCCTAGAAAGATGTCTTTAGATATCTTTTTATTCTAATCTAATTTAGCAATCAATTTATTCAGTTCATTGAGTGTTTCCCCATGACAACAATATAATTTAAACCTCTTATAAATTTATAAATGATATACATCTGCAGGCAAAAATAGCATTTTGGATTTTTCAGTTAAACAAACAGCCTTTGATTGTCTATGCTCAAGATTTTGAACAATCTCCAAATAGCCAAACAATTAACCATATCCACATCTATTCAATTTTAATTGAATATTTTTAGAACCTCAATATATAGAATTCATACTTAAAGATCTATTCATCCGTTTTACTAATAAACTTTCATTTTAATTATCATTCTTGACATTTTGAGTAATTTCAACTTGCCCATCTAACACAAAATAAACTCCTCTATAAATAATATCAGAATTTACTTGACAATCTCACCTTCTTTATAAATCTAAGTATTATAACAAAATTCAATAGGTTATAGATGATATTACATTTAATTTAATTCAGCATCATTCCAATCATTAAATATAGAAATCGATTTTAAGAAATCAAAATTCTTTTATTAGATTCTACTATAATATTCAGCTAAGATTGGTAATCAATAAAGATACATAAAAATTTATTGAAGGCCTCTCTTGATAAGGTAATAAATTAAGACTCCTCTTTGCATACAATTGTTGCCTGTCTTGGAATAAAATTTGTAAGAGCAATTTCACCAAAACTTCCACCTTAAGCAATCTAGCCTACCTTCATCATATTTGGATATTTGGATAACAGCATATTTTCATCCTCCAAATCTGCAAACTCGAATTCATCCTAAACAATCAAATTTATAATACCTAAAAAGTGCCCTCATCATAATCTGCCTTCTTCTCCTCCTTTGTGAATCCTCCATTCTATAAACCGGATTTCCCTACCAATACCTAATTAATTTATTATACTATAATACCCAAACAGCTCCACTTAGAATGATGTAAAAATTCTTACCAATATCTCCTAATCGAAATAATGTTCTTCTTGCTGGCACTGCTATATATTATAATTCCTAATTGGATTATAGATTATACTCTAAATAAATTTAACATCTCATCTTAACTTGTTGTTTTACTCATCTCTTAAAAATATTTGATGGATGAAAATGCCATTGATAACAATTACAATTCATTAGAAGTTCTTTGTTTTTTTGGTTTTTCCAAAATATCAATTATTACCTAAAGTTTTATGTTAGTTATACATACTTAAAAATGCTCCTTGTTTTATAGATCTATGTATTCTTTGGCCAATATCTCTTTAACCTATTATTAAAGATGGAGTTATTATTTTATTTTCTCAATGTTTGATAATTAGTGACTCATTTATTTTTTATTTATAAATTAAATTAGTTTCCTTTAGAATAATATATATATATATATATTATAAATTAAAATTATGTAAATTTATAATATTTATCATTAACAAATCATTGCTAGCCTTCATAGAATATAATGATTTACATAAATAATTAATATATATATATATATACATTCGGAATGATTTAATCTTAAATGCAGAATCAACCATTCAAATTCTCAATAATCAACTTTTCTAACCCTAACTCCTCCTTCCACAAATATTTTAAAGATAAATCACAAACCATATAAATGCCTGAGTCTATAATAGAAGATTAGCATAGATTTTCTATTTTTACTGAAGGATCATATGACAATTCAGAAGCTTAAAACGTTGATAAAAAAGGAAAGATCACAAAAATTAAAGACAGGATTAACTCCAACCATAAAAGTCAGATACAAAAACCATTCAAAATTTCGGAGACTTATAAAATAATATTTCTGTATTCACTTTCTCCTAGATTTCGAGGGACACCTGTACTCAATTTAATAGTTTTTGTACTTGTAATAAAAATAACATCTCAAAACTACCTATAGCAAAAATACAGAAAATTAAATTATTAAAGCGTTCTTGAAGAGTGGAGAACATAAGAAAAACTTCTCTAGACATGATTTTACCAGGTTATTTAATGACGTAGCAGCTGATTTATCAAGGCAATATTTTTCTGGATTTCAAATTATACATGATCTTATGATAAGTGAAAAAATACAAGACGTTAAGAACCATATCAAATATATAAGTAAGTTTTATAATTCTACTTACAATAAATAAGAGCTGGAAGAACTTAAATTATAATGAATATTTTTAATTAATATTATTATCGAAAATTCTATTTTTCAGCAAATAAATTAATTTATCTCTTCATTTCAAATCTCTTAAAATTCATTTATTAATAATATTTTTATTCAAATTTTTTGAAAAAATATCCATATAAACATTCAATTTATTTTGAAACCATGAAAATTTTAGAATAATGAAAGCTCATCGTTATAAAAAAGAATGAAGTTCAGAATTAAATCTCTAGAGATTAGTATATTATTATCATTATTGCATTGAAATTTTATGAAAAAAAATTTAAATAACAAAATGATATAAAGTTCATTTATATATGAAAGAAAGATGGTGAATTTATACGCAATTATTTTAGCGTTTAATCAAATCTATTTAAAAAGTTAATTTGATTTTATTATTATGTAGGATAACAAAAGATTTCATAAGCAAATTAGTTTAGGAATTTTAGATTGATTTAATATAAAAATGTGCTTCAATAATTGATAATAGTGCTTTACATAAATTCTAAACTTAAGATGAATATAATGAGGGCTGTTTAAATCAATTCTCTATGAAAATGAATCATTTTTGTTGATAATATTAACTACTTAATTGTTATTTTGATAATTTATATCTCCTTCTGCTACTATTATTTTTACTGTTATAATTTAAGAATTCATAATAATTTTCTATTATTTGGTTTATATTTGTTCTTTTTTATTCCCAGAATACATATCACGAAATTACTTCTATTTATTTGGATTTAGATTAGCCTTATTATAAAGTATTAAAGAAGAGCATTTTGATTTTAAGCATAGGCAAAAACACTCACTTATTGATGTCAAATGAATTTTAATTGATGTGAATATTTAATACAATAAAATAAGAATCAATCCATCTAAGAAAAGAAATAATCTTTATTCGACTTTTATTTTGTATATTCTAATACTTATTTCTCTGTGTTATTAGGTTTTAATATGTAAGATTTATTATTAGACAATGGAATTGCAGTAAAATAAAATTGATTTTATGGCTGTCTTGATTATTTCTTATAAGGAGAATTTGTCATTAATGAATTGCTTCCAATATTTAAATTTATTTAATTATTATTTCCAACACAATTGTATTTAGGTGAGTGAATTTATTAATCCATGTTTTCTTTATGAAATGAAAATTCCATATTTTAGGAACTTTATTATTAAATTTAGCGTTATAATTGTTTTATCAACTCTTCTTATTATCTAATAATTAAATCTTTATCATCTGCCTCAGTTTGTGTATATTGATTTTCTCTTTTGATAAATTTAACTTTACATCGACTTAAATCTGGTAATTTTTAAAATTGATTGACTTTGTTTAGATCATTTATCTGTACCTCACTTACCTAACTTTATTACAATCCTTGAACATTAAATTCTTCTGTTTGAATTGGAGGTGATCTTGTTACTTAACTATTTGATATTGGGATTATGCTTGGAGTATTTCTTCGCTCAGAACTTTAAGATGTATCAAATATTCTCGCTCTTCTTGCTGATGAGCTTGAATTTTATAAGTAATTTGATCGTTAGGAATTATTTGTACTTTACATTTGATTTTTAAAATTATTTATATATATTTATTAAGCGAATGTAATCTAAATAAAAATTTGATCTAGCATATAAAATATTTATTAGTCCAGGTCCTGAATCTCCTTTTTGACTGCATTCGATATTTCACTAAGCTTCCTCCATCTTCATAAATTACCTTAAATATTTTGGCATAATTTATCTCTGAATTGCTTAAAGTGTATATTATCTCTTTGAGCTAATGTGGCATAATCTTTAATTCAGGACCAGATTTTCTCTTTCTGGTGAAGCAGTTTTCAACACTTTCCTCATCATTTCATATTTTAAACTCTGCATCATATAAGAAAAGAAATTTTCACTTGATTTTACACAATATAATAACAATGGAAGCATCTTTGATTCTCATCATACTTTTATATGCAAATTATTACTTTATTTAGCCTCCTAATTAATTGAGGTGTCAACACAGAAAAAATAATTTCTTTTTGTTATTATACATCCCTCTCAGTGATGAACTTAAAATTTCCGAGTTGAGTGTTCCTTTCCTGAGTAGCCAAATGAAGTTTTTAAAAGTTTTCTGTGTTTGGAAGTCCTGTATCAAACAAGCTTCTGCAATAAAATGAAAGTTGTATCACAATAAACTACTTACCAGTTGGTTTTTTTTGTTTTTCAGTCAACCAATTATTTATATTTTTCCATTGAATAACGATATTCAATTTAAATTGACAGGTGAAGTAATTTACTTTGCTATTATTGATAGCTTTTTGAGTTTTAAACAAATTTTTGTTTATAGGGTTGACCTCTATATCATTATCTACATCCAAATGATGTCTTATAATACTTTAATTCCAAATATACTCCATATTTCTAAGGAGCCAAAGATTTTTAATATGACTTTTAGATATCAAAATTTAAATTAGCTTATAATTAAATCAATTTTTTCTGTCAGGTAAATAACTTAATAAATAATAATTAGAATTGTTAGATCGAAGTAATTGTTTTATTATATAAATATTAAATCAATTTAGTTAAGCTTAATTGGTAATTCTATTCCTAATATTTCTTTAGAAAATTAATTGAAATATAAATTGTATTAAATTTTATGATAAGTTTTTCTAAATTTTTTAATGTTAAATTATTAATTATAAATTGCTAATCGTCTTAACCATGAATTGATTTCTACTGTAATTTTTTGAATTTTAGGGTTTATAACTTTAAAATTAGAGAAGACCTACTTATTAAGTATTTTCTTATTAATTTAATTAAATTTATTGTAAATATGTTGATTTAATCGGAGATTGTTTCTTTATTTAAATTCATTAATTTTATCTTTGAAAATCGCTTCAGATGGGAAAAATAAGTTAAAATAACTCCAAAAAGGAAGATAATTCAATTTATGAAAAAAGAATAATAGTGATATAAAGTCCTTTTATACCAAATGAAGGTAAATTGAGAAATCGTTTAGCTAGAAAGAAGCAATACAATTGAAAATAAATTTAGTGAAATGAGTCAAAATGGAAAACTACAATAATTAAAAAATCCATAAAAATAATTCTCAAGCGCCGAAAGAGGACAACTGTTAAATTTAAGCTGATTTAAATAATATTCATGCTTAAAGGCAATAATATAAGAAACTAGATAGCATTCGAGATTATTAGGCCAATGAATTTAAATAAGTGTGTTAATTATATAGGTTGGACGTTAAGTTAATTGGATCCTTTGTTTATGATTAAGACAAGGTTGAATTTCAAGNTACTTTTATATGCAAATTATTACTTTATTTAGCCTCCTAATTAATTGAGGTGTCAACACAGAAAAAATAATTTCTTTTTGTTATTATACATCCCTCTCAGTGATGAACTTAAAATTTCCGAGTTGAGTGTTCCTTTCCTGAGTAGCCAAATGAAGTTTTTAAAAGTTTTCTGTGTTTGGAAGTCCTGTATCAAACAAGCTTCTGCAATAAAATGAAAGTTGTATCACAATAAACTACTTACCAGTTGGTTTTTTTTGTTTTTCAGTCAACCAATTATTTATATTTTTCCATTGAATAACGATATTCAATTTAAATTGACAGGTGAAGTAATTTACTTTGCTACTTTAATTCCAAATATACTCCATATTTCTAAGGAGCCAAAGATTTTTAATATGACTTTTAGATATCAAAATTTAAATTAGCTTATAATTAAATCAATTTTTTCTGTCAGGTAAATAACTTAATAAATAATAATTAGAATTGTTAGATCGAAGTAATTGTTTTATTATATAAATATTAAATCAATTTAGTTAAGCTTAATTGGTAATTCTATTCCTAATATTTCTTTAGAAAATTAATTGAAATATAAATTGTATTAAATTTTATGATAAGTTTTTCTAAATTTTTTAATGTTAAATTATTAATTATAAATTGCTAATCGTCTTAACCATGAATTGATTTCTACTGTAATTTTTTGAATTTTAGGGTTTATAACTTTAAAATTAGAGAAGACCTACTTATTAAGTATTTTCTTATTAATTTAATTAAATTTATTGTAAATATGTTGATTTAATCGGAGATTGTTTCTTTATTTAAATTCATTAATTTTATCTTTGAAAATCGCTTCAGATGGGAAAAATAAGTTAAAATAACTCCAAAAAGGAAGATAATTCAATTTATGAAAAAAGAATAATAGTGATATAAAGTCCTTTTATACCAAATGAAGGTAAATTGAGAAATCGTTTAGCTAGAAAGAAGCAATACAATTGAAAATAAATTTAGTGAAATGAGTCAAAATGGAAAACTACAATAATTAAAAAATCCATAAAAATAATTCTCAAGCGCCGAAAGAGGACAACTGTTAAATTTAAGCTGATTTAAATAATATTCATGCTTAAAGGCAATAATATAAGAAACTAGATAGCATTCGAGATTATTAGGCCAATGAATTTAAATAAGTGTGTTAATTATATAGGTTGGACGTTAAGTTAATTGGATCCTTTGTTTATGATTAAGACAAGGTTGAATTTCAAGTATTACCATTTTTAGAACCTTATGAATTAAGCAAGGGTTATTTTATAAAGGATAATGGTATGTTTAAAATTTTAAAAAGTAATTTCTTATAATTTAGCAATATGGCTCAATATATAAATGTATTGGTAAAGATACTTGTGGAAAGGGAAGATTGATTCATCCTAATGGTGATGTATATGACTGATAATTAAACGACAAATCATTTGTATTTGTAATAACCAAACAATTTTCTAGGGGAAATATGTGTATCAGGATGGAGTTCAATATGTGGGATATTTTGAAGAAAATAAGTTAAATGGACATGGAAAAGAAATCTGGCTAGATAGAGCTCGTTATGAAGGGTTATGTAAAAATGGAAAAAACTTAGCAAGGGAACATTTAAATTTGCTGATGGATCTATATATGTTGGTGAATTTGTTTCAAATAATATTTAACGCAAATCAAATATAGATTGGCTGAAGGAATGCAAGAATATTAAAATGATGGAAAAAGGGGTTAACATATAAAATATAACAAGATCTTCATTTACCCTGATGGTAAAAATATGAAGGGGATTATAAAGACGACAAAAAGCATTGTTATGGAGAATATAGATGGATGGTCTATTGGAGATGTAATTGCATTATTATATAATTAGAAAACAAAGGATAAATTTATAAATGAGCGATTTAGAGTCATTTTATTTTATTAAAAGAAATGAACTAAGAAAACAATTGCTATTTCGTTTTTATTATCCAATAGGTATATTAGTAAACGAATAATTCTAAAAAACTTGCTATTCTATTAAATTGTATTAAACATAATAAGATAATTTAATATAATATAACATTAAGTATGATTATTTTAATCTGTTACTTTAAATTTTAGGATATACAGATATTAATTAAAGGTAGAAATTTTAAGATTATTATTATTAAAAATACTTTCTCAATTTTTGTTTAATTTGGTGGGATTTTAAATACAAACAAGTTCACTTCTTATTTTTATAAAGAAATTAAATCTTCATTGTTGTGACAAATCAAATTTAACATAATAGTAATTATTAGAATAAATTTGAAATTCATTTGAATTAAAATTGTTATTACTGCACTTTTTTACAAAGAATTCATCAATTTTATTATAAAGCAAACCTTCAGATAAAAGCAAATATAGAATGCTGCTACATGTAAAATGAATATTACACCATTTTATTAAATTTTATAAATTTAAACTTTAGCGTTCTATTCATAATGAGCAATATTGGATCATTTTCATAATTTGTAAGCAATTATAATAGTAAATTTGAATATTATGAATGCCTAGATTCTACTTCCAAATTTATTATTAAAAGCACAAGAATTAGGAAATCAAGCAAAATAAGGTTCGATAATATGAATCATCAATCAAATGAGAATATGTGATTTTGGTATCATAAGATTGAATTTTTTTTTGTGGTGATTATAACTTAAAATTTTAAGCTTATCAGAATATTAAATACTGATTAAATGAAACAAAAGAGAGTTATTAAAGTGGATAATGAAAGAATCAATAAATTATCAATAAAGGAAACCAGTGTTAACTTAGATTGGCTGCTGAAGTCACCAAATATAAATGAAATATAATCAACCTTGCAATTTATATCACTTATCGATTTGCGTATCGAAATAGATAATTTTGATATATAAGGTGTGTGTCATACTGTTTATAACAATTAGATTGAATTGAAATTTATTTCTGTAGCAAACGATCTATTATGTTTTTAAGAAGGAAAATGTGTAGTTTTGAGTGACTGTGTTATCTAAAAGAGAAAATTCCATAGTAATCATAATTAACTATTTTTGATTTCTTTATAAAATCAGTTAGGAAGACTTATATTAATATTCTAACATCCAATATCATAGAAAGAATGGTATAAGGTTTTAAAATTATCAGCCATATAAATTGATTTTCTTAAAAAATACAGAATATTAGAGAATATATGTTTAAACTTTTATTACATTTCACACAAAAAAAAGAAGAAAAAATATGCAGCTCAAATAATCAATAGAAAAACTTCAAACTCTATGATTAATAAGAAGTCATAAATAATTATATAAAAATTTTAAGAAATAATAATATCTAGAATATTTTTCCTATTATTAGTATTTTTGATGAAAATGATATTCTATATCTAGTCACTGAATAATTTGTAGGTAGCACTTTTGAATAATTATTATCAAGTCAGAATACCTAAATTACTCAATCTGATTTAGCTTTTATAATTTTTTCTGTTCTTTAGAATTTGAAAAGTTTATAAGATGAAGATCTATTTCATGGAAACTTAAATCTAGATAATATTATCATTATTAATTAATCAAGTTAGGTTGGAGTCTATGTTATTAATCCAATTTACAAAGTAATATTTATGGTTAGCTTAGGTTTACAAATCTATTGATTATTATACCCACACTATTCCTGATTATCTTACCGCTCCTGAAATTAGTGGAACTTAAGCTCCATCAGTTTCTAGTGATATTTACTAATTGGGGATCCTTTTAATGTTGGTCAGCTTTTAATGTGCGCAAGAAAAACTTGATGCTTCGTTTGTTAAAAGAGTGTTGGAAAATAAATAAATTTTGGAATCTTCCTAAGAAGTTAAGTTTTAAAAGTGCCAAGATTCAGATTATCCTCATCTTTATAGCGCTTGCTAACTAGATTTAATCAAATAAATGACTGAGAAGGATTCAAATAAAAGAATTTAAGTTTAAGATGCAATGAAACATGCATGGTTTATAAATACTAAAGATAAACTCAAAATACAAAAATAATATTTCAATAAGTGTTTACCTAGCCTAAAAACAATTATAGAAATGGTCGAATAAAGTGAATAAGATATTAGAAGAAAATCTCTGTAATAATCAGGGATTAATCTTATCCATCAAATGGGATCAATTTAAAAATACGAATTCAGTCCCTATAGACAATTATAATCAGAATTTAGTCCCCTTAGAAAAACATCAGAAAGTTAAAATGAAATTGTAGACGAAGAACATTAAATAAGCAATTTAATTGATTAGTTGAATAATAAATAATATCTGATGTTGCCTTCGCAATATAATCATCTCAATTAAGCCAATAATTAGTTAAGACTCATCCAATCTGAAAATAACTTCGACTAATTTCAAGTTTGAAAATATCATATCAATTCTTATTGGTTATAATTTTTATAATATAATATCGGGGTATTAACTTAGAAAATTAATCTCAATTATATGATAAAAGATATCAGATTTTCATCACTAATATTATTATGAACTAGCAAAATTCAGATGCAGAATTGAGATTTATCAACTCTGTAGCTTCATCCCCCCATACTCACAAACTTGCTAAATAGATATATCCTTTAGATTACACATACAGTTAACAAGAATATGAATCAACTCCTATTGTATTAAGATTAATAAACTAGCCATCTAACGACCTAATAGTTCTAACTAAGAAGAAAATTAGAAAATAATTGCCATCAAATTAATTATGCAATAGTGGACATTGGACTCCTGAAGAACATTAGACCTATGTAGAATTTCTTCAAAACCATCTAACATAATCACTGAGCTGTAGTTAAGATAATAAGAAAAACAATAAAATCTTTAAGCTTATGTCTTAAACGATTGGAACTAGATCACCATCGTAATGTAGGTAACTTTTAAGTATAAACTAGGTCTCATCATTAAAAATTTAATCCTAATACCCCAGCAGGTCAGAAAAGAATGAAAAAAACCAATAAAAAAATAAGTAAGCATAAACTTTATCTCTAGATGCTAATTTTCAGATTAAACTACCAATCACAAATTCGATTAAGCAATTCTATACTCCTGACCTTAAACCTAATTTAGGTTTACATTATGATTTATTTTAGAGCCTATGTCTAACTTTTTAGAATGTCATGATTCATAAGATATCCAATAGGAGGAATCTTTCAAAATTAGAATTCGAAAGTATTCATATAGCAATTTTGATGATAATTAAAATATTTGTAATTCTCATTACAATCTCCTTTTGGAATGAGCTTTATAATCAAAAATTTAAAATTCTTAATGTTAATTATACTCAAAGATTTTTTTTGGTTTTTTCAGTTAAAATAATTAATAATGATTTATTAGCTTTATTGTAATAAGATAACAAGAGAATAAATTTAGTAATATTACTTTGTCCTTTTAAACTTCAATTTTAAATTAGAAATATTCCCTAGTTCATTTCAATTTATGTAAGGGTCTGAAACTGAATTCAAATCTTCATCACCTTTTAGATATAATGATTATTTGACTATTACTTTTTCAACTCATACTAACATTCTTTGTTTATTTTGTATTCATTTAGTGGAACTCCTTTTTTGACCATTATTTATACTATTATTTCATAGAGAAAGAGATAAATTGTAACAAATAATATTATATAACAAATATTAGATGAAGTATTTTAAATTCTTGTTAAAGTAAGACAATCTTTTTATTTATCTTATCTATTATTGTTTTAAGTTCTAAGTTCGAGTAATTAGTTTAATTTAAAATGCAAGTAGAAATATTTACTTTTGTGCGAAATAAAAATGCCAATTTAAATATCTAAAAATATTTCCTTTTTAATGAACTCTCTTTATCATTATGTAAAATGCTAAAAAATTTCACTTGCATAGATTAAACTTTATGAATATAAAATATATTTATATTAATCAAAACGTGTAAAGTAAGATCCCAATCCCTATAATAGTTGAAAAACATTTCTCAAGACATCGATAATAAGTTTGTACATCTCCAGTAGTTGCATTTGCGATTAAACTAGCGCAGGTTTTATAATAGAGAACCTTATCACTACCAGTAAGGCAGTATTCGCTTGATTGCATGATATAAACAACTTCAGCTGTGACAGCACAGGCTTAGCCACATTTATCTCTTAGATCTCTGCAATTGCTCCATAGACAATTGGCATAATCGACTTCTGCGCTAGATTTCAGCCCTTACAATAAGCAAGCTAAAAAAATTAGTATTTTCATAAATATTAATAAATAATATATGTTTAAGTGTTTACTTTAAATTTTGAGAAAAGAAATATTGTATAAAAAAAGATAATGATAATATGATATATTAAATTTTTCGGTTTGTAGTTGCCTTGGCTAATTGGAAATTATTAATTCATATGAATGTCCACAATTCACAACCACATGGACTATCAAAACCATTTTTTATTAATCAATTCAAATGAAAATAATATTACAATTACTTATAATTTAAAGTTAACTATCAATTTAATGAATTTAACTAAAAAAATCAGTCATACTTAAATCTTTTCATTTGCAACGCAGATATGTTTTTATGCCTTTGATTTATATGAAATAATTGTTTAAACTAAATTGTCTTTTGTTTTATATTTAGCTTCCTGAATGAATTCAATTGTTATTTCATCTTGATCTGTCAGGTAAGGTAAATAGAATTAATTAGAATCTGTAATGATATTCTAAAATTTCTAAACCTTCCAACCTTGAGGTAAATTGATTTAAAGCTAGGCCTCCCAACAAAATGAACTTTAGAAAAAGGATTCAACTTCGTTATAGAATGTATCCACTAATTTAACTTTTAAATATATTTTTACAATCATCATCATTGTAGACATTGCACTTTCCATGAAGATTTCGAGAAACTTCTTTATAATAGTCTTACACATAGCAATTTTACTGAATTATGAATAAATGATAATGATTCTTTCCTATTTTTATATCTGCGTGAGATTTAAGTTCTGGTTCAATGAATTAATTTATCCAAGTAAAATGAATAATTTTAATTGATTAATATTCTAGCAATCTATTTATAAATGATTAAGCTAGTTCAATAGGGTAATTAGATTTTAAAACATTAGAGTTTTGATTATATTACGATAGACTTTCAATCATTCGACAGAGTTGCCTAATTTTTTGGAATTCTGTTGAGCAATTAAGAAACAGATCTAATTTACATTCTTGATCATATGATGTAAGTGTAGTCATTCTGATTTTGTTGTTAACAAATTGTAAAACTGTGGGATAGGGAGTACAAGGAATTAAAGCGATCTTGATTCATTGTATTTAATACTTCATCGATTTGATTAAGAGATTATTCGATTAATGGAATAATCATTCTACATAAGGCTTGGGAAGTCACATCAATTAAAAACAGAGCTCTCCTATTAAAGGATGGCTAAGTTAAAGCGATTTCAAAGTTGTCATATAGGATAGGTTATTGCTTATACCAAACTGGTAACTTTAACAATCTTTTGCAAATTTAGCATTGCCATTGATCTTTTTTGATTAGACTTAGATTACTAATGTAAGTAGCACAATAGTTGCATTGTGGAACCTTGGAAATGATATTAAAACATTACCTGTAGGAATTGATAATTTAACAGCTCTCCATTGGCTTTTATTTTAATCATAAATTATTAAATAAATAAGATGAATAATTTTAGGGTCTTCATACAACTTTGATCTTAGATTTAAATAAAAAATATAATAGGAGAATAAAAAAAGAGATGAGTAAATAAGGAAAATTAGGTTGATTTTAGTACTCTATTAATGATTTAAAGATGGAAGAAAATTGAGAATATAACAAGATTATAAAAATTGGAGTAACTATAATCGAATAAAAGGTTCTAATTTTTAAGATATAAAGTTTATTAGCATTTTCACTCCAAATAGTTTTCAAGCGTAAACATAGAGTTTAAACAAATTTGTTTTGATCTTTTAAAAGTTAAATAATAATATTAAATTTTTATTAAAAATACAGTTTTTATTGATTTATAAGTCAAATCAGAAGATTTAAAAATAATCATTTTTTTTTATTTTCCATTAAAAAGTTCTGCATTTTTAACATTCCTATTATTCTACAATATTCTAATTGATCATAAAATTGGCTGCTGAATTCCTTATTAAATTGTTAATCCCTAACTTTTGCTTTTAATTTAACATTATTTTATGTATTGATTTGATTTTATATTTCTTTGATTAAGTTGTCAAGATAAGTTTCATCTTCTGTACTATCCTAAATACTGAAGATTAAGTCTTCGCATTTTAACCAAGATTTATATTTATTCTTTATTACTTATACTGAAAATTGTTTTTTTTTAATATCTTCTGTTAAGGTAGCATTCTTTCCTATTTGTTGATTAATTTTTTTTGATTACTTTTATTGTTATGTCAATTAGAACTCTTTTATTCTTACAACATACCTTTGAAAATTAAATGCCTTAATTATAATAATAAGTGAACATGCAATCATTAATGATTTTTTATTTCTATTAAAATTTTCTTGAAATTTATTAATATCTTTTTTTTAAGGGATAGAATCAATCAGGATCTTTACCTGGACCTATAATGTTTAAAATTCTTCGCTTAATTTATCTATTTCGCATTAATTTTCTTGTAGAGCTTATTAAATTTTTGTTGTAAATAGATGTAATTGCGAATCTAATTTCTTTATTTATATTTATTTTCCTAACCATTCATTTTAGATTTATTATTCCCTTTCTACTTCTATATACTTGATCTTTTCATTTTATTTATTAATTTCATTTATCACTTCTTATAATTTATAAAATTTTCTTTCACTCCTCTCTTTAGTATCCATTAATTGAGAATTATAACGCTTCGTATTTTCTTTAAAGAAACAATTCTAAGATGTCTTTTTCATCTCATCCGAAGTTACACTTATATTTTATAAGTAATTTTCCTTATAAGCCTCAAGTTTTCGTTTTTATTCTGTCAACTATTCCCTTTTTGTGTTATATTATTTCACAATTTCATCATAGTTATAGTCTTGAAGTTGTAAATCCATAAATTCAGTTTATTTTGTCTCAAAGTTTTAAATTAAGGATTCCAAAAGATAATTTATTTTTTATAATTTGTTATCTTATTCTAACTTAAAAATAGAATCAGATATCTTATTTAACTCTATTATTTATTTCTTATACTCATCTTTTTTTTCATTTAATTCTGAAAACAAATTAGTACCTCTTTCTTTGAGTTGATTCAGCTTGTATTAAGATTCTAAATTTTATTTAGATTCTTATATTAAATCATCAAATTGTTATTTAGCTAGATATTTCAAATCTTTTAGTTCTTTAAATCTAGTATTTAATTGTTAAATAATATCTTAATTTTTCAATTTTTTGCAATCTTATTAAATTGGATTTAATTGATATGCAAGTTCTTCTATTTATTATTGATAATTATTTGATTTAGTTTCTATCTCCTTTTAGAATTTGTTTTATTCACCAGATATTAATTTAATCTTAGTCATACTCTATTATTCTTTTTATAACGTTTCTAATAATTTTTTAACTTACGATTTTTCTTCATCATTTTTCTTCTTTGTTTCCATAAACTCTTTGATTGACTCAGAAATATTACTCTCAATTAAATTATCTAACTTTTAACAAAATTCTTTCATTAACTATTATTTCGCTTGCAGCTGAGTTAATATTGTTTTATCAATTAAATTATATTATTGTATTTCAATACTGATTTTGTGTTTTATATCTTTAATTTATTTTAAATATTATTGCATTTATTTTTTTAATTCTTCTTCATAAGTAGAAATAGATTCATTCACTGATATAATATTCTCTTTCAACCTTTAAAATTCATTCTAAATTTCTTATAGTTCTAATTTCATAAGTTAAATTTACTCAACAGTAACCATCTTTGCTGAAGTTTAATACTATTGAATTTAGTTAATCCTAGAAGCAATTTGGCTTGAATTTTCTTTTAATCTCTGAAAGTTATTTGTAATTGTTTGATTGTATTCAGAATAATTTTCACATATTTTCATAATTACTTGAATTTATAATTATGATTCATTATATTAATTCTGTAATGTTTGAAATTTTTTATTCTGATTATTCATTTCTTATTGATTTTTACGTTCCTCTTGCAGCTGCTTCTCTTCTCTCGCTATTTATTCTTATTTTTTAACATAATCAGCCATAAATTTATTAATTTAGATATCGATCATACTTTTCTCTTCAATATGTATTTTAATTTAATTTTTATAAAGAGTTTCTAATTCTACAAATTTGGAAAATTATTAATCTTCATTTAAAGAATTAAAATTCTCCTCTTCTTAATATAATTAACTTAATTCCTGTTCCTTATCATTTATAAATTTTTAAATTGAGTTTAACATATAAATTTTATCTTAATTCTCTAATTATAAATTAATTATTATTTATTTTTATTAATTCATAGTCGAAATAGCTTTTTAAATAGTATCTTTTAATAGTTAGAGAACTTATCCATAAAATTACCTTTTATTTTAAAATTGTGCTTTTTTCTATTAATTATTAGCCTCTAATTATTATTGTTGTAATATCTCATTTAATTATATTTAATATTATTATTTAGCTTATTCATTTATTTTTTTCTTTAATTCTTCATTTTCCATTTTTTATTTTTTCTCTAAACTCTCTTTTTATTGTTTTTAAATTTATTAAACTGCCTCGTTTAACTTTTATTTATAAACTGATTCACATTATGTTTTAAATTAATTCATATCATTTTGATATTTAATAGTCTATTATAATATTAATTATGCTTTATTTTCCTAATCCTGACCCTATTACAATTCTAGGATTTTTTTTAATTCAATTTCTTTTTTTTCTATTTTTAAATCATATTCAGATCTTAGCTATTGCTATAATTGATAAATCTAAACTTGCTTTTCTTATTCAAGTTGTAGTTGAAGTTCTTCAATTTTCTTCTATTTCTCCAGATGTAATTACTTTTCCTTTACTTCATATTCCTTTTTTATTTCTGCTTCTATTTTTTCTAATTCTTTTTTCTTAAAAAATTCATTTATTTTTTATATTGCTTCATCTATAGAAATTCTTTTGTTCTTATCTATGCAAATCATTTACTTCAAAATTTCTCTCTATTCACTTTAAATCCTTTTGAGTTAATCAATTTTTAAATTAATCTTAACTTATTCAATTGAGTTGATGTTTTAGATAATTGATTATATAGTATTACCTAAAATATAAGTAGTTCATACCTTCTATAAATGTTTTTCCTGTAAGGATTTCATACCAAATACACCCCAAAGCCCAAACATCAATGGATTTATTATAACTTTAATTATTAAGGATTTCTTTAGTCATATAAAAAGGGGTTCCTACTTTCATTGATTGAACACCATCTTCTTAAATTTTCGAGATGCCAAAATCAATTAATTTAATGACCAAATTTTAGTTTTAATCACGGCAAAGCACAAAATTTTCTGGTTTTAAATCTCTATGATAGTAACCTAAATTATGGAATTCTTAAACTCCTTATATCATCTAAATAAATAGCTAATGTACTTGGAAAAAAAACTAATTTCTCTCGTCTATACTAGTTGCTTTAAATTGATCTGTGGCCATAAACTAATAAAAATCCATTTCTGCCAATTCCATTACAATGATTACTTAATTTTAATAATTTTCTATTGCATCTAATCTTATAAGATGTTTCTATTTTTGTATCTTGATTATATTTAAAATTGAGCTCTCTCGCTCACTTAATTCTGTATTTATTTTTATAGCCACTTATTAATTCTTGTTTTTGATAAAACCCTAGTACACTGCACCTTGAGCTCCAGACCCTTTCTTTTATTAAAGAATGATAGTCATTTTATGATTTGGTAAGTATATCAAATTCTATTAAGGGAGTTATTAATTAATCATAAAAAAATTAATAGTAAATTATTGAACTTATAGATATTTAATTAATAATAGTATAAAAAAAAATAAAGTCTTTATAATTATTTTTATTAGCATCTAAATAAAGCCAATATTTTGATTTAGTTAAAAGAGAAACCTTTCAAACTTTCAGTGAAATTTTCCCTTTGATAAGTTAAAAAAAAGTGAAGCAGTATAATCAAATAATAAAAAGAACTGATTATATGGAAAATAAAAATTCCCTTTAAAGGGGATACCTTTGTTATGGAATTAAAGTAATAAACAATTTTCAAATGATATTGGGTTCAATATTGAATATTATAAGGTAAAATTCAATATTAAAATTTAATGGAAATATAATAGAAAATTTCGTTTTTAAAAAGGGGAAGCTTTTTTATAATCTACTTTGATCTGGAAGATGATTGAAATTTTTATAGTTACTTATAAAATATTTAATTAATGTATAAATACTGCATTTTCCTGGGAAATTTATTAATATAATTTAACCCTTAAGCTATCAGATTGACAAATTGAATATTACATTGTCTAAGTGATTAATTTTTGCTTAAATTAATATAAAGCGAAATGAGAAATTTACGCATTTGCAGATATTTAAATAAAATATGATTAAATCATAGTAGGGTAACTAGGTAGCAGACTACAGTAAATTAATGAAAAGACAGTCACCAGAGAGTTCTGCAACGATAAAAAAACAAATCCATAAGAGATTTTAGAATCGATAGACAATTCGGGAACTGTACTAATAAAAGGCATGGAAAACCTTAGTCAAAGTTGGATCATAAACTAAAGGGCTATATGAAGAATATGACACAATTAAGGTTCAGGGCTAAGTTCTGAGTGTTGGGGATTCAGTTTTAATTAATAGTGGAGATCAACATGATGAAGACTATGTTGGAACCTTAAAATAAATTATATCGATAAAAGAGCCAACAACTGCAAAATTGATATGTTTGTGTAGAATTTAATGGTATATGAGAAAAAGTGAGATAATCAAATCTAAGCCGAAATGTTCAGAATGGATTTCTGAGCAAGAATTATTTATCACCAACCATTAAGAGTATATTTTAGCCCAGAGTATAATATCTAGCTGCAAAATATTGAGCTGCAGTGAATATTAGGAGTTGGACGAAATAGAATCCACTATTTATTTTAATAGATTGGAATGGGATCTTTAGAAAAAATAATTTGGTAATATGGATTCAGTCTAGTAATTTTGCTTTTGCTTTTAACCGGTGAATCCCGATAGACAATATATATAAGTATATCATAATTTGATTTTAAGTGTGATTCGTGTAAGAATTGGTACCATTTCGAATGCGTGGGTATAAAAAATGGCAAATACAATCAAAAAGAATTCCATTGCAGAAAATGTTAATGATTCATTGTTTATTTGTATTTTTAATATACTGAAATATATTTGTTTTAATTATTCAAACAATTATAGCAATTATAAATTAAAAAAGTACATGTAACCCTCATTTAAGTAACGAGCTCCATGCAATTTATAACACTTCCAATAGGAAATCATAATAGAGAACGAAGTAAGTATTACAATACTTACAACAGATTCCAGAATTAGACACTTTTGAAGAGTTTTGCAGCAACATTCCTGATTAAGACAATCAAGATATCAATTTCTCTAAGCAATCACAAACCCATAACTCATAGTTAATTCGTATAGATTGCCAATAAACTCATGAATCAAGATCATCAGAATAATAATAATCAATTGATTCTCTTGAACAAAAGAGTAAATCAAAAGGAAATAGTGTGTAGAGTTAAGAAAATGAACAAATAACCTATTTGCAATTCGTTGAATTTAATCCTCAAAGCATAATATCTGAATCAACTAATCAGAGGGCAGATACATATTAGAGTTAAAAAGATACAATGCCAGAGCCCCCAGCTCCATAAAATAAAAATACAACTAAATTCTGCTTTCCATCCAAAGGAAGTGGGTTAAACAATTGTAAATGATTCTTTAATATCATATAGTAAAGAAATAGCTTTGTGTCAATTAGGATTTTTAGAATAACAATAATAATCAAAGTAATTCTGAATAGACAGTCTTAAAAAATCAAACTATCTCAGAAAATAAGAATAATATCGAAGAAGATTTAAGAAAACAAATGGTTTAGATAAACAAAGAAAAAACTTAGATGTAATTACAATATTCGCAGCAAATAAAATAGTTAATTGAACAAAATTAATTATTAGAATAATAACTAATTGAATAAAAGTAATATACTCAAATATTGAATTCTGATAAATTTATTTTGTAATCCAAAATAGATGTTTTATCAAAAAGACAGAGCGGAGACAAAAACACTTTGGCAGAAACCTGTAATTTTATAGAGCAAACAAAGTTGTCCAATAATGAAAAGATTTAATATTTAATTGAGAAATTAAATTAGAAGTGTCAACAAAATGCTCGTCTACAATATGAGATAATATTATTATAAAATAACGTACGTATCCTCATTGATCATTAGGTTGAATTATTAGAGACTTCAAAGATTTTGTAATTGACAAATAATAATGTCTTTGCTATGGATCCAGATAAAATTACTCATCAAAATCAATCTCCCCAACCTCAATCAGAGAATAGAGCATAATCCTAAAGCAAAGATAGTCGAACAAGTTTATTGACTCATTAGAAGTAACCTTTAAATATAACCATTAATTACCCAAATGAAGCCAAAAACATAGTGAATTTGTAACAATTAAATTTAATATAGATCTGCTATGATATCTCCATTGTCCAAATGTGCATAGATAATTTAACAAAAGTTAATAAATTAGAAAATTTCAAAAAATGCTCAGCAATTTCAAGAAGATATTCACTCCTAAAAAATACAGTACAAATCCTTAATATTAGAAAGCACTAAAAATTCTACCTCTGTAGGCGAACTGATGTCCATGAAGTCTGATACCATCAATTATTCTAATATAATCAATAGAATTCTTAGAAAAGAATCATATTCTATATCATCTCCTGATGGCAGAGCTACTCAAAAATTCAAATAAGCTTTAAATGAAAAATTAAACAATCTTCAACAAGACAGTTCAAAATCATATGGAAGTTTACTATTCTCATAAGGGGAGCAACGACTCAAAGAAGCAAATAGTTGTTTCAGATAAATATCTCCTAAGAGAGAGAAAAAAAAGTCTAAATAGTAAATATCTACAAATAACATAGACTTTTCGGTTTTATGAATTAATAAAATTCAAGGAAGTAATCAGATTTACTCAATTCAGAAGAATCTCATCGTTCTGATTTAGGAAGGAGATCTGAAAAGTATGTAAACGTAATTTAATCCAGAAAAAATGGTATGGATCCAAACACTGAAATCATATAAATAATGAAGGAAATGCAACATAAGAAATCAGATAGTAATATAATTTTATATTCAAATTTATTAGTCTCGAAAAATATTAAATAGCAAAATCCTAGTACACTTTTTATACGACCTATGGTTACAGATATAAAAGAAGCATAAAGTAGTCGTTAATAAAAATCTTGAAATCATTAATATATATTTATTAATAAATCAAATATACTCAAATGATATATTATTTTCAAGGTTTCCTTATTAGAGTTGTTCTCATTTAAAACTACAAGATAAAATAGTCAATTTAGAAATCAATAAGCATAGTTTAAAGCAATTGTCTATAATTATAATTCAGTTAATTTTTTTGATCTAAATATGTTATATTTGAGAATGAATGCATGATTAAGGTCTAGAGGATTTATCAAAAAACTTTAAATCCCTAGAGTTTATGTTATCAGATAAGATTGTTCTTAATAATGACATTCACTTATCAATAAACACATTTTCAAATTAATCCTAATGATGTGATTATAGAATTGGAGAATCGCTTGTAAATGTTTATTGTTTTACATTGATATAGGCTAAGCTGAAGCTATGATTTTGAAATTTAATTGGTTGGGATTTGAAAATAGATTTGATTCATAATAAAGAACACGGGGTAGTTCAAATTAGGAGCCATAAAAATAAATAAGAAACTATTTACTACCTTTAAAAACCAGACTTAAAATAGGGTAGTTATAAACAAAATATAGTGGAAAATAGTAATTAATTTCAATATGAATTTCCATTAACCTTTTCGCCATTTTTTCATCAAAAATCCTTATAGAGATAATTCTTAGAAGATTTAAATTTTTAATATAATATAATTGGTTTATTGAAGATAAAGTTTAGCATAATTTAGTAATTATTATGTAATTAATATGAGAGTTGAAGGCGGTTACCACTTGACTAAAGTTGTTTGGTAAATAAAAATATCATTAAAGTTAGGAATAATTAAATCAATAAAACGAGTTTAAAGTAAAATTTGAAGTCCAGAACGTTAAATTAATGAATGATTGTATTATATTTATTGGATTTCAAAATATATAAGTTATAGAATTAAATAACAAGTTGAAGCAAACTTAAAAAGGGAGTTAAATATAATTAGTAAATTGAAAGCCTTACAAGAAATGAATTATAAATATTAGTTGATTTTTTTTTTGTATAATCCTTATTATAAATTATTAATCTTAGTAGACCGAACTTAATAGTTGAATTTGATTATTTAAACCACGATCATTAATAAAACATTAATTAATGTTTAATAGTTCACTTAATTTAAGACAACTTAGTAAAATTATAGCATCTAGGATTTTAGATGGAGTTTTCATTGGAAACTATATTCCTTTATAAGTTCATCATATTAATCTATGTTAGGAATAGTAATATCTGAAAATCAACCAAATAACTCACGTAGTGAATTGTGCAGCTTCAGAAATCCAAGTTCCCAATAATTTAAATGTGTTAAATTATTATTGGAAGGATGAAGACTCATAAGTAAAGCTTTTATTCTATTTAGATCATCGTCACCATTCAAATAATTAGAGAAATTTCAGCTTTTGTTGAGAAAGCATTAAAAAGAGGCGAAAGTGTACTATTTTGTTGTGTAAATGGTCAAAGTCGATCACTTACTGCTCTGGTGAGCTATCTTATGTTCAGGTAAGTATTGAAATTAATATTTATAGATATAGCTGGAGTTTATTTAAAGCTCTTTAATACATCAACATTTTGTAAAAGGAATTCGAAATTAGAGCCACTTTTTTAAAGTAGCTAATTGTATTTGAGAAAGAATAAATGAAAGGAAAAGTAATTAGTCGAAATTGGAATCAAACACCCTTGGATCAAGAGGAAATGCTTCTATAAAATACTTACTTAAATTCTGTACAAAAGGAAAAGGATGATCTATTGATGAATATGACTCAACAAATTCCTTTAAATTTGACATAAAAGAAAGTCTCTTGGTAAATAAATTAGATTGAGCTATGCAATCTAGATATTTTTTACAATTTTTCAAAAGAAAAGAAGCAGATTAAATCCATTTTAAAAACCAGTACTATTTAACCATCTGATTTGAATAATTCTTAATCAAAACCTTAAGCAAGCACTTCATTTCAAAAGCCAAAAAGTAAGAATGAAGAATTGTTTATCAGGAAAAACAGCTAGTACAATAGAAAAAATTAATTGAGAACGTTGACTCCTCTTAATAGAAGAAAAAATTTTGACTCCCCTACTCCAAAATTGAATATGGGAAAATATCTAGAAATAGAGCTCTAGTCTTAATAATACCAAAAGAAATTCAGATCATAGGCTACCTCACCTTATTATAATTAAAGTCACAGAAATTAGAATGCATCATATAACTCAGTTGATTTAGAATAAGAATCTCCCAAAAAAATTCCTCATCTCTTGCGTAGGGCCTAATTTAAATTATCCTAATTGTTGTGATTATACATTAATCTCTTATTAATATTTAATTTTATTTTTAATTAATCAAAGTCTATTTAAAAGTTAGTAATTAGAATAAATTGCTGAAAGTTTATGATTATACTGAAGCTGTGATCTCGCTATTAAAAATGAATAAATTGATATAGTTGATATGATAAATTAATTTGGAATGAATTTTGAAAAATAACAAATATTTTAGCAAAGGCTCGAACATGAAAGCATTCAATAAATAAGTTTAATATTGAGAAGTGATGGCTCAAAAAAGGATAGAAAAGTAATCCGATTATGGTGGATGTTCGAACTCCAAACAAGATAATTAAAAAAAATCAAGACAATTCTAACACATACTTGGTTTCTTAAGGAAACAATTATATATTAGAGGATAAAAACTACATGGAAGTCAATAGCCCGGAATTAGTTCAAGACTATAATTTTTGTTCATTGCAAAAGGAGAAAGATAAAGAATTTCTTTAAAAGAAGGCGTTTCAATTTGCCTTATTTTAGATACAAAAAAATCAAATTATTGAATAACACTTATCATAGAAGAATAAAAAAGTTTAGATCAAGTAATAGAGAAAATAGACTATCAGATATAAATGTTTGAATTTTCTTGATATTTAGATAAATTCATCATTGAAGGATAAAAGTTGGCAATCAAGATGAAAGCCAATGATGGGAACATTACCAATTTTCAAAGCATGGAAAAAAAATTTACTCATGAATTACAAACTATTGGATACACTTAAGATGAATTGATAATAAGTTTTACTTTAAAGAATCATCAGGAATGTATAGAGAATAAGTCTGTATTATTTATTGATAAGAATGTTCGATTAATGATTGATATTAGATTTATCCAAGATAATACAATAATATTGCATTTCCTTTAATAATCTAAATTTCAAGAGATGTATTAAAATTATTATAAATGTCTAACCACCATCGTAATCTAAGGGAACTCTTTTCAACAAAGTACTCTAAGCCTTTCTCCAATTTTCCTTCCGATAGATTACGAATTGGAAAATCCCCTATAGCAGTTGGCAACTTTCTTTAATATGCATAAAAAAAGAATGCCGAAGAAAAATAGTAAAGAAATCATACTCCAGTACATACCCCAAACAAAATAAGAATTGGATAAGTCAACATAAATGAATATGCATTACCTTACAAAAATCCATAGCTTAGTTTTTTTAGTAAGGATAGTAATAGATCAAGATCAAAAAGTCCAATGTAATTATCAATGCATAAATCACCAAAATAATCAACGATAGACTCAAAAAAGATTTTTGAAAATGAAGATTCTATAAGTCTCAATCGATAGGCTTCTCTAAAACTATCCAATCATACTAAATTTGCTAGTGCTAACTTAAAAATCAATATTAATGAGGTTCCACATATAAAAATACCTTAAGTTAGTTCTACTACAAAAATAAAAGCAAATATATAAAATTTTGAGAGTATTTTCAATTCTTTGCTTATCAAATATGATTCCATTCAATAATAGTCATAACAACGTCCACCAATTAAAAAGGTATAAAAAGAGGAACCACAAGATGAAGAATTATAAATTGATACTTAAATTTGTGTAACGAAGTCTAGTTTTGCATTTCACTTTGTAATAGGGAAAGGAGGATTTGGAAGGGTCTGGAAAGTTGAATTAAAAAAAAGCAGAACTCAATATGCTATGAAAGAAATGTCAAAGGCTAAAATAATCGCAAAAAGAAGTGTGAATTCTGTTATGAACGAAAGAAATCTTTTGGCATAGTTCAAACACCCTTTCTTGATTAATATGAATTTTTGTTTTTAGGACAGAGATAACTTATATCTAGTTATGGATCTTTTAACAGGTGGTGACCTCAGATATCATATAGGACGCATGAGAAGATTCAAAGAACATTAAACTAAATTTTTTATTGCTTGTGTTATTTTGGCATTAGAATACCTACACAATTCAAATGTTATTCACAGAGATGTTAAACCTGAAAACATAGTACTTGATAGCAATGGTTATGCTCGACTAACTGATTTAGGAATAGCAAGGATTTGGAAACCTGAGAATTCCTAAGATACAAGCGGAACACCAGGATATATGGGTATATATACGTTTATATCCTAACTTTAGCTCCTGAAGTAATGTGTAGATAGAATCACACTATTGCAGTTGATTATTTTGCTTTGGGAGTTATGACGTATGAATTTATGTTGGGAAGAAGACCATATAATGGTAGAACAAGATAGGAGATTAGAGATCAAATTCTAACCAGATAAATCTAAGTGAAAAGAAGTGAATTGCCAGATGATTGGTCAATTGATGCTGCTGATTTCATTAATAAATTAATATAACGTAAACCTATTAATAGATTGGGATTTAATGGACCTAATGAAGTTAAATAACACCCATGGTTGTAGAACTTTCCTTGGACAAAGTTATTAAACAAGGAAATTCAATCACCATTCATTCCTCCTGTATATTCAACTTATTATTTATTAGCCAATTTAAGAGAATTTAGATTATATAAACAATATTAGTGAAGACAATGATACTTAGGATGAATAAATTGTAGAAAATAGAATCTTGTTAAAAAAGAATTCTGTTTAAAGTAAGAATTATCAATAAAGTAGATTTATTTTATGGGTATAGCTATGATTAAAACATGTAAACCTAATTAAAAAACACCAAAAGTACTAGTAGCACCTTAGTAGTTAATTGAATTTTGCAAATTTGATTTGATAATTAATGATAATTTTTGTATATCTTTATTCTCAATTAATTTTCTTTTTATTCTCAAATTCAAATAGTTTTAATATTTTATAATTAAAAATTATATTATTACAAAGGTAAATGAAATTCATACAATTATATTAATAGCAATATACATTAAAATTAAGACAATGAGGCATTGGCTAGTTCAGCTAATTTAAAAGAAATTTCTTTGATTTTGGGAACAGCACTGACAGACAAAATTAACCAATATTGAAATCAAAATAATTTAATTAAATCTTTCATTCAATATTAATTATGTAAAATTTCCCATATAAGTTTGATTTCTAAAAAAAAACTTAGCATCCTTTTCGATAGAGATTTTTCAAAGGGTATATAACATAAATCTCTCATTACGATATACTCTTAAGATAATAGCATTAGTTGGATAATAGTTTTATAAGCGAAGTTAAATTATTTAATAATATAAATAATTGAATATCAAATTCTGTGATCTGTTTCATAATTGATACTGATTTTCTTATCTGCTGGAATATCTGTGACTTCATGCACACTTACATAATCTACTTTATTCTTCTTTGGAATTCCTCTTCCCTTCTAACTTAGTTTTCTTTCTCCATTTTTATCAACAAACATCAAAAGAATAGCAATAATTACCAACAATACACTCATACCGATAAAGAAGAAACTCTAATAGACATATCCTCTTTCTTCATTTTCTTCTCCATGTTCATCATATTTGAACTAGTTAAATATCATTCCTGTAATCATAGGGAATAAGGCTAAAGCAGTGTTTTAAAATACTCCTGTTAATCCAAAGGCTGTTCCAACAAGATTTGATTTGACCACAAAGGGAACTGAGGGAATGACCACAGAAGCATAGAATCCAAAACACAATCCCAAGATAGTCAATGGGAGTGTGATTAAAAAGCAAGCTGAAGTACACATTCTGAAAATGAATAGAATATGTGTTATAAGAAAAATGAATGATGTTACAATAATTAAAAGACTCCTTCGACCAAACTAAATAATGTAGTCAATGGATTACTTTATCAGCCATGTTTCCTATAAAGGGAGTGGATCCTGATGCAACCAAATATGGTATAATCAAGAATAGTCCTGCTTATTCAGCTGTCATACCAAATCTCTCTTGTAATAATTCATTTCCATTATCTAAGAATGGTACGAATAATGCTTCTGTCAACATGCAAATTATAATCAAAATCCAAAAGGTGCCTGAGAGTTTGGCAATATCTTTGAAATTGATTTCTTCTTTCACTTCATGTTCCTCTGGTTCTTCTTAGCGCTATGGAGTGGCGACTGGAAATTATATCAAATTCATACATATTTCCGGGCTTCGTCCTAAGTCTGGAGAATCGCAATCGTCGTCTTTGATTGATTATTTGACAGAGGCAGAAAGTTCGGATTGAGATCTGTGATTCTCATCGTTTTTATTCAATAACATTTGATTCTGTTTTTCTCTCTGCTCACTTTTATAGTCCATATAAATTAAGGCTATTCCACAAATCTAGATAGTTATTTGATGATCTTTACAAATGAGAATATTAGTGTTCCAACTCCAACTATCATAGGAGCAGCTAAAGATTAATATTTAGAATATATTTATGGACTTAGAAGACTATTGAGAGCATTACCAATTTTAGGGATACTTATACACAGTCCTATTGCCAAACTCATCTCCTAATCTTTAAACCAGATCGCCATTATCGAATTCTAAGACACATTCAAACTCTCTGATCCCATTCCGAAAATTACTCTCCCTGTTATTAGAGTCCAATAACTCAAATTAGATGCGCCCCAAACACAAACCAGTTAGCCTATCATAATGATACTCGAAAACAGTAAGATGGCTGTTCTTGCACCAATTTTATCAATCAAAACACCTCCAAAAAATGGAAGTATGATATTGGGTAATGAGTAAACTGTATATAATAAGTTGAATTTAAATTGATCCACCCCGTATTTATCCTTTATTTCACTCTATAAAGCCATTGGGTTATCAAAGCAATAAGCATCACCAATCATAATCATGCAAGCAAAAAACAATGCCAAATACCGTAATTTTGTATGTCTGTAAGACAAGACTCTAGGCCTTAATTTGTTTTTAGATACTATTCTCTTAATAGAAAAATATGTTACGTGATCTCGAGTATCCTCCAAGGAATGAACTGGAACGAAGCATTTTTATGATGTAATAAAATTTAATCAAACTCAAAATAATTTACATTGAATCATGAATAATAAAAAAAAAATGTAGAATTAATTCGTAACAAAATATATTTCTGAAACATTGTCAAACTTCACTCAAATAATATTCTTACTTTACTCGTTCCATTTAAAATTGGTTACGTATTTTAAGAAGAATTATGAAATGGCTAATATTAATCTAAAATATATGTAATATTCATTCATTTTAATAAATATAGTTCTCATTATTAATAACTCAATAAAGTTTGAAGCTTTGAATGTGCCAATTCCTGTAAAGGATGGACTCCCTTTTCCCCGTATTTCAAATGGACTATAAAATATAGTTATACCTTATGAGACAATTTAATCATTTTCAGCCAAGCATCTGGCATCAAGAGTACTCTATAAATTGATCTAATTAGTGGTAGCTTATCCGCTCTGTTTGGATAACAAAAAATGTATCTTTGAGTGAAAAATTCAGCCCTTGAAAATAGTTCCTTTATGATTGAATCTATATTAATAATTCTCTTGATATGCCTTCTGCTACCAGGTGTTTTGCTCATTTTATTAATAAATGAGTTGAAGTGATATCGACCTTTTAAATACAAAATTAAGAAAGAATTTGCTATTTCATTTATTCATCTTGATAATGTGATAATTTAAAAGCATAGCATTTTATCCAGTTATAATAATTATCAAAATATTGAAGAAGAAACTTATTACAAAACTAAGATTTAAATGATCAGATATTTTAAAATGGATAAATGAGTTAGAAAAAAACTATTAATGATTGAATACATAATTTCAACGTTAAATCTGTCTATCTTTAAGATTATCACGACCCTTCCGTTTCAAAATTTGAGTATTTGATTTTATTTCAATGAAAAATTACTCATAATCATCTATACCTTAACCACTTTCGCAATCCTTCTCCATAAACCTCAATTTCTAAGTCTCCAGCTTCATAGAGTTAAGCTATCCTTTTGTTTTCTTATTGTAATTCAACTTTGTACATTTTATGTAATTAATTAATAATCATAGAGCTTAATCTCTTTAATTTCATTGTTTTTATTGATTCAATCATTTCTATTTGAATTGAATTGGTTCTCCCTCTATTAACAGCCATGCTGATACTTTTTCTTATACAAATTATCAATCTAATTTTCTGATATATATATTTGATTATTAATAAAATTAGTCATGGGTACATTCTCCTACATACTTTCTGTTGTCCTCTCATTAATAAACTCCTTTGCCATGAATATTATTTGAATCGAATTCACCAACATATATAGATCCATCAGCAAATTGAAATTTTCCTTTGCTAAGTTTTTTCCCATTCTTATATTCTCCTTCATAATAAGCACCATCTGGCAATGTTTCTTTCCCATTTCCATTCTACTCATCTTTTTCCCAATATCCCAAATGTTAAGCGCCATCCTGATACACATATTTACCCTATAATATTGATTGGTTATTTACACATCCATGCGCTTTGTCGTTTCTCAATTATCCCTCATATACATCACCATTATCTAAACTATTCTTCCCTTTCCATTACGAACATTTTGGTATGGCTATTTTCAATTTCAAAACAAACCCATTCTTCCATTATCCTTTATAAAAACTGCCACAGTCTAATCGTAAGGGTCTAAAAATGGTAACTCTTTAAATTCATCCTTGTACTAATCATACACAAAGAATCCCGATTTACTTAATGCCTAACCTATATATTTTAAATACCTATTTAGCTTCATCGGTCAAATTGTCTGGCATTCTATCTGATTTCCTATATTTTTCGATTGGAGCATGAATATTATTTGAATCAAGTTAATTTTAATAGTTGTCTTCTTTAGTCGTTGAGAACTATCTGTATTTTATGAATTTTAATTATTATTATTGTTTTCTTGACTTGACTCATTTTACTAAATTTTATTCTCAATTTTGGCTTGTTTCTTTCTAGCTAAACGAGTTCACCAATAAGTTTCACTTGAGTATAAGAGTACCTTATATAACTATTATGGCTTTTTCATTTACCAAATTATCTTTCTTCTTGGAGTTATTTTAATTTATTTCTAACACCTGAGGTGATTTAAAAAATAAAATTAATGAATTGAAATCTAGAAAAAAATCTCTTATAAATCATTTTATCATTTCACAATTAATTTAATTAAATTATATAGAATAACACTTATCCAAAAATAATAAGATATATCTTCTCTAAATTTAAAGTGATAGCCCTGAAATTAATAACTTATAAAAAAAATTCATATGAAAATTTTAAAACTAGTAAAAATTACGAGATAAATCAGCCTGGAACGACTATTTCTCATTCATATACTCTTATAAAGATAATTTCGATGTTCTGCTAAAATAGTCTAAAATTCTTTCAAGAATCTAACCGAGCAGGTCTTAATTTTGTTTAGAAACATCTATCATATATAATAAATATATTAATTTTAGGGACAATATATTTTGGCTATAAATATCTCTTAATCAAGAATTATGATTTATTAATTAGTATTTCAATCATCTATCAAGATTAAAGTACTGTTTTTTGTATTCAAAATATAATTAATTAATTAATTAATCATATCAATTTCAAGAGACATATGAACAATGTACCATTGCAATTGATTCTAATCCAGAAAATTATAAAAACAAAAGGAGACCAAGAAGAGATGATACTACCAGATTCTGATTAAGAGGATTAATTTCAAACTCTAATTAACAACAACGGAAATGGAGATATTGAATCAAGATTACAATTAAAAATGAAACAACTTCGATTCAGCAATTAAAATCAAATCTATTATTTCACATAGAATCAAAAATCCTCTCCAAATCAGTCTCCTGCTCTCTCTCCAAGATACGCTTCCAATTCAATCTAATCTATTCTCAAACCTAAGAGTTGTTCGATTTTCGGATAGACAAAGAAATGATTTTGAAAAAATTTGTTATGTATATCTTAGTTTTTATAATTCATGTAATGGAATCATTTGTTCTTTTAGAATTGATGACCAATTAATTGAATAACAAATACAAGTTGTTTTGTTTTCAATGGAAGCTGAAATAAATTAGGTTAAGAAAATTCAAATAAGGACTTTAATTGATAAATTAAAATGGTTGTGTCCTATAATTTCATAAATGGTAATATTAATTAAACGAAGCCAATTAAAAAGAGAGAAGGCAATAACATTATTAAAAAATTATAATCTAAAATTTAAATTGCAAGTTTATTAATATTAAATTAGTAAAATAATCAACATGTAGATTAACATATCAATTCTGTGACTTTTTTATTAGTTTTCTGTTTTTCGGGGCAGTAAATTGTTCTTAGCTACCTTGAACTTCCTCTTCCTCTGACTATTTAGATTAAAATTAAGTTTTAATACCATTTAAGAGTTTTTGAGTTGCAGAAACAAAGAAGATGTTTACAATTCTTGTCTGTATTGGTTCTTTTTTAATAATATATTAACAGTACTTATCTCATTGCCAAGATACAAGAACCTAATTAAATAGGTGTTAAGCATTCCTTCAATTGTTCCCACATTTAATCAACTTTCAAAGCTTCACTCTAAATTAACTTCAATTATTCTTTGATTTTGTGAATTGAACTTATTTAAATGAATTTAGATACTCAGATATATTGTTCCTTACACTTTGTAGTTTCGTTTTCATCTTTTTAACCTTTACAATTTGTTCTGGCTTTATATCAGTCTTTTAGAAAGAATCAACCATCCAATCAGAATAGTCACTGATATTGAATTGTAAAAAAATACTTTGGTTGTTAAGCAAAAAAATCTTTGTTCTTTTCCAATGCATATATCAAATATCGAGTTTGAATTGGTAAACAGACTTCTACCATNACTGTTTTTTGTATTCAAAATATAATTAATTAATTAATTAATCATATCAATTTCAAGAGACATATGAACAATGTACCATTGCAATTGATTCTAATCCAGAAAATTATAAAAACAAAAGGAGACCAAGAAGAGATGATACTACCAGATTCTGATTAAGAGGATTAATTTCAAACTCTAATTAACAACAACGGAAATGGAGATATTGAATCAAGATTACAATTAAAAATGAAACAACTTCGATTCAGCAATTAAAATCAAATCTATTATTTCACATAGAATCAAAAATCCTCTCCAAATCAGTCTCCTGCTCTCTCTCCAAGATACGCTTCCAATTCAATCTAATCTATTCTCAAACCTAAGAGTTGTTCGATTTTCGGATAGACAAAGAAATGATTTTGAAAAAATTTGTTATGTATATCTTAGTTTTTATAATTCATGTAATGGAATCATTTGTTCTTTTAGAATTGATGACCAATTAATTGAATAACAAATACAAGTTGTTTTGTTTTCAATGGAAGCTGAAATAAATTAGGTTAAGAAAATTCAAATAAGGACTTTAATTGATAAATTAAAATGGTTGTGTCCTATAATTTCATAAATGGTAATATTAATTAAACGAAGCCAATTAAAAAGAGAGAAGGCAATAACATTATTAAAAAATTATAATCTAAAATTTAAATTGCAAGTTTATTAATATTAAATTAGTAAAATAATCAACATGTAGATTAACATATCAATTCTGTGACTTTTTTATTAGTTTTCTGTTTTTCGGGGCAGTAAATTGTTCTTAGCTACCTTGAACTTCCTCTTCCTCTGACTATTTAGATTAAAATTAAGTTTTAATACCATTTAAGAGTTTTTGAGTTGCAGAAACAAAGAAGATGTTTACAATTCTTGTCTGTATTGGTTCTTTTTTAATAATATATTAACAGTACTTATCTCATTGCCAAGATACAAGAACCTAATTAAATAGGTGTTAAGCATTCCTTCAATTGTTCCCACATTTAATCAACTTTCAAAGCTTCACTCTAAATTAACTTCAATTATTCTTTGATTTTGTGAATTGAACTTATTTAAATGAATTTAGATACTCAGATATATTGTTCCTTACACTTTGTAGTTTCGTTTTCATCTTTTTAACCTTTACAATTTGTTCTGGCTTTATATCAGTCTTTTAGAAAGAATCAACCATCCAATCAGAATAGTCACTGATATTGAATTGTAAAAAAATACTTTGGTTGTTAAGCAAAAAAATCTTTGTTCTTTTCCAATGCATATATCAAATATCGAGTTTGAATTGGTAAACAGACTTCTACCATTTAATCAAAGTGGTTCCTTGCGGCATCGTTTCTTTCTTAACTATTTGAATTCGTTCTATATCTTAATGCATCCAAAATCATTCCGATTTCCATATTGTCTTTATTTTTTATTAAATATGTCTCAAGTTTATCAAACAATAATTATTACTATTCTAAGAACATTTAAAACTAATATGATCGAAGATTACAATACTTTTTCTTATGATTTATTACAAATTTCTGCGTATTTTTACTAATTCTAAATTTATGATTTTAATGAATCCACTTCATTCTGCAATTCTTAAGCCTTCACTTCCAATAATTCATAATAAATCTTCTTTCTTGCTCTAGAATTTCTTGCTGATTCTCTATTCTTAGCTAGTTTTTATTAGATCGGATCTTGATTAGGATCATTGCTATTCTATTGATTAAAATCTGAAGAGAAGTCAGAATGATCTCTTTATAAATTTGGTGATTTTCTTTATAATTTTTATTGGCTTTTACTAAAATTATAAATATGAAATAATTACGATAGATGAGTTGGTGTTTAATTTCTGTTTGACAAACTCAATTTCTATTAGGTCTATTCAACTAGCTATGTTATTTTGTTAGTGTAAATGCTTTTGGAGATATTCACATTGAAAAGATTCTTGTTCTCTTCAATAATATTTTGATTCACCATTTGATTTATTTCAGGTTTAAAATTTGTGCTAATTTGCTCCGCACATTCTATAATATACATAGAATATTACATATTTTCATTTCAAATTCATCTGACTGTCTCTAATTCATTTTTTGCTATTATTAGGCATCCTCCTCAACCTTTTATTGCTAATCTATATTTAATCGATCCATTCGAATCTCTTCAAATTACATTTCGAAATCTCCACTGCTTCTGAATAATATTCCTTTCTAATTTTAGGGTTCTTAATATTCATATATTTGAATTTGGGGTGCCCCTTCCTCCAAACCAACTGATGATCTGTATTGATCTGGTTGTACCAAAAATGAAACAGAAACCTACGCAAAACTGCCACCTCCATTATTTGATCCTATACTTTGTTTGTCTTATGGAGCAATTCTACCAAAACTAGCACCTAAACTAAAATTCAATATTTCCTTAATGATATTACGCATCAAATTGACTTCCATAAGAGATTCCACTTTTATTTCCCTAAAACATATCACTCATTTTCAATTTTATTATAAATATTTATATATATATATTATTTCTTAGTATCATCTGCAAGTAGTCGAAATGGATAATCTAATAAGTGAACAAATACAATCACCATCTCCTCTATTAAATTTTTAAGATTCCAGTCCCAGATTAACAGGACCCTTATATTATAAATGACTTCATAAAAAATCAAATGAATTTCTAATAACAAACGAAACCCCCAAAAAATGCATAAAAAAAATTGGAAATACAAATGAGACCATTACTGATACCTGATTTAATGGGAAGAATCCAAATTTAAGCTACTAAATAGAAATATGCACACTGCTAAAAAAGCTTAGATTGCAAAGTTGTGATGAAAAGATTTATGGTTCTTATGGAAACAAGTGAGTAGATTAATCTAGACTCTATGTATCGATTTAAGATATATGTGAGAGTAGTTTAATACATTTTACTTTTCTTTAAATTCAAAAAAATAAGAACTTAAAAAACAAAGTATTAGTAAGAGAATCTGAAAGCCTAGAATATCTATAGCCAAATCTAGGAGGCAAACAACATTAATTTAACTTCTTCAATTCTAATTAAATGATGCATTATTAATGTTTACATCAATTACAGAATGAATCCAAATCAGAAATTCACAGTCCCTAATCTCAACTTTATAGGTAACAACAGAACACTCTGTCTTAAATTAACTTCGATAAATTCTTAAAAAGACCCATACAATAATTTATAAAATTAAGGATCTTTGTTTATAATAAGGACATAAATCAGCATAACGGAGTAATAAAACTTGCAAAAACTGAGTATAGTTAAAAACGATTTGCTAGTATGTAACACAGCATCGAATACTCTAAACGTCATAAGCATACTAAGCATATGACTGACACTAGTCTATTTGATAATAAAATCTAAACTTTCTTATTTATTAGAAAATTAATGGTAATTATTATATTCTCTCTATGATTTATATCGATATTAATATCAACAATATATTTGATAATTTTAATTTTAAATTTAATGATTACTTAGAATTTCTTGGCTACTATTTTAAAAATCCTTTTTTTTGAATTACCTTAAAATTCTGATTCTATTTCCTCTTAAAGTTCGTCTAACTAAAATCAAAATCAATAGTAATAATCAAAGGCTTTATTTTTATTTAGATAAATTAAATAATTATCTCTAAAATTAAAAATTTATTATTCATTTCTTGCTTCCTTGTTTTTTTATTGTATTTTAATTCGATAATCTTAGAGTGTGCATAATTTATGCTAAGAAGTATTTCATTAGAAACTAATACATTTATTAAATTAAATACATCTTCAGTTGAGTCTCTTGCTGATTTAGTAGGCCATGAATTTTAGCAAAGTGATATAGAAAACCGTATGATGATTATCTAAAACTATAAAAATAATAGTTTGAAAAATCTTTATAATTGTTGCTCTATCTTTAAATCATGAGGTAGTATAATCTAATTTATTAGGATCTTTAAAACAGATTGAATCAATAAAACTTATAATCCCTCCTGATATTATAAAGATTATCAACTACAATGGTGAAAGCAAAATGATGATAACAGTAATAGTTTAATTAAATAAATAAAATGAAGCATAAGGAATCAAGAATCTGCTCCACAAAACATACACAATAAATCTGAATTAGGATGTCCTTAATTAATTACTTCTTTAAGCTGATTAAATTGAATTTCTTATTAATAATCCACTCCGACTGAATCAAATATTACTTTAGTGAAAAATTAAGACATTTCATCTAAAAATTCTCTGTTACCGTTCTTAATGAACTTTTATAATGTTTATTAACTCAATTTCACAACCTCTTAATAAGAAAGTTAGCCATCTTTGTTAGAATCAGCTATTTTGATAAACAAATCAATTCTTTGATCTCTAGTTTTAGCTTATACTGAACTCATCAAATATAAAAATTGACTCCAATCCAAGGAACCAGAACAACGGCTATCTATGATATCAAATATTCCCCTTGCCATGTTCTCTGCTTAATCCTGAATAGTTTCAATTCCATTCCTGTACACTTCATAAGTAATACCTTGAACCTTCAATTATTTACTTTTTATTTTCATATATCCTGAGATGAGATGCAATACTTTATAGAGTGAGAAGAAGGCATACAATTAACTTCTGTTTAGTCTGTACTTGGCCTATAAAGAAGGTATGTTTAGATGTAACAAAGGTGGTATTTTATGTAACATTTTCTTTTCTTATGGAACGTAAGCTTTTGGTGCTTTAGTGTCAGCTGGGAATTGCTTTCCTAATATCTTGGTTAATTTAGTGCTTATCAAACTAGAGGTCGATATTTATTTCATTTCAAGAGCTCTGCTTTTTGGGGTTGGATATAAGACATTTTCATAAAATCGAATGATCTTTTCAACCTCTTCATTTTCTTTAGACAAATTGGATTTGAGTTAATTAATGAAATTGTCTAGATCATCCTAGCATTTTTGCATGTTATTTATGAAATATTATTCTTGATCAGTTAAATAATGTCTTGGAGTTGAATTAGGAGTATTAGTTTTTACATAAGATATATTTGATGGTCTGTTTTATGAGCTGAATGATTAATGGGTGGTTTTGAATTTACAATTGGTAATAATGAAGGGATCAGAGTTTTACCGACTGGTCATTTTGAAATTATCATAGACATTTTCCAGGTGTTAAATTCCCTTTTAAAGTATACGAGATCTGAAACTACTCTAAGGTATTAAATGATCATATAGAGTAGTGTGGATAATATGCTAATTTGAATTCATTAATGAAGGTTTTCTCGATTTATCATCAGAGAGGTTATTGTTGCTTATTATGCTTGTATCCATCTAAATGATTTAGAACAAAAGTTTTTCATATTTCTTATCATATAACCAATGGTTGTTATCTTTTGTACTGACCAGATATGTCTCGATGGATGGGTCATACATTGTTATCTAATTACCATTTAAATCATAAAAATAAAATTTAGGGTTTTTAAGTTGATTGGAATCTGTATATTGATTTAACTCTTTTTCTATCAATTTTTCAATCTTAATTTATTTCCCTTGGGTGTAAAAGCAATTCACTTTCTTGCAGTTGATTGTGTAATGATTTGAAACGTCATCAATGAATATCAATTTGAGTGCAATCAGTTTGGATAGTGAAGTAGATGGTTAACATAATTTCAGAAGAGGATTTCTGAGTTTAATGTTGGCATTACCAATTAATCTTGCCATTATTAATTAAAATAAAAAATGGAATTACAATAAAAAATCTAAAAATTGATAGATTAGATGAGGGATAATGTAAGTAAAGCGACAGGTAAAAGAAATGATAGTATTGATTATTAATTGTTGACTGATTTAAGAAAGAGTCATAGAGAACTATATAAAAGTATAGAAGGGAATAGGCGTACAAATTAATTGGAAAAAGATTAGTTGGACAAATAGACAATCAACTCTGAGTGTTTGAAGTACTCGAAAACTTAATTGTAATTGCAAATAGGATAATTCAAAGGCTTGCAAACGAATCATTACAATTAAATTAAAAAGCAACTTGATTTGGAGGATAAAAATCCCTTGGATCACAATAATGAAATCTTGCATAAGTTAGAAACAGAATTAGAAGTTCGAAGAGAGAAGAAGAAAAAATATGAGGAAATCACAAATGAGTTCGAACATCTACAATAACATCAAGAATAAAAGAAGTCCCAATATTTTCAAGTTTTGCCAGATTTGCTTAGATAAGCATAATCGCATCTCATACCTGCATTGAATATGTTTGAAATTCCTCATTTAGCACTACCATCTCAACAGGAATTCTTTTAATAATTGCCTTAACCATTACATTAAATTTATTAAAAATTACAAACTAAATTCATACAATTAGAAATCATTTCACATCCAATAGCAGATAGCATTTACAAATAGTCACAATTTGAATTGAAGGTAACAATAGAATCAGGAATATTTGATCAGATAGCATTAAATTATTTGGGAATTAAGTTGGAATAATTTTATGAAAATATATACCCCTTTTCATTTAGTATTAGATACTTTACAACATTGGATAAAATTGTATTCTAAGTAGATCGAAAAAATCAAATAACTTCCGAAGAACTGTTCTGTGGATTATTTTAAGGAGATCCTGGAGAACCCATTTTTGTTAATGCAAAAAGTGATGAAGAAATTAACATTAATACTAAATATATGACATTCAGATGGGCTAAATTGTTAACTGGGTTTGAGTTAAGTGCTCAATAATTCTATCTCCAATTACAGAAAAGAATATACAACATATAATTAATCAAAATTCAATTACAGAAATTGTAAAAAAATGAATTACTTACAAATTTTCCTGGAATGAATTTTGAATAGAAATATCAATTAAAATACTTTGGTAATTGTCAAATCAACGATGACACTCCATTTTGGTATAAGTTTTGTTTAGGAGAGAGTTTAATTTACAAATAAAATAAGGATACAACCTTGTTAGTTGAAGACAAGACCTTATAATCATATATTTAATTGAATTATAGATTTGAAGGTCAAGCCGAACATCTGCACGACTGTTACAAAATGGTATTAGCAAAAGATGACTAATAAATAGAGATTGGCATCATTGTGCCATTGAGTTACCCTCAACAGTATAAATTTTATATATAAGCAGGTCAGTACGTTACCAGATTCTATCAACTTAAAATATTAGTATATCTTAATATGAATTTTTCACAATTTGCAAAAATCTAGGCAATTGTTTAATAGAAGGACTTCAATTATCATACCAAATCTTAAGAATTATTGAATAATTATCAGAGAGAAGATAAAAGATGTAATATTTTCTAAAACATTAATGAGTAGTGTATAAATTTAATTTATCCATAAAATTATTCATCTTTTTTACCTTAATTTTTAATCCTTTCTTTAATCTACTTCCATTTTTTCTTTCATTTCTTGTGCTCTTTGAATATCCTTCATTTTCATGAGAAGTAAATCTAATCTATATAAACAATCAGATGGTAAAGGTCTAGGCTCCAATTCTAGCACATAGGGTCTATCATTAAGCAGATTAATAATAGTAAATACCTATGTATGTTAATATCCCAATATCTTTAGCCGTTGATGTCTAAATGAGATGTCCATCGGCCACTGATAGAGTCATAGGTCTCTAAGATTTCTTCTTTGCTGATTTTCAATTTCAAATTCAATCCTGATCCAGTTTTGTGAGCCATTTTACAACGTTAGATAAACATAGGAGATACCTTATAAATCTTCCCCAAGAAATGATCAATTGGAGTGGTTTACCTTGAAAAAAAGCTTTTATTTTCATCTTTGGGGTTGAATTGTATAACAGCACATAATTAAAGATCAGGTTAAAAACAGAAACTTCGTTTATGACAATTTACGTTTCTTTGTCCAGTTATGATGTTATAAACTGTAAATGGTTGATTAATGTAATAAAATTTTAAATTTGTATTTTGAAAATGTACAATAGAATGTCCTTGCTATTCTCCAGAGAGACTATTATAGCCCATATTAACGATAGGACTGAAAGATCCATACAATTTATAATCTCTTCCAAACATAATGTAATTAGAAATAGGTGGATGATGGAATGTCTATTCTAAATATATAGGACATCCAAGTATTCTACCTTAAAAGGTTTCTCCTAAAATTGGATTGAATGGTTTTTCTTACTGAATTCCCATCATAAAAGTAGCCATGTGAAAAGCAATAGTCTATTTCATTTATTGTAAAGGATCATTAGATTTGGCTGCAGGTTCAAAAAATAGAGGAGCATGTCCTTAAGCTCTAGCCATTCTCTCCAGAAAGGATCTACTTTCAAATATTTAGATAGGCAGGGAGACAGACATAACAGATTTTCCTTATATAAGATTGGATCCCATTCTTTTGATCATGTTTAAGAGAACTGATCTTTGATCCTTCAATAATCTTTCATTATGATAGGTTAAGCCACCTTTATTGGTGTCAACTCGGTAGTATTTAGTGTATAAGAAGTGACCTTCTTCATCGTTCGTTTGTAGTTGTTTATCTAAACCAGAAAGAATGGTTTGATCTGAATAATGTGCGATTGCATCTAAAATATATTGGCCATTTCCCACCTTTTCAATCAACTTTTAAAATTCTTCCTTTGATTAAATCTAATGCTATTCTGAAGTTATCCTTTATATATCAGATTCCGTTAATTTAATAGAGATTTAAATGGTTTCGAATAGTTCTACGTTTTTCACTTCAACATTCTCAGTTATTTATTATATTTCCTATTAGATTTGCATCAAATTTCTGTCTGAAGATGTTATATTCAACAATAGGATTTTCAATAACTTTTCTCCTCCATCCAGATCTTTACAATCCACGTATATTTCTTCTATCAGTAAACTTTTGAACTCCTGTTTGCTAAATGATATGAATTTTAATACTTTGATGGTTAAACAACAAGAGCAGATCTAATGATCTTATACTTGCCCAATTAATTTGCCAGACTCCTATCTATCTAATCATGATACATTTCTTATCCTGTATATTTACGAAATACACAATAGATGCCGTCCTTCTCAAATCCTTTTTAGGTGAATACTATTCTTATTTTATTGTTATCATCCTACTCATTCTAATTCAGTGATTGAGATGAATGAAATTGAACATTATTCTAATCTTCTTACACTTCCTCATCTTATATACTATGTTATCTAGGAATTGCATCATCTTTAAACTCAAATTCTAAATATACCAAACTACATCCTTTCTTAGTTGGGAATACTTAAAATTGCTTAATTACATCAGGCATCCAATTTTATGTTGATGGCATCACATGTTCCTTAAATAAATAAACCAGAATTTACATCATAAATTCTCCGAGGCTCAATTTTGGAATAATAAACCAATTTCATATGTAAATTATCATTTGGGTCCTGATACAATTTTGCATTTTCTTAATCCAATATTTGCTTGAAATTTTGAATGTCACTGAAACCATCCAAATTCTATAAGGTGTTTTATAGAAGAATCTCCATATCTTTCTATTTGTTTATTCTTTTTCTTTACTTAAATGAACTATGGCAAATGAGGAATCATATTTTCAATCTTATCACGAATCATTAAGCTTGGTTTTGGTCTAAATACCAATGGTTATTTTTCAATATATGGCTCAATCTCAGGGTGAGATTTATCAAATTCCTCCAAAAATCTTAAGTCCTCCTATTTCTTCTACCATTCGCCCGTGAAACAATCAATCCATTGCTAAAAATCTTTTTCACTATTCCACCCCAATTTAACTTCATTCGATGCTGTCGATAGTTTTATTGACCATTTCTCTTAATACTTACCCAACTTCTTTAAGTTGTATTTTGAAATTTCAATTTGCTTTTGAGTTTGAGTCTTTGCATCTTATATTTATAAAACCTAAATATTCCACTATTCACTACCTTCGTATTCAAATTGAAAACTAAAAGTTTTTCCTTCCACTTTTTTAACAAGCCTGACTGCTTATACCCACTTCCACTATAAAATTCTAAATTTTTTAGATACATTTTATTAATATTAATACTGTATTTATAATAAAAAAAATTACTACCGATTTGCTCTTAACTCTTCTAGCTAATCGTATTCGATTTCTTTAGTTTAATTGAAAACTATATTTTTATATTAAATTATTTTAAGAAATCCTATTGATCCAATAAATCTAAATGGGAGATTTGAACTGAAATTGCAGAAATTTACATTGTTACTATGTCTAAATCTAAAAACCATAAGTATTAGTGAAGATCCCAATATCTTTCAAATCCAATTCCATTTAATCTAGAAGAAAAAATATTAACAAGTTTAAATTCCTTTAGAAATTCTATTTTATGAATTAAATTATTTGCTGATCGATAGAAAGCCTGTTAATAGATACCTATAACTGGAAAGATATATATACCTTTTTTTAATCAAAAATAATATTGAAAATTTAATTGTTTAAAATATTCAGTTTTAAATTTAACCAAATTTTAATATCATTTTTCAATAAGAATATTAAACAATCTTAGAAAAATTGTATTAAGTTAACTCAAAAGCTAAACCATTATAATCTTTAATTAATCTATTGATATACTATGAAATTTATTTTCTTGAAACTTATAGACATATGAAAATTTTCAATATTCTCTCAAGATCCCAACCATGAAGAGAAACGGAATTCTTGCTTAGTATTTTCGCTCCGTGTATCATTTTAGAATATGGAGACAAAGCAATTATCATAATAATTTGATTAAGAATGAAAAATTTAAACAATCAACTCTAAGTTGGATAATAGGAAAATAACAAAATTTTAATAAATCTTAATCATCTAAACAGTTCAACAATAATCTAGATCATAATAATTGTTCTAATTAAAGAGATGCCGAGTCAATTAATCAATATTAGATTAATGTGTATTTTATTTTATGTTTTATCAATACTTTCTAACAAAGAATAAACCGTCTCTTTCTCGTTTAAGTGGATATAGAACAACAGAAAGAACATGCGATGTTCTTTAAACTACTGCTCATACCAATAAATCTAGCAAGTATATTCATGAGAAATTTAATACCGAACATTCAACTAGTGAAGGCTATTTAATCAAAAGATCTAATCCGCTCGCTAAACAAAGCAATTCCAAAATAAATATCCTTATAAATAACATTAAAAATACTTACAAATGTGAAATAGAAAAGTTAAAGGATGAATGCAGAATCCGATAAACAAATCAACAGCTACATATGTATTATTTTTGAATCTATTTTCAGTCAAGATATGTTACTAAGAAACAGAGATGATATCTCCATTCTTATTGATAGATTAAGAAGAATTCTTCTAAACAAATCCAAACGATCATGTTGCATTGAGATTATTTAAGAAATCAATAACCAAATATCTAAAATCCGTAATATTGGTATTTTAGATTAATCAATATGTTAGATATCAAGATTTTAGTTAGTTTAACTCTCTCTAAAATTGCTAGATATTATAATCTCCTCCATTATGCTATCTTGCTCGCTAAAAATGCAAAGAGGTTTTCAGACTCTGAGCCTATGCTAAAGTATAAAATTAAGGCCTACGAAATCTTATCTTTATGTTTCCTTAAGCTAAGACTCAAGCAAGCTAAAACATATATAACAAAGTATTTGATGTGCAGCTGGAAATTGGATAAACCAAATGAAGAACTTAAAGGATATGACTAAATGGGAAAGTATTATTATTATGAAGGTAACATTGAAATGGCTTAGTTCTATCACAATAAAATGATTAACGGAGATACTTTAGTAATCTATAATTAATCATATTAGAAACCTAATTCATCATTGAAGAGATTAGCAGTGGCTAAGTTTGAGTAAGGTTCGATAGGAAAAAGTAAAAGAGAGAAGCAATCTGTAAATACTGAGGAAGCAGATTTTAATATATCTTCTGATGATGAACCATTTGAAGTTATCTTTGCTTAAGAGAAGGATGAAGGCTTATAAAAAGCTAAAGATAATTTTGAACTTATGAGGCATAATTCAAAGAAAAAACCCTAACTTTTGCATTATTAAATAAGAAAACAGCCATTATTAGATAGAACAAACTTAAAACGATTATAATAAGAATCAAAAAATGCTAACTCCTTTATTAGGTACAAATAAAAAATTTGAACACTAGAATTCCAAGAGCATAGTAAACTTAGTCTCTACTAACTGAAAGAGGAACTCTAGATCTTAGTAAAATAAAAGGACTATCTTATGCACATATTTAACTTGGCGAACTCAAGAATCCTGTTTTGCTAAATCATTTAAGTCCAAATAGATGTTTAGTCAATTACTAGCATATAGAGTTAAATAAAGTTCCTTAATCGTATAAAAATGCTGAAGATCTAGAACCTTTATTTGATATTGGTGACATCTAAAAAATGTCTAAGAATCTAAAAAAGCTTATTGTTATATTAACAGGAGTTGAAGAATGGCTTAAAGCATAAAGTGATTTATATTGATGAAAACATATACTTATTTGTAAAATACTTTATATTTTAATATAAACATAATTTGAGTAAAAAATATTAAGTTGAAATCGCTAGGATACAAGCAAGTTAATTACTAAGTAAATTTATTCAAAAAATAGAATTAGTGTATTATATTTGCATATTATTAATTAACAATAATTCTGAGAGCATTACAAAAAGAAACTTGTCTATTGATTTACAGTTTCAGTCTACTAATTTGACGACTAAAATTAAATTTTTGCTAATTAAAAGTCTTTGAAAATATCGATTTTAACACATCTTACTTTCTTAACAAAGTTACCAAAATTGTGTTAAAAAGTTAAGATAAATTAGGCCAAATACATATTAAAGAAATGTTTTTGATTATAGCTTTTAATCGACCATTAATTTGACGTTCTCAACAATTACTTTACTTAGTGAATGGTTCAAAATCATAGGGAAATTTTAAAATCCTTTTTTGATATTTTTTAAACATTATATTAAAAATACTTTCAATCCAGTTAAAAATTTTATACTAAAAGTGTTTATTATAACAAATTAGTAAGGAAACTTTATTTTCTATGCCTAATTAATATTCAGTTTATTCAGGGCATTAATATGATCAACATTCATCAACTAAAATTTATCGACTTTTTATAACTGTAAAAATTTTGGAATAAAGGCATCTTTCTTAAACTTAAAAAATTCAAAAGTAATCAAAAGAATAAAATTGAAAAAAGAAAGAATATTATATTCTATAAAAGCACTAGGTTAACCCTCAGAAATCTTAAGAAACATAAATTCATCACTTTAAATAAATTAATAAATAAGGCATAAGAATTACAATTTTAAAAATAATTTAAAGTTCTTTTAAGATCAAGAAAAAGAAAGCTATTAAAAAGCAGCTGTAAAAATTTGAGCATATTTTCTTTTATTATTTGTTTTATTAAAATAAACAGACTTTTTATTCCAAATATCAGAATCTTAAAAAGATGTACAAGACTACATAAAACTGTTCCTACGCAGGTAACTAAATGAAAATTCACAATAGATTTGATATTTAGATAAGGTATATTGGATAATTTTAGATCTACAATAACAATTGATAAGGAAAACTCTAATGCTTAATTGCCGGAAAAGAAGTAGTATTAGAATAGGGAGAGCAGCAACTCAAGTCAATAAAAATATGAAAATCGCTCAAATAGTGGATTATTTAAATCTGCATCGCTTTAATAATTCTATCGTGCTTAATCCGCTGTTGAGAAAAATTCATAATAAAATTAGAAAGTAAATCAATAACAAATTAATGATACGAAAAATGTTTCATATTTCACGTTGTTATAACAAAGTGGCTATAAATTGAGACATAATTATACAAAATCAACAAAAGAACAAAATAATAAATGGATAGATTATTTATTAAATGAGAGTCAAAGATAAAAACCTTCAGAAAGTTAGTCTTAAAAGAATTTGAATGAGAAATTGGAAAATTTAGAAAAAAAATTTAATCGGTTAAAGGATTCATTTGCTAATGTGAGTGAAAATTAATAAGATAAGCAAACAAATAGAATTAAATAAAAATAGTATTCTATGGTATCTAAATACTTCCCTTAGAAATTAGTTTAATAATAAAAGAATGCTAGTTAAGAAGAGAGGAAAGTTACTAAAGATATTTAATCAATCTTCAATATTTATGCATAAATCAAGGATCTAAACAGTTATACTTCAAATTCTTAATTATTAAAACAATCCTAAGTCAAAAAGACTGGATAACTGTAAGATTTTGTGACTTAAATTAAAGGAAATTTAAATAAGAATTCTTAATTATTAAAGGGTTCTCATGTACATTCACCAAGCTCCACTTTAAATAAATCAGATCGATAATAATCTATGGATTCCAGATTTGTTTTTTTGAAGAAGATGAGTGATACTTAACCAAATGAGCCTGTAAGCATTTTAGCTTATCTAGTTCTTGTACTATATTTCAACTGTACTCTAAGCTATAAAAAGTAAGAAACCTACTGAAATTGATGAACTTGTTACAGATCATTTTTTACAAACATATCAAGTGAATTTAGTATTAATTATTGTAGGGATTACTTTATGCAAGTAGATCTTAGGTGCAATTTGATCCAGATAAGGTTACCTTCTTGCCGAAATCCACTAATCTAAAAACTATAGTGTTTGATTTGGATGAGACATTAATTCATTGCAACCAGAACACATCAATTCCTGGAGATATCACAATACCCATCACTTTTCCAAACAATGAAACAATTTAGGCTTCTATTAATATTAGACCTTATGCAAAATAAATCCTTTAAACTCTTTCAAGGGATTTTGAAATTGTTATTTTTACAGCTTCTCATTCTTGTTACGCCAATGTTGTTATTGATTATTTGGATCCAAAAAAAGAATGGGTTTCATATCGATTATTCAGGGAGCATTGCATATAAACAAAGGAGGGAGCCTACATTAAAGATTTAAGGTAAATCCTATTTATTTTTAGAGTATTAGGAAATCGAAAACTATCTAATATTTTGTTAGTAGACAATGCTTCCTATTCATTTAACAAATAAATTGACAATGGAATTCCAATAATTTCTTATTACGATAATAAAGAGGACTAGGTAATTTAAATATTGATATATAGGAATTATTGCATTTGGAAAACTATTTATTGAATTTCAGGAATGTTAAAGATGTTAGAGATTTAAATTAAAAATAATTAAAATTAAAATAGTTATTAGATTATTCTGATTTTGATGATTTGTAAAATAATTTATATAATATTTACTTTTGAATATACAATTTATTGGTTATCAACATATGATTATGATTATGAAAAATAAATAAATATAATCAACTAATCTATTGAATTAGCTGTTCAATGGCTTGTTATATATGTTAAATTTTTAATTATTATTCTTTAATTAACTAAAATTAATCATATTAAGGAACCAAGCTTGTATCGATTTTATGTTTATTAATTTCTGATAAAAAGTTTGATCTTAATGAGATTACTATTGCTATAGAATGTTATTAATCGAAATTATTCGTTTGACTCTATAAATTCTCTATTGAAGCATGATATTTTTGACAAATAGAATTTGCTTCAACAACACTTCGAATAAGATTTAATTAATTTATAATCAAAGCAATATAAGGATTATCCTTTTAAGTATGCTTCAAGATTACCTGAGATATATAATTTATTTAGTCTATATTAAGGCTCCTAAACGTGTTCTGGAGCATTCCTCTTAATTCTTTTGAAATTTTCGTGTAATCTAATTTAAGATTATGAGATTCTGTAGAAAAGGTCTTCAGTTCATTCTTTGTATAATCTTAAGTTGGCTACTCATCAAAAATAATTTAGTTCGTACTCGATTCTGATGAGGTCTGATCTTCAGATTGAAAAGTGGGTAAGAGACGAAAGAGAGAATATTGAGAATTTATTGGTTAAGGATTATCTAGAATATTTTCTAGTCTCTTTATTATTTGTGCTAATTGATTTAGTTTATATTATTTCATAAATTAGTTAACGAACAAAGAAAATTTAAAAATAATGAATGTTTCAAAATGTAGTTACTGTTAGAAAGTGCCTGACGACATATTAATGTTGACATGCAATCATGATCTTTGTTTGGATTGTGCTGCCAAATCTTTTTCAAATCAGCAAGCAAAAAAGCACAAAAAAGTATACTAGTTTGAAAATAATTATAAAGTTTTTTGTATGTGACATCTGCTAGGTGAACACAGAATTAGATTCTAATAGCATTTATGAATTAGAGAAAATACATCTAGCATCTGCATTGCATGATCGATCTAATAGAAAACCTGCTCTTGTATAAAAAGTGAATATAAATTCTGAGAAATAAGTGAAATCAAAATCCTAAACTCGATAAGATAATAAGGAGAACCAAAAAGAAAAGACAATTAAATTTGCAATTTAGAATCCAGAAGCAAAATCATCAGTTCATTAATCATAGCGTCAAATGAGCAAACAATAAAGTGAAAATTCATTCATCCAACACTCACGAGAGCAATGTCTTGAGCATCCTGAAGAGGAGGTTTCCTATTTTTGCTTTGATTGTAATAGTAAATGTATATGTCCTGAATGTATTATTCATGGAATCCATAAGAACCATGAAGTTAAAACAATCAAGAAGTCATATCCATAGGTTAGAAAGTAATTGGAAAATTAAATTGAATAAAATCACTAATATTTGACCTAGATTGAGAACTACAGATAAGATTTAGAAAAAAAGCAAGTTCAATAATCTGCAATTTAAGAACACATGAGACTTCAAATAGCCTAAGAATTTCAAGTAATGTTTTTGAAATATAATTAGGTTTTACATCAATTATTGAATAACAAGTAAACTGAATTATTAGATAAAATTGGCAATCTTCCTTCAATAATAGATTAATAAGAAAATTATGTTAACAGATTGAGTGATACTCATTTGAAACTTTAAAACTTAAACGATAAGATTTATCAGATAATTGATTAAAAGAGTGAAGTAGAGTTACTCAACTATTTTGGACATTTATAGAATTAGACTACTCCCCAAATTCCACCATCTCCTAATGTTAAGGTATTTCAACTATCAAACTTAATTTTCTAATAAATCAATGATGCCAAGAAAATTATTAGTGGAATGGATATTGATTGTAATTAATAATATATTTCATGATTTGATATTTTATAGCTTTTGTATTGGTTAGGATTGCTTTATTTGTTATGCTAAATCTTTTGGTTTTGCAGAGTGAACCTAGGATGCTAGGATTGTCCATTCTTTCTTGACATTGTTCTTCCATTCATTGTTCTCCATATAACTATCATCTCTATCTAAACAATAGTTTCCAAGTTCACCATCCCTATCATTTTCAATCACACTTGAGTCAATTCTATTATTCTGATTATATGTTTCTGATTGGTTGACTCTGGCTAATCGAGACTCGACATCCATCAGGCTTTCTTAAAATGTCTATTATAACAAGATTACCTTAATATGCAGGGACATATAAAGAGATTGTTTAATCTAATAAATTCTTTTTTCTTTAAGTCTGTCCTTTTCTGGCATGACTCACCCTCGCAGAATTAAAACCAAACTCATTATAATCCTCGTATGATTAAGCCTTCTATCAATCAAAATATATATAATACTTCCTTTTCAGATTAAACTAATATTTATAATTAAGCAAACTAATCCTTATGTTCTACAAAAAAGGTTTTGTAGTACATAAAACTTTTTTAAATTTTCTCCCATTTCTGGTTGAGATTAAGATTGGATTTGACTAAAATGTCATTATTTCCTTCAATTTATTTTATATGTCTTTTCAATGATTCATTTTCAATTTCATAATGTTTGCACAAAATCATCTCTCTTGATAAATTCTTCTTAGTTTCTTCAAGTTCCTATTCTAACTTACGAACTCTATTTTATAATTGATCTTCAGTTAGTTTGATTTATTGGGTTGATCTTTTGGCATTAATCTATTAAATTTGAAAAGCCTTAGCTAAATTCAATTTTGGCACAGGCAACTTAGTGTTATTTTTTTTAAAATCATCCTATTTTCCATATTACTAATATGATTCATTAAGACCTACTCCTCCATCAAATGTTTAATTTAAATTTTAGAAATTTTTTTTGAAAACTTAGGGAGCCTTAGCAGGAAATGGAGATGGTATTGGAGAGTGTATCATATCAGTATTCATAGGTGATTAAATGGAATTTGTTCTGGCTGGCAAATCTATAGTAGGTAATCTAGATTCTAAAATTAGTTATTATTAAGTTATTTTATATACATTAAATCTAAGCTAAGATTTCCAAGAATTCATGCTGTGCCCTTTCATAATCCTCATCTAAATCTATTACTTCTCCTTAAATTTTCATCTATATATTAGTAATGACTTTATTGATAAGAGTCACTAGTTTTAATTGAATACTCTTTAAGTAATTAACTTATAATTGTAATCTCACGATCAATTAGTGCAATGTTTCCATTTCATCATGAAGTAAAATAGTGGCTGAATTAGGATGAATGACATCTCTATATCTCACAACGACTCCAGTAGTATCATCTCTTTGATCAGCTTATTTTTCAAGTTAACAAATTTTTTAAGCTTATTAACTGATGGTGTGATTAAGATCGAAAATAGTTGACTCAAGTTCAGCGATGAACTTCTTTTCACTCTTTTCTGCTGCATAGGTTATCTCTTCTGAGATTAGGGCCTTGCCTTACGCAAAATCCCTCTCTTTTTAAACTTTCTCTAACGATGACATCAAATGATCAATTTCTTTTTGTTGTTCTGTAATTACTAATTTAAGCGCTTTCACGGTGTTTTCATTCTCACGTATTGTAGTCTATTAATTAAATCTTGGATTGACAACGTCTTAATCAATCATAGATCGCAGTGACTATTTATTCAATTAGATGACGGTTTGTAAATCCTCTATATTGACTCTTAACTATTGGTTTTCTTGGTGTAAGAAATCAATCTTGGCTTTCAATTAATGTGGACTTTCACTCATAAAATAATTTATATAATCAAATATCGTCTTTATCTTTATCGTATTTTATCGTGATCACTCCCTTCTCCACACCGAAATAAGACCATTATCTTTCATAAATATCAGGAATCTAATTAATAATATTACCCATTACTTTGAATGTGAGTGTGAATTCCCCATATTTCCTTTCACTCTTTTCTAATTGCCCTTGATTTATGTAGGGTCTCTACTTGTTCCCCTTCACCAAAGTCACAACATTCTGTCTCTGAATATCTACATCATCATTAGTCAATCCTGGGGCATCCATCAAGATTATATATTGATCACCTGCAATGATATCCGTGGCAGGCTAAAAAGAATCCTGTTGCCCTGTTATTAACCCACTCATATCAACTTATCCTTAAGGAATTTGAATTTTATCCTGAAACTCATTCTCTGTTTTGATGACCTTGATCAAAGGATCGTCGGTGTTTTTCAGATCAATTTTAATATTCTTTCTAAAAAAATTAACAAGTTTTTATCTTGATTAAATTAACAAACAATCTAGAACCGAAAAACTTCTGTTCACAGGAATGAAGACTGCCTTTAACCAATATCTAAGTAATGAAAATACCCAAGGATTGAGACCCTTTCCCAAATTGCAATCATCATTAACTATGCATACATGTCTAGTATAGGGAGTCTTAAACCAAAGAACATGCTTTTCTTAAAGTTATTTATTAATTGGATTAAGGGCAGCTACTTTAGTTTTTTATAGAGTTCCATTTGCATATATTTATGTCACTTGTGTACTCCACACATGTTCTAAAATTTCGGTAGATTCAACATCTTTTAGATTATGAATTACTATGATTTCTCGAAATGTCTTATTGGGACTTTGTTAGAGATTGCGACTCAATCTGTCGAGATATCTTTGATCAAGACTGGTAAAATCATTGACAACACACAAAAAGTAATCTGCCAAATCAAATACAAGATCAGATATGAATGTTTCTGTGGCTTCTTTGTCTACTATAGACAATTCATTTTCTATTTTAACAGGACTGTACGTTCCAGCAGTGTCCACTAAAATAAGTTTTGTACCATTATCTACATTCACATGCTTAAATGAAATGCCTCTTGTCGTAACCTTCTTTCCAGATGGCAAATTACTCATGGTGAGACTGTTCAATACAAATGTCTTCCCTTTGTCATATAATCCAGTTACTGCTACTGTTGCTCCTTCCAATGCTTTTATGTTGATTATCTCTTGGTTTATCATCTTTGGAGACAACCACACCTTCCATCCAGAATTGTTTATAGATGTTATAAAATCTATATCAACCACCCAATCATAGATGCTTGTCTCATCTATAATTGAAGTATTTTATTTCTTGAAATCTGTTGGATTTCCTTTAAATATACCACATTACCTTTACCGTTTGACTTCGCTTTGTCTTTAAAAATGATTTACTTCAAGTTGTAGTTCATGAATTTCTTTGAGTAATTGAGATATCTATCTGATCTATTTGGAATCGTTTTATAAGATGGCTTCCATTAATTTATTGCTTTCCTTTTCTCTGAGATTATATTCCATCAGCACTGCTTCAAACATATCCTTAATCCTCATAACATCAGTTGCTCTATTAGTTTCTCGAATGAAATCGGCAAAGACTTGATTGATTTCCTATTTCAATCCCTTAATTGCATATATCAATGGAGCAATACGAGAATGAACTTTCGGATTAATATCATCATGAACCTATTAAAACTCTTATTCAAAGTTATCTAAGACCTTAGTATCGAAAAGAGTATCATTCATGGATTTTTATTATTATTAAGACATAGTTTCAATTTCAATTTTATTAATCAATTTTACACTCCTCATTATTAATCAATTACTAAATAACTCATTCATTAATTCATTAGTTAAAATCAATCCATCAATTTTCCCTTGCTTTTACAAACTAGTAATTGCTATCCAAATAAAAAGTATATATATCTAAATAAGTTGAAAATACTGTTTATAATCTAATCAAAAAAATTAGCTTTCTAATATTACCTAATTTTAAGTGACAATAATAAATATATACTATTCCTTTGCACATTTTAAATTATTATAGTTAATTATTGACATATTCATTTTAATTGTAAATAAACTCTTGAAAATTTCTAGATTTAAGAAAGATATTATTTTTTTAAGATACATTTTATAAAATGTACTCTTTTTGAATCATATTATCAAAATTTAATCAATTTTTAATTTTCCTTAAAAAGCAAAGGAGACTCGGTTTAAGTTATAAAAGAGAGCATATTTATAAAAGAATTCTTTACTAACCAAACATAATTTCAGAGAATCTTTATTGTTGAGATGATCCCACCTACCTTGTTGGATTCTTGAAATTAATGTGATGATATAATATTGTATTGATTTGTTGTTATTGATAGATTTAGAGATTGATGGAAATCAGGATATATTGAATAATGAATTTACAAAAGTGAATATAATTTAATTGTAGATATTAATTAGTGTAAAATTCTGATCTTAGAGTCTGGAAGTATGTCAATTCAAAATATATTAAATTAAATTAGAAAAATGAATTAATATTAGGAATTAAGTTTTGGGCAAGTATTGTCAATAGAGATTGCTAGGATTGCAGATTACAAAAATATGTTCGGGACTAAAGCATTAATTCTGGCACTAATTAACTTTTTATCGTTGATGAGCTTCAGTTTGAAATTTGAATAAAACCAAGGCTATGAATATTTTACTCATGTAATATTAAGTGGTTATCGTAGTTTTTAAGTATATTCACAAGACCAACGGATGTATTATTTGTACCAATCTGTATATTAATTCTGATACTAAACATGTTTTTGTATGGTTGTCTACTACTGATGTCGTACTTGAAGCATTAGAATTAGAACAAGATAACTATGTCGAAAAATAAATTCAAGAGATTGCACATCTTGCTGTCGTTGGGAATTGAAAGTGCAGTGTGGCTTAGCTGTCCAATTGTAGACACTTGATTAAATTCTAGTTATCTATCAACTTGGGGTTGTTCTATAAACAAAGTAGTGCCTGGAGTGCATTGCCAATCATAAACATATTTCTGCACTCCATTATTGTGTTAAGTTACTTCTACTTCTATCGGAGTTATCAATTCAATTAATTGGGATTGTATAGAACATTCAATCTGGCCTCCTATTGTTACTATTTGATTGTGATATTTATAGTAGCCATAGATTGGAACACGGATTTGCAGATTCAGCCATATATTTTTTGGTTGCTCAGCATTTTCAAATTGGTGGACATAATATTGTTCCTGCCATACAAGGTAACATTTGAAAACCAAGTCTATATGTTTGGAACAACAGGCCTATTCATAGTATCCTTTTTGGGTTCCATATCTCAGATCACCCCTTCAATAAATGGGGATAACATCTTTGAGACTTTCCTCTTGGCATTTCCAATATTCTTTTATTTATTTAAATCACTATAGGGCAGGAAATGGAAGGATCTAATATTGTACTCTCGAACTGGATCAATGAAACAGATGGACATAAAGAAATTGTGTTCGTCTTTAGAATCACTTGTTTGGTATGTAGAGTAGGCAAGGATGGATTCATATATATTTATGCTGTCTCTCTATGTGTTAAAATATCACACTCAAAACTGCAATGATCCAAATTGTGAATGCAAAGAGGATTTATCTAAATCCAATACTCAAAATTAAGAAAGTATGAGTCATAGATCATCATTTTAATCCAAAACTGCTCTGTTGAGTAATGGAGATAAAAACAGTAATCCTTAGAACATTTCTCAAAATTTGGATGTCAGTTAATTTCAGAAGACTATCAAAGATGGAAGTCGTAAAAATGATTCCTTTGCTGGTGGAGGTCATCCACAATTTGAATAGTAAATCTTGAGACCAGCCAAGGCCATCTTATTTTAACCTATGAAATTCATCCAGAATAATACGATCAACGAAGATCTTATTTCATAATATGTCAAAAGATAGTTCCATTAAACGATTTAATAATTGTCATTTTCATTGCACTTGGATGAAGTCGAATATTTATCATTGAAGTACATTTCTTTTATGTTCTCTTTCAAACAGAACAGCCTTTAATCTCTCACCAAACTCAAACAAATACAAAGTAGAACTGTTCAATTTTCTTACTTCTTTCGTAATGTTACTAAAGTCACAGAATCATAATTTATTGAGGCTCTTAAATTAAAACACTTCGAAGACAAAAACTCATACGACGATCTTGTCAAAATGAATGTAACTGAAATTTGGAGATTGGAAATGGTTAAAGAGGACATCGTTAAGAGCATCGTATCTGTGTTGAGAAAGAAGATAACATTATGGGAGAATCTATGTTCTGGAGACATTCAGAATATGAATCGATTCCTAGAGGATATTATCAAAATTTCACTTCAGATTGAACAAAGTAGAAACAAAGTAGATATGATACTCAGTGACTTCACCAGCCAAGTTCAAAAGAACTACAGTTATTATCTGAAGTATCAATGTTTTAGATCTCTCTTTTTTGATTCAGATTATAAATAGGCAGTCGTTTTCTAAAGGAAAGTAGAAGATTCATGGTAGTTGAGTAGAGCAGCTCACAAATAAGGATAGATTGGCAATTTCTAATGGCTCTCAGGAGATCTAGTGACTTTGGAAGTGAGTGCTGGGGTATAGAGTGGCTAAATCCTTAAGGGAGTCTCAAATAGATTAGTTGACATGTTGGGATATGCAAATTATGAAGACATGATTCAAAATCTACGTATAAGGGGAATACAATCATCTCATTCGAGTTAGAACTCAGACAAATTATAAATTTCAAGCATTATGCCTCCATATTTAACTGCATCTCACAATTATTTCATCTCTAGATTCATTCAAAGGGGATACACTTATTATTATGACAAACCAATCAATTCTTATGCATGTGATGCCTAGGGATTTGTATTTCCTGTCAACATCAACTTATCTTTTAATTTTTAAAATCTAACTGATTTCACACTCTTAGGATCCATTTTAAAAATTAAAGATGATGATGAATATCTTATTTTTGATGAATGGGGTCGTATCTTAGGTGTTTCCTTACATACATTTGATAAATTGATATTGAAAGGAGCCTTGGATGAATTTGGTATGGTGCAGTATAAGTCTGTCAATTAAAAGTTCGAGAAACTTGGACATCTTAAAAATGCCTTATTACATAAGATAGCAAGAGATGACAATGCCAAATTATTTAAGAAAACTATAACTATGCATTAAAAATAAGGTACAACAAAAAGTTAAATGAAAAGAACATATCAAAAACCATCAGACATTTTGTTATAATTTGGAAGCATTTAACACTTTTTGCCACAAGTAGGAAAAACTATTACAGATTTACTGGCAAAAGACATCTTTAAAAAATTATAAAGAGAATCACAAGAATAATTTAATAAGTTAACTGATAATCAGAAAAACTAGGAAGTCTAACAATAAAATAATAATAAGTTATTTGAAAAGCAGGCTAGTAATATGTTCTAAAGACAAATTAGTTAATTTATTGATCGATAACAGAGCTTAAATTAAGGTGGATTATCCAGCGCTATGCTAGGTAAAGATCAGTATAGAAACTTCATTATGAACAATTTTATTGATGAAAAAGGATTAATGAAAAAGAACATGTCCTTATTGCAGGATGAAAGATTGATCCTGTATGTGCCTAAGAATTATAATGAATTAATTGAATATTTTAATGATGCTGGAGAACGATTTATGGAAAGTAAAAATGATATAGAAACTAAGTCTATACGTAGATAGTAAATGTAAAATAGATATGCCTACATTAAGTAACAGTAGAATTGCTATCACTTGTTTGATGCTGAATTCCAAGACTTTATTGATAATAAAGTGAGAAAATATTATTCTAAAGCCCTATTAAAAGAAGCCTTAGAATCTCATGATGCTAAACTACTATAGTAAGTAAGGTACAAGTGTGTTTCATCGATTGATGTGGGAGTTGGAGGGGCAAGTGAGAAGGATCAATTCCTATATTTTGTGTGCAGGTTATCGTCATTGAATCTATAAACTGCAAAAAGAAAGGATGTCCTAAAAATTCATATGAAAAAAGAAAAAAATCAATAATTTGATGGAGGCGAAGAATTAAGAAGAAGTCTAATTTAATAGGCTTCTTCCTTGGATTCATTTGACAAAGAGAAGCCTAAAAGATCTTTATCCATTCAAAAATAAGAGAGTTTTGGTACTCCTCAATAATAAATAAAATATAAGGGAGAGATTGATTAACCAATCATTGTAACATTGGCTATTCCAGATAGTAGAACATATCTATCTTAACTAGATAGAGACGATGGACCAAATATGAAAGTCAATTTTGAAGCTCAAAATTAAAAATTAAATGAGTCCTCGTTTGATATTGAAAATTCAATGAAAGAAAGTCTAATACCAAATGGTGGCAATCACTCTATGACTCAATCATTGAATTTAAATGTCCCATAATTAATGAGGTAAAATTCTGTTGAAAAAATGAAATAGATGTCAAATCAAAGTAAAGAATATCTAAAGGAATAATCTAGTAGTCTGTCAGACTAAAAGGAAGAGCCACCAAAGAAAAAACTTAAGTTATCTTTTTTAAAGAAGATGGAAAAGGCTCTTAATCCAAAAGATCCTCCTTCTGGAACTCCTACTACTCCAAATGCTCCATCCTTCTTATAACCATTATAATAATAATAGTAATAACCAGAGAAATAACCATCTTCACTCTCTGTTCCTGAAGAAAAGAAGAACTCTTTTTTAAGTCCTACAGGTCTATTTGCTAAATTGTTTGGAAGGTTAAATCTGAGGAGAGTATCAAATATTGAAATAAAAAATGATCAATTTGAATCACAAGAACAAGGTTTCAGAGAACACTCTGAAAATTCTGAAAAGGAGGACATGAAAAGAAGTGGACACAGCACTCCTTCAGGATCTAATTCAATGTCTAGCAATAATATCACAAGTTAAGGAGACTAATAAGAAGATGATGAACAATTTAATAATGAAGATGAATTAGTCAATATCTTTGAAGTGATGAGTCAAGCCTCAAATCATTAATCTATTAAATCCATATCTGCAATTTCAATGGCCACTCATATCTCAATGAGATGTCTTAAATATTTACCAAGATAAGCTAAGTCCCTCTAAATTTTTAAGATTATTTTGATTATCTTGAATATCTCTTGTATCATTAGCTTATTGTTGACAACATAGAAGTATTTTGACAATTTGAGTGTGGACAATCTTAGTTTGAGGATTAATAACTAATATCGTTATTCAGCCATCATCCTTCAATCATCAAACTAAATTGATTAGCAATCTATTATTGTTTTTGATCAAACTCCTAATATCACTTAAATAAATGAGATAATCTCCTATTGTTATGATCTTAGTTTAAATATCAGTTAGTCTTACTTCGAGGTTATTGACTCCATATAAAATGCTGTGTCATTTCCATTGCCTCAACCAGATGTACTGCAAATCCCAGATGATTATTACATTGTTTCTCTTTAAGAGTTTTTAACTCAATAGAAAATTGAAATTGATTCTCTCGAGTTGATCAACACTTACAATAGGAGTGATGCTACATTCAAATAATTGTATAATAATTCTATGGATTATTTACTAAACCGTCTGGTATTCACACAATCATAAATAAACAACATGAGTGAGCAATTAAGAACAAGCAAGAATAATAATATTCTAAGTAAGGCTTTGGTTGTTACATATCTAATGGCCAGTTTTGGTGGTTTACATTTGATTGTAATACTTTTGATTGTCCCCTTCATTAGATAAATAAACAATATCTATTTTCGTGTTCTCTCTATTGTAAGTAGGGTGACATAGGAAGAGGCTGAGGATGAGATCAAAAAATTAACTGTTTCTTAGCATTTGCTTGAAACTTAAGATGATTCATGGGTTACGCAAAACCAAGTCAAACTCATCTTTTATAATAAAAGCAAGGATATTAATTTGAATGAGAAATACACTAAAAATGGTAATGTCAAAGCAAAAGGAAAAGAAAGCTCTTACTTTTATTCAAAATTAAGTGATACTACTTTAAGCATTTGGTAAGACATGGGATTGTATGTTATGATTTCATCAATTTCTATTGGCTATTTAATATTTTCTATTATTATTATTCAAACTTAAATCAATACATTTACTCCTTTTATAGACAATTTTGATTAAACTGTTAGCACAAGTGTATATACTACTAGCTTAATTTCAAAATTATCGATCACTCCTTAACGATATCTAAATTTATAATCTACCAGTATACCCACACAATTTACTTTATTAAATTTCTAATAAAATTAATAGATTTCCTATTTTCTACAAACAATCTCCTCCGACACTAGCAAAATCAAATCATATATTAGTGATATGTCAAAGTTTTTAGAGTAGTTGAATTTGGATTATGGGTACGATTCGAATTCCTCAAAAATTAGTGTCACTTCTGAGTAATATCAATCCCGGTTGCCCTATATACAACAATTAAGTGTGTTGAGTGAAATAAATCATTTACTAAAGGATAACTTATGTTATTATACTTAAGAGACTCTATGTTAGCAATAGCAATAATTTGATTACTTTAATACTGGTTTGATGGGAGCATTGGATATCCTACAGAAGATGTAGTTTAATTATCAAACATTTTTGAACTAATATTATTAAATTCAATATTCGGAATAACAGAATAACACACTTTAAGTTAATGCGTATTATAATTCTTAAGAATATAAACTATTAGTAATGTACGGATAAGAGTTGATTTTTAAAACATTTGATAGATTATTGTTATTATTGGAAACGTTCTTGAATGATGAGAAAGAATCGAAGAATTAATTAATATAGAACTTGTTCATCGGCATAGGAATCCCCATTATGGCATTGACAATAATTTTGGCTGCTTTGGAAATGAGACTACTCAAGTAAAAGGTCAGAAGAGTGATGCTCTCTCTTACCTTCCTGCCTACCTTTAAGTTTTAGGATAAGATTGTGCTTTCCCTAATTAAGGCAATCCTTAAAATTTGAAATACGGAATTTATTTTTTATCTAGAAACTTTAATTAATTTATATGGCTAATAAAATTAATATACATAAATATACATAAAGCACAATTCAAATAGCTTCGTCTCATTTTTACATCAAATAAAAATATCTTCATTTCATCTGTTTTTCACAGAAATAATAGAATCCTAGCAGGGATTTGAAATGTTCAAAATTTAAGATTCAATGACACATAGAAGAAACCATTGAATAAATTGACTTTCAATGTGAAAAAAGAGAATATAGATTATTAATTTATTAAAATAACAACTTAGATTGAGATTATCAATTATTTAGAAATGCATCATTTCTAAATTTTTTTTATTCCTAGGATGCCTGCAATTGATAGTTTATTTTTGTTAATAGCTATCAAGCCTATCCTTTTCTATCCAGGTTTTAAAATTCCAATGACAAAATGATATTTCGAAATGTCTTAAGTACTATTATCGAGTTCAGAAGAAAGAGCTTCATTTTAGATTGTTTCAAAAGAAGTCCTTTTACTCCATATGGACGTTAAACTATTTGAAACACTCTATTATTGCTTATTCATTTTCTTAATTTTATTTATTTTGATCAATGAGGAAAAATGAAATATTAATAATGAAATTATAATATATCATTCAATAATAATGCGTCATGACATTCGTATAATCCAACTTTATTAATCCCTTTTATATTAAATATTCAAAAGTTGAGATCATATTTAATAATTATTCAATTATTTTAAACTATTTATATAAATAATTATTGTATAAATTATAATAAAATAATATCAAAAAATGAAGTTTATTTTCTCACTTTTTATATAATAAATTAGATAGATCATTTTAAATCTCTTAATGTAAGTTCATCTAAATAATACTTTATACAAGCATGCTTACGACAATAAAAAAGATCACAGCTATTAAGAATTATAATTTTTATAAATTAAATAACTGAATGTCTTCAAAAGATAAAGATAAAAAGAAGAAAACAGCTAAATTGGAAAAAAAAGACACCAAAATTTAAAGTGTCCCTGATTTAGAACAATCTCAATTGATAGCAAGAGTAATTAGCAGAGGAGGGGATAAAGAAACCAAAAATCTAGGTATCAATTAAATAACATCATAGCCAATAATGAGGATGGTCCGTATATGCAAACCTTCTCATCATCTTATTCTAATGGTTTTTCATAGATGAATAATTTTTCTGGAATTCAAAGTTAATAATAATTGGGCAATAATTTTCATAGAAGTACCGATTATAATACAAACTAATTCATGTCAGATTCAACTTAAGAAGAATATCGTAGCTAATAAAATACTATTCCTTATTATTAATAGTAGACATAAACAATGTAAAATTATTAACAATATTATCACTAACAACATTATCATATGGGAAATTAAGACTAAAACGATTATCGATATGAAAGTATTAGAAATTAGATTAATTAAAATTTGTTGCCAAAGAGACAAGAAATACTCTATTAAATCTAAAAGGTTAGTACTTTATATGATGAATTAGATAGAAAATAGGATTGAAGAAATCAAATATCAAACCTAAAAAATTGAAAATATGACTAGAGAAGAGTGTGATTGTATAATAGACAGATTAAGATCGGCTGAAAAATAAAAACTGTAAAGATTATATCAAGATAAAGATGAACTTATAAGGTATTAAATTGGAATTATAAATTTCAAAGTAATATCGAATATATTGATTCTCTCTCATCCTATGCTTTAAATAATCAGGAATAGGTTTCCTCAATTAATATACTTGGGGACATAGAAAGAATGGCCAACGTAAGGATCAAAACTTAAATTGATATTAACTCAAACGATTTACCACAAGAGTTTGTTTAATTAAAATAATCATTCTAATAGAATATCATATAATAATAGATGATCGAATTTAAGAATGAAATGATTTGGAAATTGATGAATGATTCTAAAATAGAGATATTAAAAGTCAAAGCTGAGTTAGAATAATATGTTTAGCAAGAGTAATAAAAATGGTAAAATATTGAGGAGAAATATTAATAAGAACTAAATAAATATAAATTGCGATGTACTTTTTGTGGAGTTAATTTTGATGATAGATAAATAAATTCAAATTGCCAATAGAACTCTAAAAATGCAAGTAATTTTATTGTTGTAAATAGGGCCATTATTTGAATGTGAAGATGTTCCTCAAGAATAATATATTGGTACTAATAGACATTTTTTTAGCAAAAGCAAGCAACTTCAAGAATCATAAATGCAAATCTAAAATAAAAAAGTATGATAAATTAATAGTCTACAATCATTTATTACAATTTTTAAATCTAATTTCTTTGAAACCCAAAATTACATTTTCATCAAACCCTCCATATATTCTATCTGTTTCCTATTAGAGAGTGTTTTAATAAATAGGTAACTAATGTTATTGCTGCTAAGATTCATGACTCTATCTAGATACATGATGGCCAGTCAAATTCTCTTAGAACTTGATATCAGTTGTTCTCCTTGAGCTAAAACCATCAGATATAAAATCAGTTTGCCGACTAATAATTTTATGAAATTATTTACTATTGTGGACTGAAATATTCCATGTCAATGGTCATTTCATCAGTTTCTGTGTAATCATCTTATCTTCTGATTATTTTTTAAACTAATAACTTTGAGTATGACTACCATGTTTTAAATAAGATTAAAACATTAAGATAATCATGAAGAATGTTAAAATTAGATTTAAATTGCAAATTATTTAGACAAATATTGCTCCTCTTCTGAGTCTTGTTTCTTCTATAATAATACAATCTTGTATGCATTTCTTTATTAAATTGTTTAATCTTTTTGATGGATTCTTGAGATCCATCTTTAAAGATTTCTTCATGATAGCAACATCTAAATAAATGATACAATAATTGATTATATTGAATATAGCCATATGGATCACTAATATGTATAATAGTTAAGATACCTTCTGAGATTTAATTTGGAAGCCAATTTCGCAGCATCCCAAAGATTATCTTCATTTCCTCCTCCTAATGGTTAGCCAATATCTAGTAAGAATCGACATAGGAATTTATAATGCATGCTTTCACCATTATTATCAGCTGAATATTTACACCAAGTTGTTTTAATCTTATCAATTTGTTCTACGTAAGTTTGAATCATTGAATTCTATACCTAAAAGAATTCCTCAAATTATTCTATCAATCCAAGAACAAATAAATTTAATAGAACATAATTGGAGAATAGCATAAAAGTTATGAAATATAATTAATTGAAATCTGATCCACAATTGTCAGGGTTTTCTAAACAATATGGATTATGGTGCATCGTATCAGTCATTATTGTTCTAAAATCATCCCCTGATGCACACTTATATAATGCCAATAATGCATATTCGAAATTTGTAAAGTTTATGTATTCATCAATGACTGCTCCTTTTTTAATTTTGCCAAATAATTCACACCCAATCAAAGCATAAATGATCATTGTAATAATCAGAATCGAGATGAGTTTAGCTAAAAAAGGAATAGCAAAACCCATGACTCGAATCAATCTTGATAAATTGCTTAATCCCTGAAAGATTACTAAGAGTCTCAACTATCTTGTCATAAAGGCCAGTCTTAGTATCTAATAATTGGGAGTATAAACATTAGATTCATAATAAAGGATGACCCAATCATATTGAAAATCTGCTATGATATCACATAGGGAGATAAAAGTTAAAAATATATAATATCTTCTCCAATAATTGTCAAAGTATCTATTGATGCCTAATTGCATAAATAGTAGAACTATCCATATGCCATAAAATAAAATCAAAAATCTTTAAATTAGATTCAGGGTTCTTATTTTATCTATATCCATGTCATAATGATATTACAATTAACATATTAAATCAACCAATAGTAATAAAAACATGATTTTCTGACTAATTGAATTGTTAACTATAAATGATGACAATCTTCCAATGAATCTAGTAGGGGAAGTCGAAAAACCTGGAGAGTCCTTCAGGATCATAGGACATAATTCAACAAACTCTTTCTAAGACCTGGTGACATTTTGCATTTCTAACTTTTATTGATTCACTCTCAATTTAGAAAACAATGTTCCTGTAAAGAAACTTAAAAAGAACATTGAACCTATAAAACAAAAAGACATGAAATAACCATAGGTGGATAAATATGATGCAAATGGCGCAGGACCTAAATTACTTTATCTGCTATTTTCTGCCACTTGCATTATTTCACCCCATCCATCAAATGTTGATACTACAAATAGTGTTGGCAAGGCTATTGTTATATTGTCAAAATTATGTTTATAGTTAATCCATTGCCTATTATTTTCAATGCATTCCTATTAGTTAATATTGAATTGCATTTTATCTTCACAAAATCCAAATTAACTTTCATATAGGATGATGCCAAAAACCCCAAACATTATCCAAACAGAAATCAAAGTCAATAAAATCTTAAGCATGTCCAATAAAGATTATGCTAATGCAGCTCTTATATTATCTAACCATTTGATTCTATACATTAGCTTCATAGGCCTAAAATGTCCAAAAAATAAACACACATCTATTATTGGATTTTATTTGTATGTATCAATAAAGAATGCAAACAAATAAATTAGATCAACCACTTACCAGGAATAAGTTAAATAACTACCCTTATCCATAAATAATCCCTTGGCTATTATTGAAATGATATCCTCTGATAGCTTAAGCACATTCAAAATTGCTAATATTATATAGGGATATTAGCTCTTTTCATCTTCATAATCGTGATATGTTCTAACTATCATAAGAAAAATTGAGGAAACCATCACTGAGTTTGAAAACCATTAAAATCTTTTTGATGTGCAAATATTGCAACAAATAACTCTAATCCTGCTGTTTTTGGCAAAGAAATATAAAGCAGTTTCGCATTCTATATCTTAATATAATTTTGGATTCGACATTAGTATCTATTTATGTAATTACTCTAATATAATTAAGACTTAATACTTAGAGATCTCTGGAATGACTTAAGAATATCAAGTTTAATTTTTGGTTATTCCTTCTCTTCATTTTAATCAAAATTTTAAACTTATGAGAAATACTAAGATTTGACTTTCTAATCAAACATTGAATCTATTTCTGTATTCAGAGCTTCATCGTCTCTGTTGTTTGAAGCTTAAGATGTCAATAATTATTGTTAATTTCCATCCTAATCATGTTTTTCTTCTAGGTATCTTCCAAACCCGTCTAATAAAATTGCCAAAACTAATCCATATGTTAAATAATTTAAAATTAAAACCATTGAAAATGAAAAAATAGCAGCTGCTGTTAGATTTAGTTCAGATCCAATTACATATACTCCATACCAATCATCATTTGTCATTATATTGAATATAGTCATACCAGCTTTCAAGGGATTATCGAAAGAGTGTAACTATCCTAAGGGCGCATTTTAATTAAATTATCCAGCATAAAGATCCATTCCAATTAATCCATATATTGTTATCATTATGAACATAAAGATTGTCAAATAGATGTATTGTTTGAATGTTATTGAAGCTATTTTACCTATAAGTACAGCCATTTAATTATATTTTAAGCATCTATAAAATAAAATGCATTTAGTTCCTCTGATCATTCTCAAATACTGTTAGGTTAAGTTTAAATAATCACTGAAACTGAATTCAATAAAACTTGCAATCATAATTATAGCTTAAAGCACATTTTCCTTGCTAGAAAAGAAACGATGCAATGGATACGTAAACATTTGAAACCCTATTTCAATCAATAAAAATATAGTAGATAGATCCTCAAATTTCGATATTATCCGAGAATCAGCTATTCCATATAAGGAGAGGAATATGAAATTGATTAGAATTATGAAATCAAAGAAAAATTGAGTAATCTTGTTATCAATAATTATAAGTGTGTATCTTCTTAAAATCAATAATTTGCCACCAAGGGTTGGCATCCAAATAAGATGGTTGAAATTATTTAAACTGTTGAAGATCTCTTGAAATTACTAAATTCTATTAGGATTCAAGGGGAGAATATTATTTCCTGACCAATTTTTTGACTTGATGAGCTTTTATTCCCTTTCCCTTTAAAAAATTTATAAATAGACCTCCTCATTTGAATCTAAGACTTATTTTATTTTAGGTATTTTTGTATTTATTTTCTCTTATATCTACTCATAGTCAATATAAAATCCATGAATATATAGATATTTTCTCGTTCCCCTTATAATTTCAAAAGGCAATTTTCTTTCCACTCTTGACCTAATGTTAACGGTTCCAAAAATATCATTCTATCTTTTTCTGATTTGAGGCGATTATGTTCCATGACTATCCTCCTTAATACTAAATGATCTTTAAACAGTTATTCTACGAGTACTCTTGTGTATTGGATAACGACTTAGAGAAACATCTGATTATTAACGAGGTATGATTTTGATTTCTTTCTTAGTGAAAAGAGGTTGATAATATATTTTGATTTTTTCTTTATGCGCAACTCTAGCTTGTAAATTCATATATTATACCTCTTTTTTTATATGAAGACATCTTTTAGACTCTTGAATTTCTGGTCTACATGATAATTAACAGAATTGTGGAATTAAGTGAATTAATATTCGCTTAATTTCAACAGTATGGAAATTTCAATTGGATCATCAGAATACATCTTAATATTTATTTTATTTTATTCTATTGATAAATCTTTAAATTTGGGCAACATTAATTATTTAATAGAAAAATTTTTAAATTAGTTCCAGAAAGATTTCTTTAGATTTTTCTAAAATTAAGTCATAATAATACCTACTTGGCTTCGTCTAAAATCTTCTTTTATTTAGACGACAACAATCGCAATTAATTATTAAACTTATCGACTTTATCCTCGTCATCAATCAATTCAGTGATGGGTTTAGCTGTATTGAGCAATAGTTTATGTTTTTTCAAAACAGAATAAAACCCAATGTATCTTAAAAATGACAAGTCGAAATAGGTAATTACATCTTTACTTAGAAACATCTCTTGCCGCATTAAACTGTGATCATTTTTCTATTTTGATAACTTCTCATAATCTTGACATTCTGCTGTTGCCTCAGAATAATGAATCTTAAGAACAGCTATCATTAAATTTATAGAAAAGAAACCGCATAAAAAAATCACTCCTAAATAATAAATCCATATCTAAGGATGGAATATTCTCATCGTAAAAAACATTACCCAACTCCAATCATCCATTGTTATTGTTCTTAAAATCTATCCAAAAGAAAAAATCACATTATTGAATGAAGTTGGAAGCTTAGGAGTCTCTGATGAGAATACACAAATCATGCCATCGGGACAAATATTTTAATAACATTGAACCCATTCTTCAATAGGTTCCCCTACCATAGGTTAGCATCGATAATTAAATAATCCTTAAAATAAAGATACTCCAATTATTGAAAATAAGAGAGATAGTATCAATAATATAAAAATAGCCTCTGCCAAAAATATTAATGATTTTTTAAGAGCTATCAACATGTATTTAAGTCTTAGTAATCCATCTCCCAAATATAATAGTATTGTGATTATTCTTAATGGTGATAGATCAAATGAAATATGTTTAGGATAAAAATAATGTAGGAATGTAATTAATGTGCATAGCAAATTAAACATGTCTTCTTTGCTGCATAAAAAATGAATTGTTGGATAGATTCCTCCTGCTGCAATAATTCTGATACCAATTTCAATAGCAAAGCAATAAAAGATAAAATATTTGTATTCTTCATTTGTAACTGGTGGAGACGAATTGCTCAATGTGAAAAAAGTTAAATTGCAAATAATGAGAATACCATTGATAATTTTAAATTAGACACTATCTACAATTCTTTAAAAATACATTGGTATGCATAAGCATGAATAAACGATGTATTTTCTTAATTTGAGAAAATTTAGATGGTCATTGTAATTCTAAGATTAAAAATGATATCTATTACATTTAATTCATATTTAAGGCGTTCTAAGCCATGAAGTGGTGTAAGCACAACATAATATGAATCTTCGAAAGGATTACGCTCTGCATGTTTTTAATATTTTTTGAGTATTCTTGGATCAAGTTCTTCATAAAAATCTTATCTGTCTTCGATTGGTTGCACTTTTAAGAAATTTAAGAAGCTTCTATTCTGAAAAGAATCCTAGTCTCTAGAAAGTAGGTTTTCTTATGAATTCATATCACTCATCAGGCTATGATCACCTTAGCATTTTTTGATATTTTTGATAATATGATGTTTCTTATTCTGTGAATGCTGTGGATCAGAAGAATTATGAGTTAATTATTCTGGTTATTCATGTGTAACCATTAGCCCTTCTTTAAAACTCAAATTAGGTACTGCTATAATTTTTTCTTCCATGTCTGATTTCTCGTCAATATTGTCGCATTCACTTGATTCTGAGGAGTTATCTTAACTTTATCTTTTAGGCTGAAAACTTTTTGAACTCTTTAATATCGTTTATTGGCGATGTTATTTTAGACTCTTCATCTCCCTAAAATATCTTGTAGGACTCTTTTTCTTCATTTAATTAGATATAGTAAATCGTTGGCTCTTTTGTTTTTTGAATTCTTGTTGCTAAGCTGAAAACTTTTATGGTGATGAATTATCCTTTACAAGCATGTTTTATTGAAAAATTAATATAATTTAATCATTGTAGTTAATCAACAAACTCAATTATCATATCGCCTTACCTTATTCTTATTCTAATCTTATCGTTATTCCAGTTAGGATCTTTTAGACATGATAAGGTTTGTTCAATGACATCAGATATAAATTATTTGAAATATTTTGATTTAACTAAATTAAAATAAATTCAAGAGAAACTTATCTACTTCATATGAGTTTAGTATTAAAAGAGAAAATTTCGTCTAAAATAAAGAATTTCTCTATATCAAGCTCTAGCTATTTGAAGATATTTTTAACATTATAAATAAAAAATAGCAATTCCTATCATAGTTCAATTAAACATATAATAATTTCCTCATTTATCGATTTATTTAAACAATTTATTATAGTTTAAGATTCAAGTTTAAAATTCTTATAAATTATGAAAGTAAAGGAAACATTTGTGGGTGAAATATTAAGGACATATTAATTTATAGCATCATAACTAAATTTTTGAGAAATTACTTTATTTAAAGACACTCTGATATAAATTTAAATAGGAATTAGTTATTAATATATAATTTAAAAATATTCTTTTTTTGAAGAAATTATTAAAAGCCTTTAATTTCAGTAAAATTTCTAAGACTATAAATTGTGTATAGTCAACATAAAACATGTGAATAAGAAAATACTAATTTATATTTAAAAAATTATAAGTGCAGAGAAGGATTATAATGATATTTGAAAAATTGAAGTTAACATAAAGTCAAAATATTTTATTTAGAGTAGAATTATTAAAAATAATAATAATAATTCTAATCTAGTTCTTCTAATTTGAAAATGAATGAAATAAGGCGATCTTTAAATTTAAAAGATTAAGAATAACATTAAAAGCAATAAAAATCCAAAATATATAAGTATTGCTTTATAAATTATACAATCAATCATATAGAATGCATTTAGATTGTTTGCCATTCATAAAGTAAAACGAATAACTTAACTAGTGTTGAAAAGAGGGGAGTAAGCAATTAATAAATTTTTAGGGAAAATGATTAATTGATTGAGTGATAATTAAATTCATACTGATCAAGTCAAGATCTTTGAATTAAAAATGAAGTATGATGATAAATGGAGATGGAAATATTCCTCAGGAATAAGTATAAGTGCATTCTGTTAAGAATGATATTTGAGTATGGATCAGGAAATATATGCATATTAAACCATCTAAATTAACACAGAATATTTATATTATCTTAAAGGGCTGATGAGGGAAAGTTGATTAGAAGGAGATGCAGTTGAATAAGGATATTTAAAAATAGTAGGATAAGGGGAAAGATAAAAAGTACAAAGAGGTTATTAATAACTTTATTAACAAAATCAATGTTTGAAATTGAAAATATAAATTATCACAATTTCATTAATATTTGCATTTACAATAACAGGATATTCAGATAATACAAATATATTAGATTGCTCAATAATGATCAGTAAATTATATATGACTCTATATTTTATTAAAGTAAGAACAAATTGTTGGATTATTTGAGATAAAAAATTTAAAAGGATTATCATTGTCTCTATTTTATTTTCTATTGTTGATTTATTATTTTTTGAAAATATTAACTTGTATTTACTATTAAATTATTATTTATTGTTCTTCATGGATTAATAGCACTAACCCAGGAATAACAAAAAACGATTAACAATTTCGAAAGAATTGGCTTAAAGAAAGTAGAGCATTATTTAGTAATTTTAATGTATTCTATGTTTATAATTTTGATTAGCCGGCACTCAAATAGTAAAATAGGAATCTCCATAAAAAATGGTGAAATAAGAAAAGGAGAACAGAAAAGAATCAATAGATTCATCCTTAAATTCTTGCTCCTCTTTGGTGAAATAAAAAAAGTTTATTATTTGCTTTTAAAAGTAGAAAAAAATAAGATAAAGAATTAGATGGTTGTGAAGAGTATAATTTAAATTCATCAGATTATTCCGAAGAAACTATATTAACCATTCAATATATTTCATATGAGTNTGATATTTGAAAAATTGAAGTTAACATAAAGTCAAAATATTTTATTTAGAGTAGAATTATTAAAAATAATAATAATAATTCTAATCTAGTTCTTCTAATTTGAAAATGAATGAAATAAGGCGATCTTTAAATTTAAAAGATTAAGAATAACATTAAAAGCAATAAAAATCCAAAATATATAAGTATTGCTTTATAAATTATACAATCAATCATATAGAATGCATTTAGATTGTTTGCCATTCATAAAGTAAAACGAATAACTTAACTAGTGTTGAAAAGAGGGGAGTAAGCAATTAATAAATTTTTAGGGAAAATGATTAATTGATTGAGTGATAATTAAATTCATACTGATCAAGTCAAGATCTTTGAATTAAAAATGAAGTATGATGATAAATGGAGATGGAAATATTCCTCAGGAATAAGTATAAGTGCATTCTGTTAAGAATGATATTTGAGTATGGATCAGGAAATATATGCATATTAAACCATCTAAATTAACACAGAATATTTATATTATCTTAAAGGGCTGATGAGGGAAAGTTGATTAGAAGGAGATGCAGTTGAATAAGGATATTTAAAAATAGTAGGATAAGGGGAAAGATAAAAAGTACAAAGAGGTTATTAATAACTTTATTAACAAAATCAATGTTTGAAATTGAAAATATAAATTATCACAATTTCATTAATATTTGCATTTACAATAACAGGATATTCAGATAATACAAATATATTAGATTGCTCAATAATGATCAGTAAATTATATATGACTCTATATTTTATTAAAGTAAGAACAAATTGTTGGATTATTTGAGATAAAAAATTTAAAAGGATTATCATTGTCTCTATTTTATTTTCTATTGTTGATTTATTATTTTTTGAAAATATTAACTTGTATTTACTATTAAATTATTATTTATTGTTCTTCATGGATTAATAGCACTAACCCAGGAATAACAAAAAACGATTAACAATTTCGAAAGAATTGGCTTAAAGAAAGTAGAGCATTATTTAGTAATTTTAATGTATTCTATGTTTATAATTTTGATTAGCCGGCACTCAAATAGTAAAATAGGAATCTCCATAAAAAATGGTGAAATAAGAAAAGGAGAACAGAAAAGAATCAATAGATTCATCCTTAAATTCTTGCTCCTCTTTGGTGAAATAAAAAAAGTTTATTATTTGCTTTTAAAAGTAGAAAAAAATAAGATAAAGAATTAGATGGTTGTGAAGAGTATAATTTAAATTCATCAGATTATTCCGAAGAAACTATATTAACCATTCAATATATTTCATATGAGTCAAGAAAAACGTCAAAAAAGTTTATCGAGAATCTCAATGTAAAAACCCTGAATGCCAATCCCCAGTATGATTAAGAGATATAAGAATTAAAGAATAGAGAAAAACTGATGGAAATTACTAAACTATTAGCTTTGGAACAAGAAGAACCACAGGAAAATGAAATAGCTTACTAAAAGATTATCAAAAGATATGAAAAACAAAACGTGCGAAATCCCTTTTAAGATCCTTACTATATTATATTAGTACCACTTAAGGGTTTAAGCAGATTAAAATATGAATTAAAGGTATATGTAATTATAATATTGAGAAATACTAAGATAATGCAAAATTTTTGCAGATTCGCAAATTTCTTGTGTTTATTTCCTTAGTGTTTCCGATCTTAGCCAAAGGAATGATGAATTCCAGAATCTACAAAATACTGATGACAATCCTAATATTATTTAATGTTTGCTTATTTATAGTTGTTAAGACCGAGCATAGAGAGGACACATTTGAAATTGAGTAGGTTGTGACTATACTATTCATAATTGAAATATTGGTAAGAATCTTAGTTTCTGGATTTTTTTTTACAAAAAATGCATTCTTTCGAAACATTTAGGATGTTTATGATTTCACATTGATATTTGCAACGACGATCAATCTTTATTACCCAGAGATTTTTATAATAGATATTTCACCATTAAGAATGATTACACTGCTTTTTTATCTTGGAGACATATTTGTAGGATTAGGTGTTATGCTATTGGCCTTAAAATAATCAATTAAATTTTTATTGGAAGCTTTGATGATAGTTGGACTATTTTCTTTATTCTTTGCAATATTTGGAGTCTTCCTATTTTAAGGACTATTCAATTTCAGATGTGAATATGATAATGGTGATGAGACAGATGGGTGGGTTTAGTGTCATTAAAATTAATGTTACGAAAATGGCATGACATGTAAGTATACTGAAGAGACCCCTAAAATGCCCACGTCATTTAATAATGTGATATATTCATACGGTCAGATTTTAAGAACTATAACAATGGATGATTGGAGTTGGGTGATGTTCTTTACTATGAGAATATTTCATCCTTGGGTTTGGATTTACTATTTGTTGATCATATTTGTGGGTGGTTTTTTTGGTTTTAATTTGGTTATAGCTGTGTTGAAAACCCATTATTCAGAAGCTGCTGAAGAAAGTGAAAAACAGTAGGAAAAAGCTAGGATAGAAAAAAGAATTAAAGATAATCAAGAATATCCAGAGAGAGAGTTAATGAATGTGTTTGATGTAGCATTTTTGAGATATATTGGGTTTTTTGCAACTATTTAAAAATATCGTGAGTCGTTTTAGAGAAGATCTGTTTTAAGTTGGAATTTGGAATCAGAAGCTTAGATGAATAAAACAATAATTGAAGCTAGAACATTATCAGCAGCATAGAGAAAATTAAATAATTAATATGTAAGAAATAAATGATATTTTATAGAATGTAGAGAATATAAGTTTTTAACATAAATTAAGGTAATTTACAACCAAGAATCTTTTATTAACTAAATTTCGTTTTTTGAAATATCAATAGCAAAAGTTAAATATTAAAAAGTATTCAGATGATCCATTAGAACTAGAAATTCTATAAAAGCTGTAAAATATATCATATTCATGTCTATAATCTTAAGTGAATTATTAAATAGATTAATGTTATACAAGTTAGCATGACATTTTGTTAAAGTTTATGTATTTAAATTTAATAATTTAGTGAAATTGATTTAGCTCTGTAGGAAGAAAAGAAATTCAATCCAGAAAAAATGAGAAAGATTAAATTTAAGCATTAATATCCTGATTGGCAGAGTTAAGTAGAGAAGTTAAAGAAATAGGCTTAAAGATCTAATGAAATTAAAAAGAATAAGCTCCCTTATAGATAAAAGAAAATTAATAAATGGAATACTACCATCAAAGTAGAGGATGAAAAAGAATAAGAAACAAGCAAAAACTCTTGTGATGATTTTGAAAGATCTCCTGAATAAAAATTGAATTTTTGTTTTGAAAAGAATACATCTATTAAAAGAAAATCAAAGAAATTTTTAAAATTTGTAAATGGTGAACAAGTTGTTTATGTGTAGGGTTATTATCTTTCTTATAAAGAAATTCGTGATAAAATTAATTTGAAAATCCCAATTATCAAAGATAATTAAACCAGTAATCAATTTAAATATAGAAAAATAAGAGAGAAAGAAATTTAAAATGGAAAGTTGATCACTTCTAGTAATTGGTCAGGTAAAGACGTATTGACTCTAGATACTAAAAACTATCAGATGTTTAGTAATATTTTCCTTCAACTCAACAAAAAGGACATTTTAATTTGGATGAAAGGTATCAAAGGAATGGTCTTAAATTTTAACAAACACACCAATCTTATTATTACAAGTTCAACTAGTCAAACATTCTTTGACCTGGTTATTTTCATAAATTTTACATTTCTGGCATTATGGAATATTGTGGATTCTACTACAATTCATTCAGTTGAAAATGTTTCAACTATTATTCTATCCTTTGAGTTGATCCTAAGATTAATATCTATTCCAATAAAAGATTTTACCAGCAATCCTAATTACTTGCTTTAAGCAGCAATTGTTATTTTGAATATAATAGAATTAACTATTAAAAATCTGTTAATTGGTTTAGGAGAACAAAACTTGAGATTGATTAGAGGTACAAAATGTTTGTTATTTTATCGATGTCTTAAATACAACGCAATGGCTGTTAAAATAGGACATATAGCATCAATGACTTTCAAACAATACATTTATTTGACATTTTTGATGTTTTTAGTTATTTTTATGTATGCTTTGGTTGGAATGGAGATGTATGCAGGTAGGTTTGATTAGACAGATTCTTTAGGACAATTACATTCATATGATAACATATTTAAAGCATTCATGACAATATTTAACATAATGACCAATGATGATTGGTATGGGGTGTATGTGATGGGAAGTGATTTAAATTACACTTTTGCAGTCATATATTCATATTCGATGGTTATCATATTGAATTATTTAACCTATGGTTTATTCATGGCTATCCTACTTGATGGTTTTGGAAAGTATCTAGACTAATCAATTGAAAATACACACGTACATGAAGAACATGCTCAATTGACTTAGAATTCTATTGAAGAATTAGAACAATAAGTATATTAGACAATTTTGACTCCACAAGCATCTTAAACTAATATTATGCTTGAACAAACTTAAACATAAGGAAAATCCAAGATTGGCCTCATAACCAACTTTTTTAAATCAATAAGTAATAATTATATATATCATCTAATTAGGATCTTTTAATAAGGAATTGCTCAATAAATCACCAAAGCTATATACAGGAATTGAATGTTAAACCTCTCTTTATATTTTTGAAAAGAATAATTATTTAAGAACGATGTGCGCTAGATTAGCAACATCGAAAACTTATATTAACTTTATGGATCTAGTTTTGTACACTTCATTGGTTACTTTTATAATGAATACATACTATGATTATGAAGATACTAGCAATATAGTTTGTGATTAGATTCAGTTAATAATCAATATACAAATGTTTTTAGATATAATAATCAATGTGATAGCAAAAGGGTTATTTTTAGATAAGGGATCATATTTTGTATCAGTGTGGTAAATTTTAGATGTAATATACATCATTTCACATTTTGTTACCTTCAGTAATTCTTCAGATCATTATGCCCCAATCTTTGATGTTTGCTTGTATTTAGGGTATTTAAGACCGATGAAATTGCTATTTAGAATAAGTTGGCTTACTTAATTAAGAATTGCATTAGGCTATTCATTGGTAGATATCACAAATGTGTTAATTACAATGTTAGCAGTGTGGATTATGTTTGGAGTATATGCAATTATATTGTATGAAGGACAATTTGGTTTTTGTGATGACAAAATGAATTTTCAAATTAATTATGAATAATGTATAAGAGAAAATAGACATTGGATCAACTACAAACATAATTTTGATAATATAACAGTTGCAATACCTTCATTATTTGTAACATCAACATTAGACGGATGGGGAGAAATATATTAAATCGCTGAAAACAGTCAATTAGCAAGCATAGGACCATAAGCATTCAATAGTTACGTATACACTTACTTCTTTTTTATCATATTCGTTTTCATAGGTTCAATGTTCTTTTTGAGTTTATTCACAGGAGTATTGTATTCCAATTTGAAAGAAAATTAATAAAAAATAGAAATGACAGATGAGACTCAGTCTTAGAAGGAATTCTAAGAAATTGCATCAATTATAATTAAAGATTTTCCAATATTCAGTTCGCCTCCAACTAATGGTATTAGAAAATTGGCATCAGATATTACTAACAATACATATTTGTTAATTTGTATGTATTTGTGTTTGATATTGGACTTGATAATTTTGTTATTGTTTGAATCAGATATGAGTGAAGATTACTTTAGATCAGTAAATAATATCCATAATGCTTTGACTATTTTATATGGGATTTGGGTGATTTTTTTATTTTTGGCTCTGGGTATTGGTAGATTTTTCGATAATTATTGGAGAAGATTTTATTTCTTTTTAATAATAATATCAATAATAGATTTTATAGCAGATTATTCGATCGATTGGATTATGATCTATTATAAATCAACACCATATGATAATGGTTATCAATTATTGAGATTATTTTTCTCTTTGAGAAGTCTAAGAGTAATTTTGATATTCTAAGGACTTATCAATTTGTAAAGATTAATGAGAGTGATGGTATTTGCTTTGCCTTTTTTAGGCAAGATATTTACAATCTTAATGATAGCAATGCTCATTTTTGCATTGATAGGATGCTAATTATATGGTGAAATTGATAGTGGAGCTGTGATGGATGATCAAATCAATTTTCAAAATGTAGCTTAAGCTCTTCTTGCTTTGTTTAAATGCGCTTCTGGAGATGATTGGAGGACAATAATGACAGATACTATGTAACATAATCCTTTGTGCTTAGAAGACCCCAAATATTGTGGTAGTGTTAATAATTAATATTTTTTCTTTTTGTTCATGCTCTTGTCAAATTATGTTTTGCTCAATCTCTTTGTACTTGGTCTTATCGAACAATTTGAATAATTCTTTTAATTGCAAAATTCACTTATTTAAACTTATGTTGAAAATGTGGATAAGATTAAAACTGTATGGTGTAAATACTCTTCAGAAACTCAAGGACAAGCCATGAATTATAAGTTCTTATGCAAGTTCCTTCTAGATATTGGCAAACCTCTAGGAGGAAGTAAGGAAGAGAACCTATGGGATGTGGCTAAGCTGGCTTCTTCATTCAAATTAAAATGGTATTTATCTTTTCTATCCTAGTGATCATTATGGCTATATCTAATATAACTAATTGATGTATGAACTATTTCGAAGATGCTTTATCAATGAAGTATTTAAAGAAGGCACTGAATCTTCGATTGTCAAGATCAAGTAATTCAACAAAGAAATGTAGTTGAGATTGATGTACTATAGAAAAAATAGATTATTAGAGAGAACTAACATTAGTTCTATTAAATAATTAAGGGCTAATTTCAATATTTTACATGATTATTTGACTGTTTTAATCCTATTCAAAACTTGGGAATCTTACTCTAAATTAGTATTCATCAAAATAGAAAAAGAAGGCAAATTTTCAGACAGTGATGAAATAAGCATTTAAAATGATAAAGTCAGTAGACAAAAGTATTCTTTATTTTAATTCCATTAGTTTCAATTGTTACGATTATGAGGATGAAATGTCAGATTCTGATAATTTGACTTCGAAATAACAGAGCAAATAGTTATCCTAAATGTTCACTAACACTTTGAATCAAATGCAGTATAGCAGTAGTATAAGGAGCAGTCCTAAAAGTTAAATAAAGAACAATTTCAAAAAAAATGTTAAAATCAAACATAAGAATAAGTATAATTCAAAAATAAGTATAAATGAACGAATCATAGATCCAACCGAATATTTTGGAAAAATAAAACATTAAACTACTCAACAAAGTTAAGAAATTGAACAAGAATAATTGCCAATATACAGAAATTAATATGATCTATCTTTATAAAATGAATATCAATAAGGTACATTATTAAGTGCAAGAAAAAAATAATGATCAATAAAATACTTTATAAACCTAATATATTTTAAATCTACTAATGATAATGTATCCCTATTACTATATAAATAAATTTAACTATTAGAATTAGTATGCTAATCCTATTTTTCTTAATTAATATAAAAAACTTAAATTTCTTAACTTAAGTATGTAAATCGTCTTGTTAACTAAAATGAAACCCCTTGAATTCAGAACTTATTTAATAAATTACTACAAAGCTTGCAAATTTATAAACCCAAAAATCTTGAGAATTACAATTATATTAATTTTGAAATATTGATTAAAAATTTAATTCACTTAATTGGCTGAACTGCTGATAGACAAAAGTTTTGTCTTCTCTTATTTATCACTAACAACATTCCGATTTGAGTTAAATTGAATCTCTTAATTAAATCTCCTGGGTATTGAACATAATGTATAAATTTTTTCAAAACATTTAGATTTTATAAAAAATTCTTCTATTTGACAATTGAAAAATTATCCTTCCTAAAATAATATTTATAAGTGTGAGGACTTTCAAATTCTTAATCATCAATATATGTTTTATTGGATAACTTTTATATGATAAAGTTGATATCATTCAGGTATATATCAAATCGTTTATTATCTAATTAATGGATGTTTTTTAATCTTTATTCCAAAATCTATAGAGTTAGTGAAATAGATCTTTGTTCAATCATTTTTTCAAATTCTACATACGTTTATATTAAAAAATAAGGGTAGATTTTATTTATCGAAATTAATTTATTTACTAATTATCTGAATTTTTTTTTTATAGGATCTTGATTTTATTCAAAAGCAGAGATAATTTTCTTTTTCACTTTTGGTATATGAATATTTATATTTTGAATTGTATTCGACCTTTTTATATATTGCTTTAATTATTCCTCATCAATGTTCAAAATATTATCGAATCTATATAATTAAAATAATTATGGATTGTCCTTCTAAATTAATAATGCACACTATTCTAACTTTTTTCTATTTTGATTTAAACTCTAAATCTTCTTTCTTGTTCTTACAAAATCAACTCTTTCTTGAGTTTTAGGATATAAATAGTTTTTAATTATGAATTCTTTATCCGGTATAAATTTAATCAAAGGACATTCAATTAATTTGTGTGATTCTTTTCCACAAGAAAAGCATTTCACATTAAAATATTGATCTTCCTTTTGAAATATTAATTTGTCTCTAATGGAACAAAATAATTCATAGTCCTCTGGATGATCTTGCAAGATCTTTAAAAAGCACTTTCTTTTGAGTAACATAGCTTTTGTGAACCCAACACTCTTTAAAGTTTCAAGAGACTCAGTGCCTGTAATGAAATTTTTCATTCCAATAGAAGCTCCTTTGTTAACTATCCCTAGATTTATTTTTCTTCCTTATTATAAACATATTTATACAGAGCCTTCCTCTATATAATACAATAAGATATCGTTGGATTATTTCAAATCCTATTCTGGAGATAAGAGAACTTCTTCGACCTCTTTGATTAGTTGCTTTTTGAATTATTCAGTAAAAGGTATCCTAAATAAAGTACATTAATCAAAAATATTTTGATGAGCTTCATTAATCAACTATTGTCTTAGAAATTCAGACAAAGAATCTATAATTTCTTTTTCCTCCTCAGATTAAGAAACTACTTTATTTTCCCAATAATATGAAAGATACTTCCTTACTTAAACTTATAGGCCAGAGGACAACGAGGTTTTATTCATATATGAGTTTATGATTCTTAATTTTCTTTTTTTTTCTTCTGAAAACGCAGAAATTTCTGTTATAATTGTACCAACAGTGTTAATGCTATATGGTAATTGGATGCTTGATATCATAATTAAGATAACTGAAACTATTTTTTCAATATTGGACTATGGCGTTACATCTCCATATCCAACTGTAAACATCGTGACAGCGGTATAATAGAAGGCTTGAAGATATTAAGTATTAAAAGTCTATTCAAGCATATTAGTAGAGACTAGCCAACTCTTACCTTCATAATTATCTATGCTATATCTACCAACCTAAAAATCATAGTGAATAGGAATACCCAAAACCAAAAACAGGAAAATAAATGAATTACATAGAATAGAAATGCTATCAATTTTAACAAGGCTAATATCGTTGAAGTTTGCTTCGACAAATTCAAGCCTTCTTCATAATTGGTGGCATAATTGATAATTGTCTTATGGTGTACTAAAAATATAAGTAAACCAATGTTAAATATATTATTTGAAATATCCAACGAAATATCCGTAAAAGCCGAAATAACGAAATAAATTAGTAATTAAAACACTGAGAGCCATTGCAATCCGTATGTGTTATACAAGCTATTTTTTATGATATGAACTCTAGATTCCACTGCCTCTCCGTTTTAAAAATATATGGTATTCAAACTCAATAACAAATCAAAAACCAATATAAGTAAAAATGTTATTGAAATGAAGCTCAAATCATGGAATATAAATTGTTGATTAACCCATGCCAAGTCTATGGGGATTATATATAAGAAGTACAAACGAGCAGTCACAGCAATAATATCCCAAATCACTTTAATGTATTAACCAGGGTGTATAAGTGGTAACTTTTCTAATTAAATAATGATGGATTTTTTAACATTTTAAAAAAATTTCAATTGTTACTAATTTAAATGATGAAGTGTAGAAGATTTCCTTTTTTCAAAAACCTCTTCAGAAGCTCCTTAGTCGCCAATTAGTGATATGTGAAAGTTAGTTAATTTCTTCACTTTTCGAATGTGATCGAGCATATTATCAATAAACTTCCGTATGAAATCGTTTTTCTTTTCGTAGTTTATTTATTTTTTATCATTAGTAGGTAAACACCAAAAATCAGCTTAAAACTAAGCAGATCGATACTACATTAATTTGCTATTTTGAATTTTACTACTAAGTAAATTAGACTCATTTTGTTCTGAAAGCAATTTAGCTTCAAAAGCAAAAGGGAGTGCCAATCGTTGTTTCATAATTTTAATATATTTATATTATATAATATATTTCCTCTCTTAAAATATACACATTGATGTTATTTTTATTTTATAATATATCATTTCTTTCCCGTCAAAGACTTCCCAATCTTAGATTTACTTTTGCTTTACCTTTTAATTTTCCGAACATCTACCACTAACCCAATTTTAGATGATATCGATAAGGGATATTTGTATCTCAATATATACTAATGCGGGAAACACATAAACTGTGACAATTTTTCTCTAATTTTTTGGAAGAAAGCTAATTCATTAGGAGAACACTTCTCATTAATCAAATCCTATTTACATAGTTGTTGGTTTAAGTTATCTTAGGGTTTGTACCTTTTGCATTCTCTGACTTAATCGAATTAATCTTCAACCTACTATTGCGTCAGAAGCTATTAAAACCGTTATTCTACAAAGAAAATATCATCCAAAATAGATTTGGGTACTAAATCCATTTAGTCACTTATCAATGTCTTCCTTAATTGCAATTCCTTACTCATATTCTCTAATGATAATGAACTATTTTTCCTTATCTTCGTTAACTTAGACCAATACTTTGCACCTGATACCACATTAAATCCCAAACGAAATAGTTTTTTGGGGTTACTTTTATGCCTAACTGATCTTGCACTAAGATGATTAAAGGTCTTTTAGCCTTTCTTCTGCTTAGGCGATTCTGGTTATTAGGGTAGAACGGATATAGAATTTTAAACAAAGCTATTGGCATTAGAACCTATGATTTGTATCTAAACATGTTAAGGATTTTGATTTAACAGTTATGGTTCTTCAGCCCCTGTAAATATTTATTCATCTGGGATTTCGTAGATATTGCAATAGGTTGGATCAATAGTAATTTAATTATACATTTTATTTGCTTGCATGGCCACTAATCTTTGAATTTTGATAGTTGGTTTGGTTCTGGTTCTGGATCTTTTTATGTGCTTTCTTTATTAGAATTATGAATAAGCACATCTTTTAATAATGACCTCTCTTTCTGGAACAAAATGTACAATTGGACAATCAATAGTTAGATGTTTATATGAGTCACATGATTGACATTAAATTTTTAACATAGACATTTCTTTGTTTATGTTAAAATCGTCAACCAGTTCTTTATATTTTTCAAAGTCTTGAGGGAAATCTTTCATTGTAGCTAGAAAATCTCTTCTTGATAGAATAAGCAATTTGGTAAATTCTACGGTTTTGAATTTTTCCTTAAAATCTTATCCAGTAAGAAACGATATTTCATTGAAGCATTTTCCTTATAGATAATTAGTGATATTTGAAGCAATAACATTTTAGGTGTTAGGATCTTCAATGAATGATTCAACTTTTCCCATTTCGATGAAACATAAACATTAGAATTCAGTTTTTTCAATTTTTTTTATTCTTTTGAAAAACTTCTAAAACTCAATAACATTTTCTGGTTGTAAGTATTGGGAACTAATCTTTTCTACTAATTTCTTTTAGAATTTATCCGAAAAATTATCTTTGATAAATCTACATTAGTTTAGAATCCTAGAATTGGCTTCATATGTTAATTTTTCTTTTAGAGTTTGACTCAATTAATCAATGATTGTTTATTCGGCCTAGGTCTCTTCATCTTGTTACTTGTTCCAATAGTAGTTTAAATATTGTCTTACTTAAAATTACAGTTTGGAGTTTATTTGTTTTTTCTCCATGAAATTATTTATTATACTAAGTTTTTTTTATTTAATCTCTTTAAATGATGTAATTTTCTCAAGAACAGCTCCCACAGTGCTCACGCTGTATGATAATTGAATACTACTAACCATCATAAAGATAATTGCCAGAATGTATTCAGGTTCAGTCTTTGGAGTTATATCTCCGTATCCAACTGTGAACATTGTAACGGTAGAAAAGTAAATGGCTCTTAAGTACTAGGTACCAAAATTTGCCGTTACAACTTCTTATCCAACCAACCACCCCTCGTTTAAGTAAGTCGAACCATAATATCCGACCTTTTGTTATTAATAATATAATATACCCAAAACCATAAACAACCAAAAATATGAATAACGTAACAGACCAAACACAATAATTTCACGAGTTCTACAATGGAACTGCCATATTCTGAAAGATTTAAAGCTTCCTCCAATTGTTCTCGTATCTTCATTATGTTTCTGTACTACACTAAAGAAAATAGTAAGAGTAAGTAGTATGTGTCTTTTGAAATATCGACCTGTTGATCGTAGCCAACCTGGAAGATTAAGAAGATAATCAAAACCACAGTTGATGCTAATTCAATTCCATATGACTTTGTGAGATTATGCAAGAACACTTTCTTTCTATCTACCATTACTTACCCATCTTCATAATAACTACAGGCAAAACCAAAGAAGAAATCTACGATAATTAATCCCAAAGATATCAAAGTTGGAATAAAAGCATACCCAAACAATACTTGTTCTTAAGTCCAAGCCAAATCAACCGGGACTATACACATAAAATAAAAGCGAGGTAAGACTAAAATACAATCCCATCTCACTTTCAATTTATCATCCGGATATACTAAGGGTATCATATTTAAGCACTTTTCACATGATTAAGCAAGCTTGTTCCACCACTCATCCTTTTTCTTTATGCTTCTTGTGTTCTATCTCATTGTTTGCTAAATTGTCTAAGAAATTGGTTTCAATGATAAGGCATTTTATTTTAATAACTTTAGGTTGAAAAATGAAGCGCTGTCGTTTATTAGATTAAAATGAATTCTCGAAAACTTTGTCAAGTATTTTCGCTTCTTCATAATTGAATGGAGAAAATGTCTTATATGAAAGTATTGGATCAACGATGACCCTGCCTTTTCCTTTGAAGATATACTATTACGGTATAATGAACATGGTTACGTATCATGAAGTTTGATTAGGTCCTTATTGGCCGAATTAATGAAGTAATTTTCGTTTTGCAAAATTGGACTTTGTAATGCTGCCTTTGCTTAAGATGATTAATTGAATTAAAGCAATATTGATTCTTCAGCTGGCTACTCTGTACAAAGAACAGGTTGAAGATATTGCATTATTCTTTAAAAAATGAATGATTAATAAAGATCAAAAATTTGCAGTTTTTAATAAGATTTGTTTGCAGTACATATATTAATTAAATACTAAAATTAACATAATTATTTCTTGTACGATCCATTATCATTTTAACATAATTCATTAATATCAATTTCATTCAAAATTTTTATAAGCTAATATGAGTTTTAATAAACATTAAATAGCTCAACCTTATTTTTATAATTACTTGTATGATCTATTACTTCTTAGTTCTAACTTTCTTGTTGACTATTAAGTAGTATATGCTCTTTAATTAAATTTAATTGATCTTGGAGTGAAATGGGATTTGATCTTGTTAAACTCTTTATTTCTAGTGGTTTCAGTTTTCTTATGATATTCAATTTTTTACTTGTTTTAACGAATTTATTTGGTCATAATTCACATTAGTTGCATTTCCACTTCTAGTAATGGAATCTATTCTATTTGTTACTATTGTCTCTAACTTTTCTTCGAAATCCCCTATTTTAATATCTTTTGGATTATTATTCTTTCGATATTTATTATTCAGTCTTAGCAAATGTAAGGAATTTCTCTTCTTTTTCTTTATCTTATCATCATCGAAAACATATTAAGTCTTATTGAATTCCATGGCAAGATTCTTTACATCATTGATATGTTAAAACGATTTAATTGATATACCTTAATCCTTATTCCCTTCAGATTAAGTTAGCTTGGCTATTATCTCTCCTTCATTTTATAATTTTATAAATTTCTTTTATAAGTTATCAGTTTCAAGTTTTTTGTTTGCTCTAACAAAAAAGTCTTCGTTTCTTTTTGTTTTTTCTTAAACTGTCACTGGAAATTGCTTTTCAAATCCCAATAAATCATTATCATAATGTTTCTTGAAACTTCAATATAATTTTTTATTATTACACTTCATACAACTAAATGAATCGTTGCCCTTTGAATTTCAAATAATTTACAGGAGTGTTTCTATACTACTCTTATTTAATTCTGACATCCTAAACCTTATTTTTTAACTCCTTTAAATTATTATATTTCATATTAAGTTATCCGTCTATTTCTTTCATAAACTAATTGACAACCTCCACTTGATGTTGCTATTCCTACACTATCTTTAATTTGTTAGACTAAAAGAACTTTTAAAATGCTTTGTCCTCTTCTGTTTTTGGTCTCTCGTAATTTTTACCTAAATCATACTTGATCTCCTCAGGAAAGATCCAACCTCTACTTGTAGTTGCATTTCTTATCAATCTAAACTTGGGAGGTCCTTCTAATTTTTTAGTAGTATCAAATCGACATATTCTTTTTTTACAAAATTTTAATGCCTCCTCTCTTGGACAACTCTAATATTAAATTTATGATACGTTATCCAATAATTTCAAGAAAACCAAAGCACGTCGAGTATCTGCTTTATTTTCAAACGTTCGGAATTTCGCACACTTGTGAACATTTAATTCGTACATTTTATTTTTATATTTATTATTAATTATATAATGACAGTGAACCTTAATTATATTACAAGGAAACTTCTACGAGAAACATACATACATCACAAATTTGAATATTATTAATAGTTTGAAGATAGAGGTGTTACTTAAATAGTTAAAACTAATTGATGTTTAGCATAATATATATATTAAAATTTTACTTTGCATTAAATCAATTTATTATGAAAAATTTAACTTTAATAATATTTTTTTAGTTTTAAACCTGTTTATGTAAACTATAATTTTATTTTAAGAATTGAAAAATTCACTCTATTTCTATAATTTACAAAAAAATTATTATATTTAAATATAAGACATGTTGATAAACTTATGGATTAAATTACAATAGAAAACATTAATAAACATCATTTTGCTTTTTAATGACCAGATTCATTTAAATGTTTGAATAATTTAGTTTTTGATTAGAAAACCTCTTAACAAACATTGCATTTGAATTTTTCTTACTCATTTTATTTTTCTTTTTCTTTTTTTTTTAATTTTTTTAACTTAGCTTTATTAAGTTGCTTTGGTTCTGTAGCAGCTTCATCACCTTCTTTATTATTATCCTGAATATTATTTTTTTCATCATCAGAATCACTTTATTAAGCTAAGAATTTCGAATCAGATTATTATTTCTCACTATTTTACTATTATTATTAAACATTTGTGGCTTATTTAATTTCCTATTATTAATTAATTGGATTAGTTTTCTTATTTTTTAGTAATTGTGTAAAATGATCATCATCATCACTATTTACATAATCATCCTCTTCATTTTTTGTATCTTTCTACTACTCATCACCACTACTATTGTTCTCTTCTTTTTGGTCTTATTATTTTTATTATTATTAAGATTTCTTTTTTTTATTCTTATTCTTTTTCTTTTCCTTCTGTTTTGTCTACTATTCTATTAATTTTTATTATTTTTGTTATTCTCTTTCTAATTCCTTATTTATTTACTCTTAAATTTATTTTTAGGTTTCCTCTAAATCTTAAGCACTCACACTGCTGACTCCATTTTGTTTTAATAATTCTTCTTATTCTCTCTTATCTACTGTAATCTATGAGATTATGTCCTTTAAGTTAGATTTATGAATCTTGGAATTTTGATGATTCTTAAATTATGATTCTGATTTAAATTCCTTATCACAAATCTCACAAAAGAAAACATCTGAAGATTTCTCTTATTTTTCTGTAATAACCTAAAATTGTTGTCGCTCCTTAAAGTACTCTTCATTTTCTTTAAATCTTTCCTATTCTTCAAGTCTGGCCTATTTTAATATTTCTTGCATATGGATTTTTTCTTATTCCTTGAATTTTTTCTTTTGTTATTCCTTGATTAATTACTCCTTTTTTAATTGTTCCAAATATTCTTTATATCTGGGATCCTTATTTTTTACTGTTTCTACTAACTTTTTAATTGTTTTCAGATATTTTTTCTTCTCTTCCCTTCTTTCAACTTTGTTATCCTTAATAATTGCCCTTTTTACCCATCTATTAGGGGCATCCTTAGGGTTGTATTTATCAGCGTATGCAAATTATTTATATGTTGTGAAATTCTCCCATTTGATGTAGAATTTGAGGACTTACTCAATTGGTGTATTTGAGGTACCAAAACCTGGAAGTTTTTCAAATTCAGTATTTGAGTCTTCTTCTTCTGAATCCAACTATTTATTATTAAAAGCTGATTCTTCCTCAAATTTAATTTTTTCAAAGGCTTCTCGATAAAAGGCATAAAATCCTAAAATATAAATATTAAATCAAACCTTATTGATCATCTCCAAAACCATAATAATGTGGCGAAAAATAATGCCATATATTAAAACCAAATCCTTCCATAGTTTCTAAATCAGCTTTGTCAAGATCTGGGTTCAAGATCTACTGCTTGTGATTGTCATACCAAGTTCTCTCATTAGGGTCAGAAAGAACTGAGTAAGCTTCCTGGATTTCTTAAAACACTTCTTTTGCATCTTCTGCTTAGTTCTTATCTGGATGACACTTCAATGCCATATTCCTATATGCTTTTTTGATCTATTCTTGATCGCAATTCTACTCCAATCCAAGAATTTCATAATAATCTCTCTTTAATTACATATTTCTTTAATATAAATATTTATCACAATTTTAAGTTAAAATTATATATATTCTTATTCTTTAAAAAGTAATTTTTTTACTTTGTATTTTTAATTTAAATGCTTTTGAATTCTAAATACAATGAATTTTATGAACTATTAAGCCTCTTATACTAAAATTTTCCTTATATTTATACACCTTGTTAGCAAAAAGTAAGGTAACTATTAGATCTCTATAACAGTATAATATGAATAGATTAATTGATAGTCAAACATAGTCTGAAATAATATATAAAATAAAAAATGTAAAAGTATAGATTTGTATTGCAAAAATCTGATTATTTTTTAATTTTGATTTTCACTAAATGAATAGATCTACATTAATTTAAAATTAAATATATATAAAAAAGGGTTTTACATGAATAACTATTAGTGATGAAATGAAAATAAAAAGGTCATCATTATGAAAATAATTAAATTCTTTATTTAAACTAAAATTATTATTATCATTTCGAATTTACTGTGATCCCATACTCATCATGATTATTATTATCTTATATAGCAATATTACCACTTCAAAGAATTATAGATGAAAGAATCATGGGTAGATATAAAGAGATATTGGAAATAATTAATACTATTGCTAAAGGAAAAAAAGTGGATTAATAAAATTGGAATAACATTTCCTGAGACTAGTTAATACATGATTCTATCAGCTATACTTACAAAGGGTCTAAAACAACAATAATATCATAATGGGAATTCAAAACCAAATTATAAGGATGCAATTTCAAATTATAAGAATAAATAATGCAATTCCTAGATATATTATCTTTAATAACCAAGAATTTTAATATTAAGAATAAAATTTATAATATGAGTTTATTTACTTCTTCAAAATGGAGCAGTCCATAATGAAAAGAGTTCTATAAGCAGAAAGAATGAATTATGAGACCCAAGCAGAAAACATATGTTTTCTAATAGTAGCAAGCATTAAAGACTCTTAAAATCAGAATATAAATGATTTATTTGAATATAAAGTTATATTTATCTTCGGCAGTCAATGAGAACAGTAAAAATTGAAACAAGGAGTCATTTAAATTGATAAACAATCTCTGGTATTTAATTAAATGACTATGACTGAAATCAATAATTTTGATATAAAAATTTGACACTAATTTGAGCTATTATTTTAAAATTATCTTTAATCTTGATATTTACTAGTATTCATGAACTATATGATAGATTTCTGAATTCTAATTTGAAATAACACTCAGATTACTACACTCTTGAGAGATTCATTATAGAGTAAGGGCTTTTAAATTTCAATTTAATAGTTAGTACTTATTAATCATATTAATAAAATAATTATTTTTAATTTATTGATGGAAAGTGTAAAGCAATTTAGAAGTTTGGATAGCTATAAATTCAAAGATCTGCTGATATGTTTTAATAGTTTGATAATATTTGCATAAATTATTGAAAATTTAATTAAAAGCAGAGGACCATTTATAATGATTTCTCTGATATTTTTGTTGGTGATGATAATATATTAGGTATTATCCTATTACTTTAGTTCAATGAGAACATAGCTCATTATATATTGTTAATATTTTATAGTGACATTATTCTCTGTGGAATTACAAATTGATACCGAGTTTTTAATTTTCTAATAATTGGCAATATTCGATACTGTGTTTTTCAATAGAAATGAAAAAAAAAAAATAGTGTAATATATGTTGTTTTTGGGAGCAATGGTTATTAATACTTATGTATTTGTTCGAGTTGGATTTCATAATTAAGAAATTACTGATTTAATAAAAGCCTTATGTTCATCGATCTTACTGAAATTATTATTGTATCACTTTAGATAAGAACATGAAAAGGAATGTAATTAATTAAAGGAAGCTCAGAAATTAAATAATTAAGAAATGGAACCATCAGTCCCTCGAAGCATCAACTTCGAATACGAGGCTTAGGATTCCCAGAAGCTTTTCAAGACATTTGATGTATTACCTGAAGGAATAATAATTCTTGAAAAAAATACAAAGGAGGATTTTACAATTAAATATTCAAATTCTGCAGCCAAATACCTAGTAGATTCTGATGATCATGATCAAATGTTATAAGAACTATTTGATTTAAAAAGTGCCTCTCAAAAACAGAAAAGCGAAGAACATCTCTACAAGTACTCATTCAGCATTTAATCCCAGTAGAGTGTGAGAAGAAATAGTTTTAAGATAATACCTAAATAATAGTCATATTGTAAGTCAGCTTTTAAGATGTCTTAATAATTCATTTTGGAGAATCAATCAAGCTCTTAAAAACAAGAATTTTTGCTATAACAGCCTCAATCAAATCATGACTTTTGTCTGCAATTTCCTCAGGTGTAAATAGTATTTCCAAGTGCTTAAGCAAAAAACGACAATTTGAATCATTCCAATTCTCCTTCAATTAATTATGCAACTTCACATAAAAAATCCTTAGAGGATGCCGACTCCTTTCATTATCTCTTGGGATAGATTTGGCAATAATTGCACACATTGGTTAGGGAAAAGGTCGTGAATTACTAAAATTAACCCCTCTATTATATTCATGAAAGTAATGCATTTGTAACCAACATCAAAAAATAATAGAAAAAACAATGCTTGGACCTAAAAGTCTTTAGTGCTTTGCATTACAATAAGCCTATGTTGGTAATAATCCTCAGAGACGTGAATCATAAGGATTATATTAAAGTATTAAAAGATTACAATTCACAAAAATCGAAGACACTATCTTTTGTAAGTCATGAATTTAGAACTCCCTTAACCTGTATAATTTAAATGCTTGAAGAAGTAATAGAAAATAAAGCCAGTTTAAATTTGGGTGAATAATAACTCATATAATCAGCTTTAGATAACTCTAAATATATTCTTAATCTCTCAAATGATTTATTAGATTTGGCATAGATTCGAGCAGGCAAGTTTAAGATTCGGAATGGCCTTTTTGATTTAAAGTCACTTCTCAGAGATTGTCTTAATATGTTTGAAATATAAGCTATGAAGAAGAATATTTAATTGAATTACTATTATGATAAGTCATTGACAACAGATATTTGGAGTGATTTAAATAGAATAAGATAAATAACAATAAATTTGATAGGGAACGCCTTAAAATTCACTTTGGAAGGTTCAATAACACTGAGAGCCTACTTGGATGCACCTAATGAAATTTGCATAGAAGTCAAAGACACTGGTGTGGGGATGAGAGAAGAAGACTAACCTAAGTTATTCAAAGCATTTGCTAAGATTGAAAATAAAGAGACAAGTTAAATGAATGCTTAGGGTGTGGGATTAGGATTGTTGATAAGTAATTCAATAGCGACTTAATTGAATTCTGAATAGCGAGGTTTAGGCTTTAGATCAGTATATTAAGAAGGAACAACATTTTGTTTTTTGGTGACTAACAACAAATAAACTTATACAAATGAGATAGAAAATTATGAAGATTCTAAAAAAGAAATAGATGTAGATTTGGAAACTAAATTAAATGATTTTAGAAGATAATCAATGACTGAAAAAAAGTTTATTCTTTAAAAGAATTTCTGTTCTTGTCCTTAAATATTATTGGTAGAAGACAATCATTTTAATGTTGATTCATTTTTACTCAGATTCAATCGAACTTTTCAAAATTTAATTAAAATAGATTATACAATCTCTGGGTAATTGGCTGAATAAAAAGTATAATAACGATTTTCAAAATAATTGCATATATGTCATCCTTATAAATTAATATTTATGGATGTGGAATTGCCAATCTAAAATGGAATAGTGACTTCTAAAAACATTAAGAATTTTTACAGAACAATGAATGTCCCAGTGACAATAGTTGGATGCAGTGGATATGCTGAAGAAAAGGAGAAAAAAGAATGTTTATAATATATGGATGATTACATTGTAAAACCAGCCACTAAATCTGAATTGGAAAGAATAATGAATGCTTACTTTTTTAAATGACTCTTGTTTTATATTTATTTAATTATATATATAAATTTCCCGCTCTAAAATGCTTCAATAGTTATGGACTGAATCAACTAAACCAAAATCACTTGATTCTTTGGATTATCATTCAGAAATCAGTGAAATTCTGAGAAAACTTGCCAAAAATTCTGATTTCCCTCATTTGTTATTCTATGGTCCAAATGGAGCTGGGAAGAAAACAAGAGTGCTTGCATTTCTTAAGGAGGTTTATGGATCAGGGGTATACACAGTCACTGAAGAAGAGAAAGAGTATAAAATAAATGAAACCTCAAACACAACTACCTCTTGCACTGTATTATCATCCAAATTTCACATTGATGTTGCACCATCAGATGCTGATCATCACGATAAAGTGATCATCCAGAAACTAATTAAGGAAGTTGCAAGTTCACATCAAGTAAATAGCAAATAAACTAAAGATTTCAAAGTACATCTGAACTCTATATTAGGTTGTAATTATTAATGAAGTCGACAATCTTACAAAGGAGGCTCAAGCATCATTAAGAAGAACAATGGAAAAGTATATAGAGAGATGCAGAATCATTTTGATTTGTGAATCTTTGGCTAAAATCATTAATCCTATTAGAAGTAGATGTCTGTTAATTAGAATACCTGCTCCTGATCAAACTCAAGTGGCTCAAATCTTAGATAAGATTAGTACTTAATATAATTGCAAAATCAGCCAATAACTAATCAATAAAATTGCTATTGCAAGTAATGGAAATCTTAGAGAGGCTATTTTATATTTGCAATCCACTAGAGTCAATAACACATGCATTAAAGATGATCAAAATATAGCAGCTCAAGAATGGAAACTGCATATCTAACATAATATCGTCATGCCCATAGTAAAGAACTAATTAGTTGAAACAATGAAAGAAATCAGAGAAAAATTCTATCAACTTTTGGTCAACTGCATTCCAGTTGATAGAATTATGTTTGAAATGCTTCAAGGAGTGCTAAATTAATATAAAGATCATGCAAATAAGACAATTCTATATGAACTCATCAAATCAACAGCAAAATGTGAAAATAGAGCAAGATAGGGATCCAAGGGTATCGTTCATCTAGAAGCATTGGCAGCTGAATATATGACGATTATAAAATAATTTGCATGATTATTGTTATTGTTGTTATTATATATATACAAATTCCATTTAATTCAAAAGAAATACTTACCAATTTCTGTTATCTTTTATTTTATAATCTAATTTTCAAACTTTTGTTCTGGCAAAACCAAGAGGATAAATTTTAATTAATCTAATTCCTTAACACTCTATCTAATTCTTATGAAATCAATAATATTATAAACTACAATTAAACTATTAAATCAAATTTATAATTATACCTAATTCCAAATCCAAAACTATAATAATTCATGTAAGACAGTAGAGTTTCTCCTGCATATGAATTCCCATCATTAAACTAAGAAAAAAGACTATACATAGTGTATTGAATATCCTAAATGTACTAAATAAATAAGTTTTTGAACACTTGCTCTTACACTACGAATTAGAGTTCATCTAGATATGGAGAATATTGCAATGTCTCTTTTTCTATCGTGAATTCTGAAACGGAATATTTGTAAATTTATGCAACAAATCCTGTGATTCCACCTGCTAATATTGAAGCATATGATTCAGAATCATAATAATGCAATACTGATAATTCTTCTGGATAACAAAAGAGATATTAATAAGAAGGACATAAATCAGAATTTAGAGTTTGTTGGATAACTTTCATCTTTTCTTCATTTAAATACGTTGATTTTACTAAATCAGTTGAAATTTCATCTAAAAGAAGTTACAAACTGTCTGTCAAATTCAAAAATAAACTAATCATCTACTATTACTCCGATGTGTTTCTTCTCATATTTGTCAAAGGATCTGTTTTTATCCAAAATCCAATACATAATGAGATATCCAGCTTTTATTTGAAGGCTACAAAATTTTAGGCAATTCTAAAGCTAGGAGCAAATTCTTCAAATAAAAAATAAAAAAGGAGGAATCCCAATACAAAAAAGAGGATCCAACAACAAAAGGATGACACTATTGTAATAATTTGAAATACATCTGTTCTCTTCTTAAGCTTTGAATCACTTAACTAAATATATTTCTTATGAGCATTTAAATTAGATTTCTCTTTCGCAATATTATTATAATTTATCATATCGTAATAATTGATTAATTTCCATGCATTCTCTCCTAAAGCTACCTTAAAACAACTAAATCGAGCTATCAATTCCACTATTTCATCAAATGACAATCTATTCAAAATTTAATAGAATTTTTGCTTTAAATTTTATTTAGATTTTGTCATTTAAAATTATGTAACATAAACAATAGTTACCACTAATAAATTTATCATTAGCAATATTAAAAAAGTATCTTTTAATGTAACCTTCTAGAAAGAACTTATAAAATTAGTTAAAGAATCTAATAGTATTTTCTATCCATAAAAGGATTAATTTCTATAAAATGAATTGGCTTTAAACAATTCATAATCAAATGTTTCATCAATTTCATATTGAAGATATGACTATAAAATTGCAGTATGGAACTGTATGAAATAATTCGAGCATTCATTCTCATCAGCAAAATATTCAGCATAATATTTAGTCTAACTACAAACTATATCTTAAAATTGAGTTTATTACACTTATGAATACCCATATAAAAAAGGCACTTTACTTATTGTGTTTTATAGCAATGCTGGGCTAAAATTAAGGATTTCCTTATCATTCATGTAGAGTTATAAGAGTATTGTATAAGGCACTGCGATATAAAATTATAAACTTTGATAACCAATACTATTTGTAAGCTGATGAAAATATGTTTGGATTTCATTATTTATTAAGTATTCATTTATAAAGAGCATAATAAATATCCATAATGCCAAAAATAAATTTAGTATTATGCCGATATTCACCATTTTCATAGTTCCATTAAAATTTACAATTTGCTAAATCATTTACAATTAAGAGCCTTATTGAATCTAACTTTACACTAATGCCTAAACTTAGGAGTCATTTTATTTTTCAGACATCTTGATTGAATCCTCATTAACATTACTATCATAACGATTAAAATTAATATTTTCTTATTTCTAATTGGCATTCTCTTATTCATTTTACATAACTTAAATTTACTTGATACTTTCCATCCCTGCTATCTCTTTCATATCCTCCTCTAATTCGTATAATTAATAATCTTCTATTTTTTTCTTAGAGTCTATGGATGGCAAATGAAACTATGGTTAAACCATCCGTATAGATACTAGACCAGTTTATAGCAATTATCTATTTGACAAAGGTTATCTAGATGATAAGAAAGGCAATTTGGATTAAGAATGACTGGCATTTAATTACTATTTTTATGTAATATCAACTACAAATCTGCCACTCATGTCATCATCTTTGAATAATTTTTCAATTATTTAAGAATGCTAAAAAGTGCAGAATTATTTAATATCCTAAATTGTGCCATTATCTGTAGTTAACTATTTCTCAGACATCAATTGATCTAGCTAAGTGAAATGTGTAGAGAAGGATGTAAATGGATTCTATGGTTGATGTATTGAGTTAGATGTGTAAGTCTTAGTAAAATCAGTTAACTTATACTCCTTTATTGTAATTAAAAAGAATATATGATCTCCAATTAAGTAGAGTGAAAGGTTATGTAGCAATTCAATATGATTTTCTGCTGAATCTAGATTATTTTATTTCTTTTTAATTGTATTAATAAAAAATTATTGATAGGCCTAATCCAATAACTTTATATTTTAACCCAAAATTAAATTTTGTTAAAATTCCATCCTTTATGAGTAATTAATTAGCGATTGTGTTTATGATAGACATTCCAAGTGGTTATCAGGAATTTACCAATATGATCTTACATTATTTAATGAATTATTAATATTATGGTCAATGTTATTTTTTAGATCTTTTATCAAATTTATAACATTAGGAAAATAATACAAAATACTACTTCCTCTGTGAACAATATCATAAATGTTTATATCTTATGAAAATGACTTTGATAATTTTGTGTACTCGAAAAATCGTTTAGAAATTCCTTAAATTTTTCCTTCTGAATCAAATATTACATAGTCTTGCTATTAGAATTATGTTGTCAATATAGAATATAAGGTAAAATCATCTTAAATATTTGGATTGTACAAATGGATATAAATTGGCATTAGATAATTTTATGGATCCTAAATGAATGTTAGTTTTCCACTTTTCATTAATTATGTGTATCCATTGTCAATAAACTAATCAATTAATTCATCATGAATTTAAGCAATAAAGTCTGGCATAAATTCATGTATATATTAATAGTTTTATATTTATTCTTGGGAGTATCCAAAAAATTATGAGATCTATTATTTATTACAATTGATCAGTTTTCCTCTTTAATTGATTAAGCTAGTATTCAATACCATAAATCGATCTAATTTGAATATATGAATCGTTTACTTTAGAGTAAAATCTGATTATTTATTGTTGTATCTTATAGTATTTTGTCAGCCTTTATTATGTCTTCAATTAACTTTTCAATAACTTTACTCTAATTTTTAATAAGTAAATACTTCTTTTATGTCATTCAAAATAATTCCAAAATACATTTATAAGATTCTTAAACTAAGGATATCAGTACTTTAACACCCTGTTAATTTGTATCTTTTCAAATCATAAGATTATAAAATGAAATTTCTGCATTTAAAGATATTATTGGTGTAATCATCAACTTGATCTAAAATTTCAATTTGCTACTAAAACCCTTTTCTTAGTGATTCTAACAAAGAAATCTTACTTTAAACTACCTTTTGGATATAATCTATTGCATTTTCACTTTTTATTAGTGCTTACACTGTTGTTTCATTATCCATCATATTAATAGACTAAACTCTTGAATTAAAATAGGATTGATTTTAGTTAATGATGTAATTTAATTACTTTTATAATGCTTTGCCAT